TGCATATATATGCGGGTGTACACAATGAGTTCACGATATAGTGTGCTAGAAGTACATTGGTGTGCACACTACCATTGTGTGGCTACTTACAACAGCTACGACCATACATCATCAAAGCTTCTGATTACATGATTCAGGAACGCTATACAGTGGCAAACATTTGGCATTGCATAACGTGTGATAAGCTCACGTTGGCCTGGTCGAGAGTTGAGTTTTGTTAACGATCGATTTCATTGCGTGACGAATGGCCGGTGTATATGTTAAGACGACAATCCATTTTAACCCATGCTTCCCACCATCGAGTTATTGTATACTTCCCATCATCGAGTTATTGTATACTTCCTACGATCGAGTTATTGTATACTTCCTACGATCGAGTTATTGTATACTTCCCACCATCGAGTTATTGTATACTTCCCACCATCGAGTTATTGTGTACTTCCTACAATCGAGTTATTGTATACTTCCATCATCGAGTTATTGTATAATTCCCACCATCGAGTTATTGTATACCTCCCATCATCGAGTTATTGTATACCTTCCATCATCGAGTTATTGTGTACTTCCAATCATGGAGTTATTGTATACTTCCCACCATCGAGTTAGTGTATACTTCCCATCATGAAGTTATTGTATACTTCCCACAATCGAGTTATTGTATACTTCCCACCATCGAGTTATTGTATACTTCCCATCATCTAGTTATTGTATACTTCCCATCATGAAGTTATTGTATACTTCCCACCATCGAGTTATTGTATACTTCCCATCATGAAGTTATTGTATACTTCCCATCATCGAGTTATTGTATACTTCCCATCATCGAGTTATTGTATACTTCCCACCATCGAGTTATTGTGTACTTCCCATCATGGAGTTATTGTATACTTCCCATCATGAAGTTATTGTATACTTCCCATCATCGAGTTATTGTATACTTCCCATCATCGAGTTATTGTGTACTTCCCATCATGGAGTTATTGTATACTTCCCATCATGAAGTTATTGTATACTTCCCATCATCGAGTTATTGTATACTTCCCACCATCGAGTTATTGTATACTTCCCACCATCGAGTTATTGTATACTTCCCATCATCGAGTTATTGTATACTTCCCACAATCGAGTTATTGTATACTTCCCATCATCGAGTTATTGTATACTTCCCACCATTGAGTTATTGTATACTTCCCACCATTGAGTTATTGTATACTTACCATCATCGAGTTATTGTGTACTTCCCATCATGGAGTTATTGTATACTTCCCACCATTGAGTTAGTGTATACTTCCCATCATCGAGTTATTGTATACTTCCCACCATCGAGTTATTGTATACTTCCCATCATCGAGTTATTGTGTACTTTCCATCATGGAGTTATTGTATACTTCCCACAATCGAGTTATTGTATACTTCCCATCATCGAGTTATTGTATACTTCCCATCATCGAGTTATTGTATACTCCCTACCATTGAGTTATTGTTTACTTTCCACCATCGAGTTATTGTATACTTCCCACCATTGAATTATTGTATACTTCCCATCATGGAGTTATTGTATACTTCCCATCATCGAGTTATTGTGTACTTCCCATCATGGAGTTATTGTATACTTCCCACCATTGAGTTATTGTATACTTCCCATCATGCAGTTATTGTATACTTCCCTCCATCGAGTTATTGTACTTCCCACCATCGACTTATTGTATACTTCCCACCATCGACTTATTGTATACTTCCCACCATCGAGTTATTGTATACTTCCCACCATCGAGTTATTGTATACTTCCCATCATGAAGTTATTGTATACTTCCAATCATGAAGTTATTGTATACTTTCCACCATCGAGTTATTGTATACTTCCCATCATCGAGTTATTGTATACTTCCCATCATCGAGTTATTGTATACTTCCCATCATCGAGTTATTGTATACTTCCCACCATCGAGTTATTGTATACTTCCCATCATCGAGTTATTGTATACTTCCCATCATGAAATATATTGTATACTTCCCCCCTTCGAGTTATTGTATACTTCTCATCATCGAGTTATTGTATACTTCCCATCATCGAGTTATTGTATACTTCCCACCATTGAGTTAGTGTATACTTCCCATCATGCAGTTATTGTATACTTCCCTTCCTCGAGTTATTGTGTACTTCCCATCATGCAGTTATTGTATACTTCCCCCCTTCGAGTTATTGTATACTTTCCACCATCGAGTTATTGTGTACTTCCCACCATCGAATAGTTTTAGTATTTTTGCGACAAACTATTAGATGCTTTATTGTATACGTGTGATCTGAAAGGTCGAGGCAAAACAATTTGGGGGGCGCCACAGCAAATTATAGTCCCGAACATCAATCATGTCTAGTGAAAGATTTTATAAATAATGTTTGTTTTTTCTAAACATTTACACGGTTTTGCAAAACAATATATTCAAAGAAATAAAGCCCGACAGCTTCACCAAAGCTTATTGAGGTAATCGCTATTACACTTAATGACAGAAGTATACTTTAACTTATACAATTCAGTGCGGTCCTTCTGTATTTATTGGAATGTTCGTGGATAGTTATTTCGGAAGTTGAAAATTATTCGTTTTGACAAAATAATGATAAGATTTAAAGGATTGTTGTTTCGAAAACCCAAAAAGAATATATTGTTACTTGGCTTTGCATGTTGTTTGACATCCAAGTTTCCATGTCTGTGGACTTTTTGGGGCGCCACTGCAGATTCTTGTCCCGAACACCCAGTTTATCCAGTGAACAAGACTTGTGAGTGTAATACACGAGGCCAAGTGATGTTTCAAGCATTTGGGGGAACTCATAAGGGTTTTAAAAATAATACCAAAATCCCCAGAAAACATGGTCAGCCCCTATAACGCAGTGAGCCAAGGAAGTCAACAGGTACACCTTTCCCCTTACATAGTACACGGTCCAGACTCGATTATTTACAGACCGCCGTCATATAGCTGGAATATTGCTGAGGGCGACGTTAAACAACAAAACAAACTAACTAACAAAACATCGAATATCCACATCTCGCATGACCTCAGTATGTGGCTGACAGGTAAAGTTTATTCAGTGGGACGTTATCATTGCCATGGCGACCGACTGCTGAGCGGAATGGCTAATACCCCTTTCGACTTGCCTTGTATTCAAATAACGTGCGAGGTCGAGTTCATAGGTTTATGAACATGTTTATGATAATAACCGATACTTTCCAAGCGATGGTTCATGTGATCCAGGTAATATAATGTCTTTCAAGCGAAGCTTTCAGTTACTTTTAATTTTAAATGAAATAGGAAGATTCTGCAAAATGTTTCCAAAGATCATAAATCAGAAACGAATTTGTGATGCATTTGTTTTAGACAACTGGTATGTGTTGCATAAAAAAATATGCGTTTTGAAATTATAGCGTAAAGTTGTGTTCGTTATCAGTTGCTGTGACAATAGTAGAAACCCTTCCCAAAGCATGGCTGGGACGGGTAACTCGGGTACCTGGGACGGGTGGGTACTGAGTAGGACCCGGGTACGCACAGGACTACCCGGACCCGTGGTTAGTCACGTGATATATTGTTTAATGAAAAAACTTGTCTAGAACTCCATGGTAACACTACAAGTCACTAATGTTCGCATTTCTTTCTGACTGTGCACCCATTCCTTCTGATTTTTCATGTCGTTGAATAAAGATATATCTTATTTCAACTTCAGTGTATGAATGACCAGATTGTTTAATGCATGTATCTACATACGTTTTGCCAGTGCTATGCTAAAAATGTTCCAAATCGGACATTTTGAGACATCTCCTGAGACTTACAGTGGGTACCTGGGTAGGGTCGGGTAATAGGGAGGGTAGCAAAGCACAGCCCTAGCACAGAGCGCGAGATATTTTGGTGATATGAAATTTACTTGCAATGGGTGATATATTTTGGTTTAACGCCGCGTTTAATCTTTAATTATGATACTGAGTGAGTGAGTAAGTGAGTATGGTTTTACGCCGCATTATTCCAGCAATATCACGGCGGGGGACACCAGAAATGGGCTTCACACATTGAACCCATGTCGGGAATCGAACCCGGGTCTTCGGCGTGACGAGCGAACGCTTTAACCACTAGGCTACCCGACCGCCCCTATGATACTGAGTGTCCACACAGGGACTTAGTGTCCCTGGTCGCTGGAAGACGTTGCGATACAAATAGCATTCACTGTTGCCTTGGAACTGACTCATTTTGTAGCAAGTGATTCATATTATATGACCCCTTTAAGCTGTTGCTTTTGTAAATTGAATATATCAGTATCGCAGTCAAAGGTTGAGTGGGTCAGCTTGATGTGGTTGGATTAGGGAGACAGTTTGGCTTGCTGACAAACACGGATACATAATCAAGGCAATTGTGAGATTCGACCAGCCAATCCGAGTTTGCAGCATAACAAACTGCGGAGCTGTAGACGACTGGACATCCCGTGCCCTCTTCTTGTCATCATATGACGCATTTTTATGAAGGGGGAAAAAGCTCTTGACCGCCTCCGTGGTCTAAAGGTAGAACGTCCGCCCGGGGAGCGGAAGGTCCGGGGTTCGATCCCCGGCTGCGTCATACCAAAAGACGTAACTTGATGTTACCTTGCCTGGCGCTCGGCATTAAGGGTCTAAAACAAGGATTGGTCGGCTCGAAGTCAGTATACTGTGTCTGAGTGGGGTATTCATGTTAAACTGCGGCATTGTATCTAAGTGGACTAGCACTATAAATCAGCCACAGTCCAAGCAGCCACACACACACACACACACACACACACACGTGCATGCACGTCGCTATATAAGTGCAATAATCTTGGACGCAACGTTAAACCCCATTTCACCTCATCGGAAAAAAACCCCGCTTAATAATGTGGTCGTCATATTTAAACAAGGAGCACTCTGGTATGTGCTTTGTTCGTAAGACAGTATACATCACACTTCAGACACCACGTATTTATTTCAGAGCATACTTTAATCACAATGTGAGTGCTACACCCAGTGCGTGTGTACAATATATTGTAGATTTCGAAACTGCCGCCTGCAAATAAATAGACTACTTTGTGTAGCCGTTAGCATGTGGTTGAAAAACGTGCAAAAATACTAAACCAAGATACCTTTACCCAAACTGTGTGTAAGAAGGAACATATATGTACATGTACAAAGACTAATTGTACTAGGACATCCAGTTGTTGCTCTATATGATGCTGGTGTAGCAGGGTGTGGAGTCTTCCCACAGACGACATCCGCACCTTGTCAGCTTGAAGGTTAACAACCACATTGCCATCTCACCCTACCGCGTACCCATTCACTGCTGGTTGAACATGTACTTTGGACCAGAAGGTTAACAACCACATTGCCATCTTATCCTATTGCGTACCCATTCACTGCTGGTTGAACATGTACTTTGGACCAGAAGGTTAACAACCACATTGCCATCTTATCCTATTGCGTACCCATTCGGAGTACCATTTACGGCAAGCATGGGTTGCTGAAGACCTATTCTACCCCGGATCTGCAATATTGTGAGGGAGAGCGGCCATATCCGTGTGAAAACATCCTGCATTTAACACATAGCTAGCTTCATTCTTTACCACTACAACTATTTCTAATCATCCAATTAGATCTGTATACTGGAACTCTTATGAAAGTAGTGAAGCTTGTAACGGTTTGTACAACTGCAATATTTCCTGACTAAGGTCCACCGTGTCCAACTACAGTGTCCTTGACAGCAGTTGGGTCAGGAAACAAGGGGTTGGTTTTCTTCTTGACACACACCACAACAATCTTGACAATTAAGCTCAAACCAGTCAGCCCAAGCAACACGGCGGTGAAGATGGTGTTGTGCTTCCTGAAGTCAACGTTGTTGACCAGGATAGCAACGAGCGCCCACAAAAGAGCAACGTAGGGTGTGAAGGTGTAGCGGGAATATTTGTCAAACACGGTAAGGTCAGTGATGAAGTACACGACCAAAAACGCGGCTATGAAGGCCAGGCTTACAGTTGAGGCAGTGCTCTGGTCAATCGGTGGATTAGATCTGTAGGTCATGAGGACCGCGATGTTTATCAGAGCAGCAATCAAGGTCCAGGTAGCGTACAGGCCTAGACCGTTGTGGACCAAACCTCTGACAAGGGAGTCATCCAGTCCACGCTGTTGATCAGCCAGTATCTGTCTATTGTCATACAGGGATTTGTAAGACAGTGCTAGGCAGGCAAAGAGGCTTGCGGAGAGAAGGATCAGGAAGACGAAGGCTAACACTAGCACGAAAACGGCGGCGATGTTCAAAGCTACGTGTAAGAGAAGGCTGAGGATGAAGATGCCAAGGAAGACTGAGGTGAGGAGGACTGATGGTCCTCCACGAACTACCCGGTAGCTTAAGTTCATGGAGTAGAAGATCCAGATGATCTGCCAGATGAAGATAAAGGCCCAGATGAAGAAGACCCAGGGACGTGGGCTGACCTCGGTGGGGTACGTGTAGGTGATAGCATCGGTGATACTCAGGAGAAGAACTGCAATTACAAAAAAAACACATTAGGAACAATTTTATATGACCTTAAAAAAATGAGGAAAAGATAATGTAGCGCATTTACCATTAGAAGTCGTTAGTTCATAAGGTTTTACGTCGCTTCCTACCAATATTCCAGAAACACAAGAGTTGGATACGACACTTTGTACCCAGGGGATCAAACCTGGGCCTTTGATGTGACGAGCAAACGCTTAAAGCACGATGTTACCCTACCGTCCTAATTAACGATAAACCGAACAATCACAAGGGTACTTGACACTACAGTATCTTTGCTAACCTGGGGCATAGACCAACCTGTTACAGATATGCCAGTGACAGTTATCAAGTGTGGTTTGATCACAATCGAGATACAGCACTGAAAACATTCACCTGATGAATCAGTACCTGCATGGACATTTATATGAACTCCTTGCGTAATAATGACGACATTATTTTAGGGGCATACTGGCCCATTAAGGGACGTACAGTTAAGTTCCAATAACCTATGATTCAGACAAATTATTAAAGGATGCTTACCTGTGTTTACAAGCGGGGACAATAGGACAATGAACAGGGCTGACAGAATGGGCAACGTGAAGAACAGGAAAATGATGACGATGTTCAGCGCTACCAAATTGTAGTACTTCGCCATTGTATATATGTCCGTGTCTGAAATATACAGAATAGGCAAACAACAAAACAACAAGAAAAAGCCATTATAACGTCACTGCATAAAGTTCAATATGAGATTCATGTTACATTTTATGCTACTCCAGGATATTTCCTAGCATTCAAGAAACCTCTCACGTTATGCTTCCTTGTCAGGACGTTTTTATTATTTTTATTACTTTTCTATGTAACTTACAATACCGGAGCCTCCCTTAGAGAGTAAGTGAGTGAGTGGGTGAGTGGGTGAGTAATTTGTAGAGGTTTATGTCAGTTTAAGCCATATTCGAGCTATATAAAGGCTGGTGACACCGGTAATGAGCTTCACACATTTTGCCCATGTGCGGAATCGAACCCAGGCATTCGTCGCCGATGCGCCAACACTTTAAGACTCACTAGTACACACTAGATAAATCGTTGTGTTAATGTAGAATCCACTCTTCCCCTGTATCTGTTTATGATGGGCGTGTCATTTCATATACGAATTAGGTGTCAGTTTGTGTTATGTACGCAGATAGAATTCATTATCAACGTAGAACACGCACCACAGGCCTATCCCGTAACAATGGGACATGAATACCCCATGCTTGTTGTACTAGGCGAATAAATACATCGTGGGTTGATCCGGTGACCTGTTTGTGTGTGAAACGTTGATCATAATATCAAGCTCGGGTTTCATACCCATATTCCATTATTTACAGGCGATCGTCAAACAATTGGAATATTGGTGTGCGGCAGTAATCAACAAACATACAAACTGACCATCCTACTAGGACATGTTTCAAATTCATAGTTGTTTCTACGCAGATTAAAACAAGTTGACATATTAGTGTGCATTCGTGTCATAGTTATGCATTAAATATTCCCCATGAAGACTTAATTATAGTGAAGCAGTCATGGTCCTACAGTTGTGATTGGTGTGTTCAGTTGCAAAAAATGTAACCTAAAGACGTCTGCGATAGCATCATGAATATATAATCAATGTAACCTAAAGACGTCTGCGATAGCATCCTGAATATACAAACAATGTAACCTAAAGACGTCTGCGATAGCATCATGATTATACAAACAATGTAACCTAAAGACGTCTGTGATAGCATCCTGAATATACAAACAATGTAACCTAAAGACGTCTGCGATAGCATCATGATTATACAAACAATGTAACCTAAAGACGTCTGCGATAGCATCATGATTATACAAACAATGTAACCTAAAGACGTCTGTGATAGCATCCTGAATATACAAACAATGTAACCTAAAGACGCCTGCGATAGCATCATGATTATACAAACAATGTAACATAAAGACGTCTGCGATAGCGTCAGGAACATACAAACAATGTAACCTAAAGACGTCTGCGATAGCATCATGAATATACAAACAATGTAACATAAAGACGTCTGCGATAGCATCATGAATATACAAACAATGTAACCTAAAGACGTCTGCGATAGCATCATGAATATACAAACAATGTAACCTAAAGACGCCTGCGATAGCATCATGATTATACAAACAATGTAACCTAAAGACGTTTGCGATAGCATCATGAATATACAGACAATGTAACCTAAAGACGCCTGCGATAGCATCATGAATATACAAACAATGTAACCTAAAGACGTCTGTGATAGCATCATGAATATACAAACAATGTAACCTAAAGACGTCTGCGATAGCATCATGAATATACAAACAATGTAACATAAAGACGTTTGCGATAGCATCCTGAATATACAAACAATGTAACCTAAAGACGTCTGTGATAGCATCATGAATATACAAACAATGTAACCTAAAGACGTTTGCGATAGCATCCTGAATATACAAACAATGTAACCGAAAGACGTCTGCGATAGCATCATGAATATACAAACAATGTAACCTAAAGACGTCTGCGATAGCATCATGAATATACAAACAATGTAACCTAAAGACGTCTGCGATAGCATCATGAATATACAAAAATTGTTACCAAAAGACGTCTGCGATAGCATCATGAATATACAAACAATGTAACCTAAAGACGTCTGTGATAGCATCATGAATATACAAACAATGTAACCTAAAGACGTCTGCGATAGCATCATGAATATACAAAAATTGTTACCAAAAGACGTATGCGATAGCATCATGAATATACAAACAATGTAACCTAAAGACGTCTGCGATAGCATCATGAATATACAAACAATGTAACCTAAAGACGTCTGCGATAGCATCCTGAATATACAAACAATGTAACCTAAAGACGTCTGCGATAGCATCCTGAATATACAAACAATGTAACCTAAAGACGGCTGCGATAGCATCATGAATATACAAACAATGTAACCTAAAGACGTCTGTGATAACATCATGAATATACAAACAATGTAACCTAAAGACGCCTGCGATAGCGTCATGAATATACAAACAATGTAACCTAAAGACGTCTGTGATAACATCATGAATATACAAACAATGTAACCTAAAGACGTCTGCGATAGCATCCTGAATATACAAACAATGTAACCTAAAGACGTCTGCGATAGCATCCTGAATATACAAACAATGTAACCTAAAGACGTCTGCGATAGCATCATGAATACACAAACAATGTAACCTAAAGACGTCTGCGATAGCATCATGAATATATAAACAATGTAACCTAAAGACGTCTGTGATAGCATCATGAATATACAAACAATGTTACCTAAAGACGTCTGCGATAGCATCCTGAATATACAAACAATGTAACCTAAAGACGTCTGCGATAGCATCAAGAATATACAAACAATGTAACCTAAAGACGTCTGCGATAGCATCATGATTATACAAACAATGTAACCTAAAGACGCCTGCGATAGCATCATGATTATACAAACAATGTAACCTAAAGACGTCTGCGATAGCATCATGATTATACAAACAATGTAACCTAAAGACGCCTGTGATAGCATCATGAATATATAAACAATGTAACCTAAAGACGTCTGTGATAGCATCCTGAATATACAAACAATGTAACCTAAAGACGTCTGTGATAGCATCCTGAATATACAAACAATGTAACCTAAAGACGTCTGCGATAGCATCCTGAATATACAAACAATGTAACCTAAAGACGTCTGCGATAGCATCCTGAATATACAAACAATGTAACCTAAAGACGTCTGTGATAGCATCATGAATATATAAACAATGTAACCTAAAGACGTCTGCGATAGCATCATGAATATATAAACAATGTAACCTAAAGACGTCTGTGATAGCATCCTGAATATACAAACAATGTAACCTAAAGACGTCTGCGATAGCATCCTGAATATACAAACAATGTAACCTAAAGACGGCTGCGATAGCATCATGAATATACAGACAATGTAACATAAAGACGTCTGCGATAGCGTCAGGAACATACAAACAATGTAACCTAAAGACGTCTGCGATAGCATCATGAATATACAAACAATGTAACCTAAAGACGTCTGCGATAGCATCATGAATATACAAACAATGTAACCTAAAGACGTCTGCGATAGCATCATGAATATACAAACAATGTAACCTAAAGACGCCTGCGATAGCATCATGATTATACAAACAATGTAACCTAAAGACGTTTGCGATAGCATCATGAATATACAGACAATGTAACCTAAAGACGCCTGCGATAGCATCATGAATATACAAACAATGTAACCTAAAGACGTCTGTGATAGCATCATGAATATACAAACAATGTAACCTAAAGACGTCTGCGATAGCATCATGAATATACAAACAATGTAACATAAAGACGTTTGCGATAGCATCCTGAATATACAAACAATGTAACCTAAAGACGTCTGTGATAGCATCATGAATATACAAACAATGTAACATAAAGACGTTTGCGATAGCATCCTGAATATACAAACAATGTAACCGAAAGACGTCTGCGATAGCATCATGAATATACAAACAATGTAACCTAAAGACGTCTGCGATAGCATCATGAATATACAAACAATGTAACCTAAAGACGTCTGCGATAGCATCATGAATATACAAAAATTGTTACCAAAAGACGTCTGCGATAGCATCATGAATATACAAACAATGTAACCTAAAGACGTCTGTGATAGCATCATGAATATACAAACAATGTAACCTAAAGACGTCTGCGATAGCATCATGAATATACAAAAATTGTTACCAAAAGACGTATGCGATAGCATCATGAATATACAAACAATGTAACCTAAAGACGTCTGCGATAGCATCATGAATATACAAACAATGTAACCTAAAGACGTCTGCGATAGCATCCTGAATATACAAACAATGTAACCTAAAGACGTCTGCGATAGCATCCTGAATATACAAACAATGTAACCTAAAGACGGCTGCGATAGCATCATGTATATACAAACAATGTAACCTAAAGACGTCTGTGATAACATCATGAATATACAAACAATGTAACCTAAAGACGCCTGCGATAGCGTCATGAATATACAAACAATGTAACCTAAAGACGTCTGTGATAACATCATGAATATACAAACAATGTAACCTAAAGACGTCTGCGATAGCATCATGAATATACAAACAATGTAACCTAAAGACGTCTGCGATAGCATCCTGAATATACAAACAATGTAACCTAAAGACGTCTGCGATAGCATCATGAATACACAAACAATGTAACCTAAAGACGTCTGCGATAGCATCATGAATATATAAACAATGTAACCTAAAGACGTCTGTGATAGCATCATGAATATACAAACAATGTTACCTAAAGACGTCTGCGATAGCATCCTGAATATGCAAACAATGTAACCTAAAGACGTCTGCGATAGCATCAAGAATATACAAACAATGTAACCTAAAGACGCCTGCGATAGCATCATGATTATACAAACAATGTAACCTAAAGACGCCTGCGATAGCATCATGATTATACAAACAATGTAACCTAAAGACGTCTGCGATAGCATCATGATTATACAAACAATGTAACCTAAAGACGCCTGTGATAGCATCATGAATATATAAACAATGTAACCTAAAGACGTCTGTGATAGCATCCTGAATATACAAACAATGTAACCTAAAGACGTCTGTGATAGCATCCTGAATATACAAACAATGTAACCTAAAGACGTCTGCGATAGCATCCTGAATATACAAACAATGTAACCTAAAGACGTCTGCGATAGCATCCTGAATATACAAACAATGTAACCTAAAGACGTCTGTGATAGCATCATGAATATATAAACAATGTAACCTAAAGACGTCTGCGATAGCATCATGAATATATAAACAATGTAACCTAAAGACGTCTGTGATAGCATCCTGAATATACAAACAATGTAACCTAAAGACGTCTGCGATAGCATCCTGAATATACAAACAATGTAACCTAAAGACGGCTGCGATAGCATCATGAATATACAGACAATGTAACCTAAAGACGCCTGCGATAGCATCATGAATATACAAACAATGTAACCTAAAGACGTCTGTGATAGCATCATGAATATACAAACAATGTAACCTGAAGACGTCTGTGATAGCATCATGAATATACAAACAATGTAACCTAAAGACGTCTGCGATAGCGTCAGGAACATACAAACAATGTAACCTAAAGACGTCTGCGATAGCATCATGAATATACAAACAATGTAACCTAAAGACGCCTGCGATAGCATCATGAATATACAAACAATGTAACCTAAAGACGTCTGCGATAGCATCATGAATATACAAACAATGTAACCTAAAGACGTCTGCGATAGCATCATGAATATACAAACAATGTAACCTAAAGACGTCTGCGATAGCATCATGAATATACAAACAATGTAACCTAAAGACGTCTGCGATAGCATCATGAATATACAAACAATGTAACCTAAAGACGTCTGCGATAGCATCATGAATATACAAACAATGTAACCTAAAGACGCCTGCGATAGCATCATGAATATACAAACAATGTAACCTAAAGACGTCTGTGATAGCATCATGAAAATACAAACAATGTAACCTAAAGACGTCTGCGATAGCATCATGAATATACAAACAATGTAACCTAAAGACGTCTGCGATAGCATCATGAATATACAAACAATGTAACCTAAAGACGCCTGCGATAGCATCATGAATATACAAACAATGTAACCTAAAGACGTCTGTGATAGCATCATGAATATACAAACAATGTAACCTAAAGACGTCTGTGATAGCATCATGAATATACAAACAATGTAACCTTAAGACGTCTGCGATAGCATCATGAATATACAAACAGTGTAACCTAAAGACGGCTGCGATAGCATCATGAATATACAAACAATGTAACCTTAAGAGGTCTGTGATAGCATCATGAATATACAAACAATGTAACCTAAAGACGTCTGTGATAGCATCATGAATATATAAACAATGTAACATAAAGACGTTTGTGATAGCATCATGAATATACAAACAATGTAACCTAAAGACGGCTGCGATAGCATCATGAATATACAGACAATGTAACCTAAAGACGCCTGTGATAGCATCATGATTATACAAACAATGTAACCTAAAGACGTCTGTGATAGCATCCTGAATATACAAACAATGTAACCTAAAGACGTCTGCGATAGCATCATGAATATACAAACACTGTAACCTAAAGACGTCTGCGATAGCATCATGAATATACAAACAATGTAACCTAAAGACGTCTGCGATAGCATCATGAATATACAAACAATGTAACCTAAAGACGTCTGCGATAGCATCATGAAAATACAAACAATGTAACCTAAAGACGTCTGCGATAGCATCATGAAAATACAAACAATGTAACCTAAAGACGTCTGCGATAGCATCATGAATATACAAACAATGTAACCTAAAGACGTCTGTGATAGCATCATGAATATACAAACAATGTAACCTAAAGACGTCTGCGATAGCATCATGAATATACAAACAATGTTTACCTAAAGACGTCTGCGATAGCATCATGAATATACAAACAATGGCATATAAACAGCGATCTACCTACAAATGCATATGTGCTGGTTCTCGATTGCATGTTCGTCGTCTTAGAACATCTTCATGTGAGATAAAAATGAATCATGCAAGAAGTATTGGTCAAGTAATTTCTGTATAAATACCTTCCAAGACATCTAGTGTCCCTCTTCCACTAAGTGTGGTGATGGTGCCTCGTGTGACGAGTGTATGGAAGGATGGAGCACGCATTATACACACACAGCACGTACTTATGCTGACGTTTGGGTTTGAGAGGAAATATAGTACATGCATATGTCATTGTGGCTCAGTTAGAATGCACGAATAAATACAAGCGACAAAACACTTTCCATATTTAATAGAAATCTCTATTGTACAATTCCGACTATATCATGAGCATGTGTTCATGAATCACTATCAAATAGAGATGATACCAGGTGTTTGCGAAAAGGTGAGCGTATCCTGCCCCGCCGGTGGCACCCGTCATAAACACATACAAGGGCAAATCAAGTGTTCATCGGGAAAAAAACGGGAACACATGGTACAAGTCAATAGGGAATTGCATCGGACATCATTTTTGTCACTGATACGTCAAATTTAGAAATATCCTCTATATGACTACCATAACATTTTTGAAAGCTTTACTGGGGCCTTGAATGTTGTAAACTTGATCAAACAACTTCTGAGCAAGAGTCGTAAGACGTTTTTTTAAAAATCGTGGTAGAAAGAGCATGCTGACGTGCAAATGCATATCAGTGCATTTGGCTGATTGTCAATTCAAATACTTCCAAAATGATTAACTTAGGAACACAATCGTGAATATAGTTCATTAAAACCCAAAACTGATGGAGCCATACCACGGTCACGGATGCAACATGTTCCCTGGTATAACACTTTACCTCAGATCGACTGCCCTAGCTAGCCTGGAAGGTCATCAGGTTTGAGGTTGGTTGGTTGTTTAACGCCGCACTCAGCAATATTCCAGCTATATGACGGCGGTCTGTAAATAGTCGAGTCTGGACCAGACAATCCAGTGAATAATACCACGCAATTGGGATCAATGACATGCATCAACCAAGTTAGCGAGCCTGACCACCCGATCCCGTTAGTCGCATTTTACGATAAGCATAGTCGCCTTTAACGGCAAACATAGTGCCACAATTGGTTGATAGCACTTTGAGTTACAATATAGAGTACACTGGCTGTCACGATATAGATGCAATATTGCCCATCACAACGAACACTCCAGAATAATTTTTTGTAACTTGTGACCTTGTGATGTACAAATATATTCGCTGAACACTCTACATGCCACTTTTGTACAGGGTTTAGCGAATATATTTGTACATCACAAGACGTACATGCTGCCTTTGGTCCCGTAAAGATCCGGGGTAGAATAGGTCTTCAGCAACCCATGTTTGCCGCAAAAGGCGACTATGCTTGTCGTAAGAGGCGACTAACGGGATCGGTTGGTCAGGCTCGCTGACTTGTTTGATGCATGTTATCGATCCCAATTGCGTGGATCGATGCTCATGATGTGGACCACTGGACCGTCTGGACCAGACTCGATTGTTTTGATATCGCCGTCATATAGCTGGAATATTGCTGAGTGCGGCGTCAAACAACAAATTGAACCAAACATGCCGCTTTTGAGACACGTAACACTCTATGAAAACAAGGCCTGCCCCACATCGGCGCATGGATACCACTGGTGACGACATAAGGGGCATAACTCTGCATGGCTTGATCGTAAAGATCGTGATTCAGCATTTGGATCTTGACAGTGTTACGATTTATCGAGAGACGCAACCAAGGCAAGATACTCACGTTGTGTGCAGGTCAATGTTAACACAAATTACAAATTACCTGTATTGATAAGCTGAATTTTAGGCCAGTTTCACTAATATATATATAATATTGATATATGATCCAAAACTTGCTCCCACTGGAGATATCGCTTTGATGAGAGCAAGCGATATCTACACTGTAGATATCGCTGCAATGAAATTGCATCACAATGCTTTGAAGACCATTGGGACGTCACTGGTTACCATGACGTCACAATCAAATGACATCACTAATGGCTCTGTTACTGAAGCTGTTAGCAGTTCTTTTTACACTTAGACACTGCTAATTACTGTCTACAAACAGAAAAAGTGGGAAGAATGATGATGGATGATAAATAAAATTTCACCCTCGTGTCTTTTTATATCAAATATATCAACACTCGTTGATAAAAGTGGCAAATATCCTCGGCAAGCCTCGGTATTTTTCCACCTTTATCAACTCGTGTTGATATATTTGATATCAAAAGACACGAGGGTGAGATTCTCTCTCTCTCTCTATATATATATTAATATCCCTACGATGGGCACATAAATTGTTTGTGACCAGACAATCCAGTCACACGATAGCGCGTTTACTCATTTTGTTGAAACCAAAAACGATAAAGACAGATCTGCTTCCAACAGCGTAGGCGCATTGTTGACGAATCATGTTACCGAATACGTTTACCTCCAAACGACACTTCATGTATTGATCAGTCGGATCATTTGAATGTGTTCGATTCAAATAAAATAAATACTTCCTTTTAAGGAAGCAGAATTTTACAGAATCAAATAAATTGCAAGCGGCACATTATTTTACAGCTTTTAAATAAAATACTTGTTGTAAAAGGCGACTAACGGGATCGGGTGGTCAGGCTCGCTGACTTGATTGATGCATGTCATCATATCCCAGCTGCGTGGATCGATGTTTGTGATGTCAATCACTGGATTGTCTGGTCCAGTCTCGATTATTTACAGACCGCCGACAAAAAGCTTGAACATTGCTGAGTGCGGCGTTAAACAGCAAACAAACAAACAAACAAACAACACAAAACAAACATCACAAAGAATAATGCACCCTTACTGCTAAAAAGGCAAATGCATGTTCCTTTAAAATTTGAAAGATTCCATCTGTGCAACAGCAATACGAGTTTGCATACATGATACAACCTCATGAAATTGTATATACTGAACGATATATACAAACATATCATTGAGTAAATCGCACTCAACAATATTCTTGCTATATCACAAGGGCCGATCAATAATTGAGAAAACACCAGTCACAACAATTACAGAATGATAAGGACCTACGTCAACGGGGCACGTCAACGGCCACGTCAACGAGCCTGACCACCCTGTTGTTAGTTCACAGCCCCGGTGACAAGCATAGACTACTGGGAGACGTGTTTCGACGGGGACGCGTAAACAAACACTTGACAGTCGTACTCGCACAGTCAGGAGGTCCGTCAGTAGTAACAAGCACAGCAAGCTTGTTTATTTCTTTAATTTGACCACACCCGTTTCCTTAATTCGACAGGCTGACATGACAATCCGAAAATAACGAGTCTACTGAAACAAATGTGACGTTTTAACGTCATGGAGCCGATTTGGTTGAAACTAATTTGACATGAATGCTCTCATGCGGTAGTCTAATTTAGTTGTTTACCCCACGAGTTGTGGGAACGTAGGACTAGTCGCTACTAAGGCTGCATATCCTGTCCGAGCGGTGCCTTTATAAAGCATGATTTACGGAATAGCACTACAATTCTTCGACGTCTTTACGCCAAGATGGCCGCCACGTTCCTTTCCGTGCTATGCGTCGTCTTTGTGTTCTCGTCCTACACTTCAGCTACCTTCAAAGTCGCCCAGAGGAGGCTTCAAACATCTAATGTAAGTATACCATAAACTACGGTTATAACGAACACGCTTATAACAAACCGACTGATATAACGAACTCATTTTTTAGTCCCGGCCATTTGTTGTTTATATGCTGTATATATGCTTATAACGAACTACGGTTATAACGAACTCAAAAAAGTGGTCCCTTTGAGTTCGTTATAACCGTAGTTTACTGTAATTGTATTTTATCATTGATACGGGCCGTTGGGGTAGATTAAAGCCTTCACTCGTCATGCCGAATACCTTGGTTTGATTCCCCGCATGGGTACAAAGCCGCGCTCAGCAATATTCGAACGATATACCGGCCGCTTGTAAGTAATGCAGTCTGGACCATACAAACCAATGCTTTAGGTATTATACTAGAGAGTGAGTTGTGTTTAACGCCGCTTTTAACAATATTCCAGTTATATCGCGGCGTGTCAGCTTAATGTGGGAGGAAAGCTCGAAGTGATGCAGGTCTCTGACGTGTACCGCTTCGGTGAAACCCACGAGCACGGGTATGGTGCTGACAAACCTAGAAACATAATCTGGGCGAACCAGGATTCGAACCCACAACCATAGGTTTCTGGCGTGCCCAAGGGACGCACAGCGAGTCGCGGCGCCTTCGACGACGGGGCCAGCCCTGCCCTACGTATTATATTATGAATGGGGCAATATACACGTCACCAAGTCTGACATATTCACATTTTCCTATTCTTCCCCACTCTATTTTTCGAATTTATTAACACATTGACATTTTTTTAAATTTCTCTATACCCTTTGTCTTCATACCCTTGACGATCCGGCTTAGAATGGGTCTTCAGCAGCTTGTTTGATGCATGTCATTGTATCCAAAGTGCGTGGATCGATGCTCATGATATCAATCACCGGATTGGGTGCTCCGGATTATTTACAGACAGCTGTAAAATAGCTGGAATATTGCTGAGTGAGGAGTTAAGCAACAAACAAATATATTTTACTTCAACCTTACATGACAGAAATGACAAAAAAACATTTGGCGTTCAAATATTAGTTATAACTATTTTCGTATTGTTTCGTAAAGTGTTCCAATATGTTATACATGTACAACATTTGCAATATTCACATACGAAGTAAATTAAAACTTTTAAAGTAATACATCTGTAACGTATAAAAACATTATGTTCCTTCCAGGAATGGCAGTTGATCGACTCGTGGACGTTCGAATCAGGCTACGTTCGCTTCAACTTCAATATCACCTTTCCTCGGGTAAGAACGCATCAATAAATATCAGTATTTTTGTGTCAAAGATGTTCTCGCAAATATCCTATCAAATGTGCAACTGCGTCATTTGTTGAAAGATATACATTGACTCTAAAGGACGGGGATATAATACCACTCTTTCAGGACATTTATGAAGCTGAGGAATTATTATTTCTTCTAAATTTGTAGAAATAGTTAAATTTGATACATCACTGGTATCATTGAAGTTAATATTTTAGTTATGAATAAACTAATGGATGAATCCTTTTGATAAAGGCAAAAGCATCTTTACCGAAACGTCAGTCATCGATATAAGACTGTCTTCAACAGAGATGTGTTTGTGACGGCTGTGAAAGATTTCTCTCTTCTTCCAGAGTTATTCCCCCATGAAGCTTCTCTTCTACAAACAGGACCAGTACTTCCAGGCTAACGAAGGTTCCAAGGTGAGGGAGATCATAGTGGGTGAGTGAGTGAGTTGGGTTGAACGCCGAATTTAGCAATATTTCAGCAGTAATGGGCGGCGGGGACACCAGAAATGGACTTTGGGACATTAAAAAATGAAGAGGTGAGGTGAGGTGAAATTTGGTTTAACGTCGCGTCCAAGATTATTGCATTTATATAGCGACGTACATGGACGTGTGTGTGTGTGTGTGTGTGTGTGTGTGTGTGTGTGTGTGTGTGTGTGTGTGTGTGTGTGGTTGCTTGTACTAGTCCGGACTGATGCCGAGTTATAGTGCTAGCTCACTGAGATACCATGCCGCAGTTTAATATGAATACCCCACTCAGACACAGTATACTGACTCCGAGCCGACCAGTCCTTGTTTTAGCCCCTAATGCCGAGCGCAAGTACCATCTTTAAACGTATTTTGGTATGACGCGTCCGGGGATCGAACCACGGAGGCGGTCTGAAGAGGAGAAGTATTTTCAGGTGTATTATATATCTATCCTGTCCCTACCTGAAAGAATGTTTTTATTACTTATTTTGTTGAGTAACGTCGTGAGCCAAATAGTTGATAGTTGAACAGCCGTTGTCTTCAGATCATAGATGTGATGACATATCATGGGAATTCGTCACCAAACCTATTGTTAATACGTGTCCAGCACAGTGATGTAACCTTTTCTATAACCATTAGAAATAAGTCCATTGTACGATTCCGACAATATCATAAGCATGTGTTTATGAGTCACCATCATCTTTATGATGATACCAGGTGTTTGCAAAATTAATATTCGAAAGCAGAGTCATCCCTCTTGTAGATATATTTCTTTACGCTGAATGTAAATCAATTTTATCAAATTTATCAATTAAGACGACATTTACGGTCCCTAATTATTGAGAACAATATATTATCTATATTTTATATGACTGCAAAAATAATTACAAATGAAAATTCAGAAATGAGTTTTAAACGAAAACAACTTTGGTGAATTTGCAATGAGCTGAGTGTACGGGTAGATGATGTTTATTGAAGCACTATTAAATGCAATGTAAGCCAATGGTATATATACGAACAACACCTTATTGGCTGTACACATTAAAATACAATGTGTTTGTCCTCTCAGTTTAGTGTTCAAAATGATGATTCCAAATATACACCTCACCAATTGAACTTTGAGAAAGTCTCCCTCACACAGAGTTGATGGGAAATATTGTTATATTTGTTTTTTCTAAAGCCGGACCTTTTAGTGGTCACGTGACATATCAGGTGGTACAATGTGTTACCTTTAAAGACAGATGATCGAATATAACGTACAGAGCTATTAAGGGAAACAATTATATAAATACCACAAAGCTCAAACTAATATCACTGATTATGTTTGCTGGGGCATGGGTGGCTCCTTTCCTTGTACAGTGAGTGAGTGAGTTGGGTTTAACGCCGCTTTTAACAGTATTAAAGTTATATCACGGCGTGTCAGAAACTATGATAGTGGATTCGAATCTCCGTTCATCCCCTGCATGATTAAGGTTTGTCATCAACGTACCAGAGGCCCACACAAAGTGTTTACAGTTAGAACATGCATCACCTTGGGCGTTCCTCCCACATCAAGCTGATACTGCTCAAATCGGTGTTAAACCCAACACACTCACATATGTACATGTATGTTTGCTTTTTCACAGTCTTGCGACGAGAAGTTGTCTGTTCTACAATTCGGCGCCACCGGTCAGCAAATCCTGAACCTTGACGTTGGAATGACCCAAGCCGGCTGTATGCAGCGTTACGACTCCACCATGGGGGACAGCGTCACCTGTAACGGCCGCGTTACCTTCAACGTCGATCGTGGTATGATGTGGTACGTGGTGGCCAACAGATGTGGCACAATGAACGGAATTTCGGTACGTATCACACTTTTATAGTATTTTATCAGGTTCTTCTAACGAAAAGTGCATGTCACTTTTCTTAAAATATTATGCATCGTTGTGTTTTGTGGCTACAAAATAGTCTATGACATGATGGATGTGAGACACATTAATCTGGCAATCCGTTCACCGTTCCATGCTTGTGGGTGTATTAACCCATCCTCATCCTCATCGAACTATTCCTGGATGTTGGTCCCTGAAATGTCAAAATATGTATCAAGATGTTTTGGTGCTAAAACGACTCGTGGACGTTCGAATCAGGCTATTTTCGCTTCAACTTCAACATCACCTTTCCTCGGGTAAGAACGAATCAATAAATATCAGTATTTTTGTGTCAAAAAGATGTTCTCGCAAATCTCCTATCAAATGTGCAACTGCGTCATTTGTTGAAAGATATACATTGACTCTAAAGGACGGGGATATAATACCAGTCTTTCAGGACCTTTATGAAGCTGAGGAATTATTATTTCTTCTAAATTTGTAGAAATAGTTAAATTTGATGGGTGGATCACTTTTCTTAACATATTATGCATCGTTGTGTTTTGTGGCTACCAAATAGTCTATGACATGATGGATGTGAGAAACATTAATCTGGCAATCCGTTCACCGTTCCATGCTTGTGGGTGTATTAACCCATCCTCATCGAACTATTCCTGGATGTTGGTCCCTGAAATGTCAAAATATGTATCAAGATGTTTTGGTGCTAAAACGCATGTTCGATGGTCGAAATGAAATGAAAACAACATTCAGAAATATTTTTAAGAAGATTCCATAAGAACATCATTATCCCCGTGCATTTAAAACAAACCTATAATTATGAATGAACATATACATACTTACACAACTTTGACCTGACCTCCACAGACGCCATATTTATCGAAGGGGATTACATGTACAATAAACAAGCTCGTCTCAAACGTAACTCAGTGTCACTTGGTTAATTGACTTCTCACGAATTAAAGGATTACCAACAGCGGAAGTGTATTGTCCGGATATGTGAGACAATTTTGTGTGCATTTCAGTGTTTTGTGTATGAAAATGACTGTCCGGTTCCGGAAACTGAATTTCCGGAAATACGGGTAAATTTATATAGTAATTATTTCGTTTTGAATGAAAATCGTCCGGGAACCGAGGTTTCCGGATATCTGAAGTCCGTATAAGCGGGGCATGACTGTATAGGGTGACGTCGCATCCTACAGTTCCCTTCTGTGGCGTTTTTGTTTGACGTCAGTTTACAGACTAATTGGGGAAAACAACTGTTTTCAATTCAATTCAATTTACTTTACGTTTGTAGGATGTTGGTTTGTGGGATGTAAATAGCAAGTAACTTAAATAACGCCTAATAGAGCACTATCTGACTTCCCACGCTTGATATTGAACATTCTGAAACATGCTTGAACGTCTTCCTCTCCCTCTGCAGGGCATGGACATGTGGTACTACATCGACAACATGGGGGAGACGACCAACAACCCTCGCTTCCCGATGTACTCGGGCCAATCAAAAGCCACGTTCACGGCCTTGACCTTAGTTCCATTCCTTGTTCTTAGACAATGCCTGGCGTAAGACATGGCACCTGGTCTGGTATGCCACCTTCAAGAAATATAAGAAAGTTATATAAACGTCCTACGTATCGACTGTCATTCGAAAGCTAAAATATGAACTTCTTCAAAGCAATCAATTGAATATGACAAAACATGTTAGATAAAAATATCTTTATCTCAGACTTGTTCGACCCATGAAAATCTACATCTATATGCGTCAGCTCTTAATCGTTAATTTTTTAACTACTACTATCTGTATTCATATGTATCCGATCATTACAAACTACTGTTAGTTAGTAATGTCATTTACACAATGTATTTGTATTTGTAATTCCTATCAGTGTCGCTTTTGTTCTGTACACATCAGTAATAATTATTTGGTATCTATGTCTGTGCTATTCAGTTTTACAATCAGATTGTGCATACCCTTAACCAAGGGAAGTTTAGAAGGCGATATGTAGGATGTTTCTATAGCTGCAAAGGACCTGTCCCCGGAACTTGACTTCAAACAACCTCAATTTGACCTGGATTTGAAACTGCGTATGACTAGTTTGTTGCACATTGGCCTGCCTTCATTCGTGTGTTTAGTATTTGCAGTGTGACGTTACCATTACTATGGCGACTGACTGCTGAACGGCATAGCCAATGATGTACATTCGTGTTTGAATGTTCGTCTATGTTCATCACGAATGTTCACAATTAATAGTTTTTGAGCAATAAAAAAATTCACAATTATCCTATCTGTGTTAACATTTGTCATAGTTATGGACCATGATGCTTATCAAGTGATTATTGCACTGGACATATTCAAATACTTCGAATTGGTTTGCACTGACATACATATACTTTTTAAGGACCATCTGTAGCTGATCTGTCCTTAACAGTTTTTAGTATATATACACAGCCCTTCGTCTCTTTTCGTTGCATACACACACTCCTAAATAAAGAGACAAACATAATTCTAAGAGATTCCTGTAACATTGTATTTGTGTATCTGTATTTGAAATGAAATATATGTTTCAGCACGTCCCGTTCAATAAACGACACAAGTTTGGGTTCTAATACGTGTCCGGTTCCGTTTGCTTCATTTGTGGTGATGACTGAGTGTGTTTCTGTATCTTGAAAGGGAGGGTCGTTGATCATTATGGTGAATGAAGTTAATGCTGTTTCACAGTCCGCAAATAACTACAATTTCTAAATGAGCATGCTAGATCAAGGTAAACCAGTGGTTGATAGCATGAACATATCATGACCACCTGATCATTTTCAACGACTTTTGCGACAAGCATAACGTATGGGTCTCTCGCACATGATGTCCCCATTTCACATCGTTCGGTGTTCTGGGTTATCAACTGAGTTGCTTTACAGAAAGTCTGAGGTAAATTAATTGTTGTAGATACGATAAAGTTGCCAATTGATCGATTATTCCAATGCAGTCCATGATTTCAACAGTCACATCTTTTTCAAAGACGTACAAGTGATAGTGATGATGACACCATGATCCTTTAATCAATCCCTGGTTTGTCAGCTTCTGAATATTTAGAGGACTGCACGATACACCCAAATACTCGAATCTGATTTGATTTCACGGTTTGTCAGAGGCTGTGTGAAGCTGAAGTATTGCTGACTTGGACTTAAAACAACATTCACTCACATACAAAAACGTGTAGGTATATGGAAGCAATAACTGAAACATTGGTTCGGTAAAGGACAGTTCAACCGTATTTATTATATGAAAGTAGTTGGTGCACTTAATAAGTTCATCAGAAGGAGTATTATGGACAACAACTTCTATATTATACATACACGACGTGTGAGCGATACTTCTGTTATCTCAATGTACGTCAGAGAAACTGTTTAGTGTTATTTACCTGCCCATATTTGAACATGTTTCACGTACAATTGTATGGCTACTACAAAGACAGTGTTAAACGGACCAGGAGATGCAAGACAAAATGTAGATCGTCTACAACATGGACAGGGCTAGTAGAGTCCCTAACTGTCCATCCTGACAAGATTTGATGAATGCACATCTTGTTTGAAAAAGGTGAAACGCATTATCCAGTAAGAGATAGTTTTGTCGATGCAATAAAGGCATGACTTTAATAAAATCAAAACATCGATATGTTTGCAAACTATTGCCTTTCGTTCCTTATAAGATTGGATGGGGGTTTATGTTTCGAACTGTTGTCGTTTTTGTATACAACCATTGGCTGCACGTCACGTAATCTCATGTGATAAATTAGACAGTTCACTCTACATGTGGCATAGTAATCCTACGCGGTTTCTGACCCGAGAAGAACCGGCTGACAAATAGTCTTCAGAAACACATGTTTTTGTTGTAAATGTGGCGACAAACGGGAACGTGTGGTCTGAATCGCTGACGTGGTGGATTCATGTCGTCGTATTCCAATTGTGTAGAGCGACGATCATGATGTAAATCGCTGGATTGTCTGGTCCAGACCCTATTATATAAATAATATATATATACAGTAAAGTACGTTTATAACGAACACGCTTATAACGAACTGACGGATATAACGAACTTTTTTTTTGTCCCGACTATTTGCTATAGTTATGCTGTATATATGGTTATAACGAACTACGGTTATAACAAACTAAAGTTAGTGGTCCCTTTGAGTTCGATTTAACCGTAGTTTACTGTATATACCGCCGTCCTACAGCTGGAATATTGCTGAATGCAGCGTTAAACAGGACATATAAAATTAAACAATGAGAAGGGATAATAATAATTCTACACTCATGACTCTGAAACGCTGAAGGAGCGGGGTGTTTGACGAAATGCTGAACATGAATGTCTTTCACACCAGTTGGTAACAGACAAGGATGGTCATGGGGACCCAAGTTGCTTACATAACATGCCACCATCTGGATTGTTCGATCAGCTTTTTAACTCACAGTAACCACCTCTGATTGAAACAACTAATTAGACACTCACATCAGGGCGGAACCTGATATCTAAAAATTGTTTATCTTCCCTAGGCATCGGAAGCAGTGACATTTACAGATTATTGTGAAACATTTTTTTATTTGTAATATTTAAAGTTGTCAATACATTAAGGGCGAAAGGCAGGTCAAAAAGTCATGACAAATATTATGGACTGCATTCAAATAATCAGTTGATAACGTAATCGTATCTACAACAACTAATTGACCTCAGACTTTCTGAAAAGCAAATTAATTGATACACCTAGAAAGCCGAACAATGTGTGTGTGAGTGAGTGAGTGAGTGAGTATGGTTTTGCGCCGCTTTTAGGAATATTCTAGCAATATCACGGCGGGGGACACCAGAAATGGGCTTCACATATTATACCCATGTCGGGATTCGAACCCGGGTCTTCGGCGTGATGAGCGAACGCTTTAGCCACTAGGCTACCCGACCGCCCCCAGCGGTGTGTCAGAGACCCAGACTTTATGCCTGACATTTCAGAATAATTAAAACGAGTAACACTGTTAGTGTTGAAAACACTATCCATGTGGAACATCGAACCCAGAATTTCATCGTGACGAGCGAACGCCTCAACCACCAGGCTACCCTATGTCCCTGATTAATACGTAACTGTAAGAACACTTACACAGATAATGCTGCCAAAACGATGACTAAAACGTCAGGTCAACATTGTGTTATACATTGTATAATGGTGATGAGAGTGAAGGAGTAAAATTAAAGACATATTTAATTATTTCATTTGATACCACTCTCCAGCAATAATCACATAATCTAGTAAGTAGCTGACTGAAACTGTCATTTTCACAACGTACCTTGATTTCAATTCTCAGTTTTACAAAGTCTGTAAACCTTTACCTATTTTCCATTAACACGGTCAATTGGTTCAGAATATGATGACCCTTCTCAATAAAGCAATTGATAACCTCAATAAATACCCAAACCAAATTTCAAATGTAATTTGTCCTTCTTTGGGTATACGGTTGGTTTGTTTGTTTGTTGTTTTACGCCGCACTCAGCAATATTCCAGCTATATGACGGCGGTCTGTAAATAATCGAGTCTGGATCGGACAATCCAGTGATTGATATCATGAGCATCGATCCATGCAATTGGGATCGATGACCTGCATCAACCAAGTCAGCGAGCTGACCACCCGATCTCGTTAGTCGCCTTTTACGGCAAGCATGGGTTGCTGAAGCCCTATTCTACCCCGGATCTTCACGGGTCTTTGGATATACGGACACACAATTGCATGTACATCTTTGTTAAAATATATCGTCTTTGCAAGGTCTGTTCCTCTTGGATTTAGTTATCTTTAGTGTTGAGTATGAAAGGACTCTTTGTTACTAATAGAACGGGGGAAGGTTAAAGTAGCCTGTCAACTGCCGCCAAACTTTACTTTGAATGCATTTGTATTTGCGATATATATACAACGTGTTCACAAGTCAGAAAATCACCACTTTTGGTCCTGTGTATTGCGTACAAGAAACATAAAATAAAACAAATAAACAACAGCTCAAATCTTCAAGTCAAGGTCGATATTTTCTGCAACAATATTAGCGTTGAGTGTGAAAGGACTCTTTGTCACTGATATAGCGTGGGAAAGTTATAGTGACCTCGTCCACTGTTCATTTAATGATCCTAAGCACGATATATATATCTATATCTATATGTGTGTGTGTTGTTGTGTGTGTGTGTGCTGTGTGTGTGTTATGTGTGTGCTGTTGTGTGTGTGTTGTGTGTGTGTGCTGTTTCATTTAATGATCCTAAGCACGGTATATATATATCTATATGTGTGTGTGTGTGTGTTGTGTTTGTGCTGTTGTGTGTGTGTTTGTTGTGTGTGTGTTGTGTTTGTGCTGTTGTGTGTGTGTTTGTTGTGTGTGTGTGTGTGTTGTGTTTGTGATGTTGTGTGTGTGCTGTTGTGTGTGTGTTGTGTTTGTGCTGTTGTGTGTGTTGTGTGTGTGTGTTGTGTGTGTGCTGTTGTGTGTGTGTTGTGTTTGTGCTGTTGTGTGTGTTGTGTGTGTGTGTTGTGTGTGTGATGCCGCACGTAACATTTCAATCTGAACAGAACGTTCAGTTTAACAGGCTCCATACAAATGTAGCAAATGGCTGTAGTAGTTGTGACCACAACGCAGCAATGACATGTTATTGAGCCAAAGGAAGAATATAAAACCCGTGACTGTGTTCAGAATTTCGTTCAAATTGTGACCGACGATAATCTCTACTTCCGACGAACAGGTAAAATACGGACAAGGTCGCGCGGCCCTCAAGACCAGGTATATGAACGGTGAGCACCGGGCCACACCGCATAGTTAAAATGAAAACATGTTTGATACTGAATTATATCAAATATTACATGTTCGGGCAGATTGTACTTTATTGGTCGTTATCGTTTTTGGTTAAGTCAGGAAAATATATGTGAACAACCATCATTAAGGGAGCTTATAGGTGAAAAATCTCATTATGACTTCTTATTGTATTTTAATACTTCAGTATCCTAGGACCGCAAAGACATAAGCTTCAACTTATATTTATTACAGAGATACATGACATCAAACATTTGAACTCATTTTCAGCCTAGTCCCATTTTTAGACTTTTAAATGTTATGTAATAATTAAAGTTTTTAGATAATGTCAGATACATTGAAAGTTGGCATGTATGCTGAAATGTTTAGAATAAAGTTTGTATTACATTACGAACTAACGAGAGAAGCATAGTCGCCTTTTACGGCAAGCATGGGTTGCTGAAGACCCAATTATTTACGGCCTCCAGTGTGCACAATTCACCAACCTCCGTTGCGAATAGGACCCTTGTTTACAAATATAGGCCGACCCGTCACGATCCGGTGTAGAATTGGTCTTCAGCTACCCATATGCTTGTTGTAAGAGGCGACTAACGGTATTGGGTTGTCAGACTCGCTGACTTGGTTGAGGCATGTCATCGATCCCAATTGCGTGGATCGATGCTCATGATATTAATCACTCTATTATCTGGTCCAGACTCGATTATTTACAGACCGCCGTCATATAGCTGGAATATTGCTGAGTGCGGCGTAAAACAACAAACCAACCAACAACAAACACATGTGTATGCTCTCTAGTCGTATTGTCACTAAATGTGTTTAATCAGTCGATATAAGGTCAATCTCAGTTGGGAGTCCGGGTCACAATTGATCCCCATGTATTTCTGGTCGTAGGATAGGATAGGACGGTCAGGCTTTGCGACCTGGCTGATAACGAGTCATTGTATACTAAAGGCGTGCAGCGTTGCAAATAATATCAGTCACTGGATTGTCAGGTCAAGACTCGGTTATTTACAGGCCATAAGAGACAGTGAGATGAGCTGAAATCGGGTTGCACGTATATAGCAACGTGCATTCCCGTGTGAGTGGCACCTGTGAAGATCATTGGTAGAATAGGTCTTCAGCAACTCATGCTTGCCGTAAAAGGCGACTTTTCTCGTCGTAAAAGGCGACTAACGGGATCGGGTGGTCAGGCTCGCTGACTTGGTTGAAGCATGTGAATCATGCTCGTGATGTCAATCACTGGATTGTCTGGTCCAGACTCGATTATTTACAGACTGCCGTCATATAGCTGGAATATTGCTGAGTGCGGCGTTAAACAACAAACCAACCAACCCAGTTGCGTGGATCATGCTCGTGATGTCAATCACTCGATTGTCTGGTCCAGACTCGATTATTGACAGACCGTCGTCATATTGTTGGAATATTGCTGCGTGCGGCCTTAAACAACAAACAAACATGTAGAAGCATACACGTTGTCACATATTGGTAAATATCAACTGAATAATTACTTAGGTTGACTGACATCGGTTCTCGGGAACACAACATAAATCTACTCCATTAAACATAACAAGCTTGTTTATATCTAATTGGACTGAGACAGCTTTGTCAATTCTACAAACTGTCACCATTACTGGGTTTCCCCTACCCAGCATGATTTCCTTGACAACAACTTGACACAAACTCACTCATGCATAAGTACAAATTAGTCATTAGCTGCATGTTCGCTGTACGTGACAACACGGTTACATCTTACAAAAGATGTGCAGTTTGGTCTCAGGGTTGCCTTTATAAAGACCGGGTTGGTAGGAGACGCCTCATTTCGGGATCAACTTTGAAACGTCAAGATGGCAGCTGTCTTTCTTTCCGTTCTGTGTGTCCTCTTTTTATCAGCCTTCACGTCAGCTACTTTCAAGGTCGCTCAACGGAGGCTTCAAACAGCTAGTGTGAGTATGACCATGCAGATCTCAATGATGTTCACCGTGTACACATTAATTATGTGGGGGACCCGAGAAGATCCGGGGTAGAATAGGTCTTCAGCAACCCATGCTTGCCGTAAGAGGCGACTAACGGGATCGAGTGATAAGGTTCGCTGACTCGTTTGATCCATGTCATCGTATCTCAGTTGCGTAGATCGATGCTCATGATGTTAAACATTGGATTATCTGGTCCAGACTCGATTATTTACAGGCCGCCGTCATATAGCTGGAATATTGTTGAGTCAGGCGTTTAACAACAGACAAACAAACACAATTATGTGTGGAAGTTAATTTTACTCAAATAGTATGATGAAGGTCTTATGTTTTATGTAATGGTAACATGACAATGATGTAGGTAGCATTTAGGGATATTTTGAGATAGGGAGTCAAGGAGATACTTTGTTCGAAAAATCTTGAGGTGAGGTGAAATCGGGTTTAACGTCACGTCCTAGATTATTGCACTTATATAGCGACGTGCATGCACATGTGTGTGTGTGTGTGTGGCTGCTTGTACTATTTCGGACTGATGCCGATTTATAGTGCTAGCACACTGAGATACCATGCTGCAGTTAAACATGAATACCCCACTCAGACACAGTATACTGACTCCGAGCCGACCAGTCCTTGTTTTTGCCCCTGTATGCCGAGCGCCAAGCAGGGTAACAACAAGTATCTTTTAAGACCTTTTGTTATGACGCGGCCGGGGATCGAACCCCGGAACTTCCGCTCTCCGGGCGGATGCTCTACCACTAGACCACGGAGGCGGTCAAGAGCTTTTTCCCCCTTCATAAAAATGCGTCATAAAAAAACTTGACGAGAGATATTGTTTATATAAAGCAATTATATTAAGTGCCTGCTTTAATGTTAAGATTTCAAAAGTTTCACGGCACGAAATTATATGATGTTTTGTTATGTATATATCAACACTGGACTACGTATGATAAAGCACTACTTTACTGAAGCAAGATTCACCGGAATCGAGTCCACTCCAATATTGCTTATTGGCGATAGATGTATTTCGTAATAAATAACATAACTATAAGTGTATTCTTTATACCCTAATGCAAACACAAGGCTTTGAAACTAGATACCACTATACATACATGTATCACCGAGTCTAGTGAGCGTACATGTTATATGCATCTTATAATATAGATACAGTACGTTGACTTTACAGGCAAGAATTTACATGTATGAAAAGATGTTCACTTCTTGAATACTATGTACCACAATTGTATTGACATTGTATTGATTGTATATATATAGAGGTTATCACGCGAGTGTGTTTGGGGATGGTAAATATCCTGCATTAGGAATAAACATTGTATTTAGCGAGCCTTGGCGAGCTAAATACATAGTGTTTATTCCTAATACAGGATATATACCATCCCCAAACACACAAGCGTGATAACCTCTTTATCATAAAATGTCATTCTTTAATTCTGTGCTTCAAAATCGCTTTACCCTCACTCACAAACATTACCGAAGCATTGCGAGTTTTCCTGGAATGCGCGCATTAATATTTATTACGTCACAGGGTAAGTGATGTGTCAGTCGGACAGTGACAGTAGCCAATATAGTTCCAACTGAAATATGTTTCTTATACACTTTCGCTGTAATCCATCGGTCTGTCCGCTAGAGTAACTGCCCTTTGTCAAAGGGAAACTACTCTAACCCTAGTCTATGAGACGTCACGGCCACGGTCAGACGTTGTTGACAGTCGGTCTGTCCTGTCATAACGATAAGAAGTGTTGTCAGATGTACACACAGCGACAAAACGAAACAAGGTAACAATTCAAACATATTTCGGCCAAATCCAACTATTTTAATTTGTGGAGGAGGTTTCAAGCCGCAGAGGTCTACAAGCACAGATATGGCTACTGATCACGCTTGGCTAGGTCTCGTGCCCTCGCCAAATTGTTTCGAAATGTATATCTCCAAAGTTGCCAAAACTTATAAAATGCCTTAGCTACGTCATAGTTAGACACAGATTTTCAGTATATTAGACTGTTCTTTTGATAATGATAGCAATTATCCCTGTAGTTTATCCAGATTCCCGATGGTTAATTCTGACTCGATCGCCGAATGACGAATGCGACGCCGTGTTTGTTTATAAACAGTGAAAGTAGTCCCTACGTGACCTTTGATATTTGCATCTCTATCCGCATATGACCCCAACGGATATCGTTTTTATCCGTTGGCTTTATCCTGCCGAGGATTCTAAATGATCGCAAACAATGATCTTTTCCTGTCATGATTCGGTCATGTTCGACGATGTTGTGAGGTGTTCGGTTGTGTTTACAGTCTTGTATACCATACCATACCATCGTGTGGAAAACGTAAAACCTCCAATGGGTTTGAACGTTTCAGGTGAACTTCTCAAGGTCAGGTGACCGGTATTTTGTCCAATGGGAAACGTATAGATCTTGTGAACTTCACATTACAGAATTGATGTGTGACTTTATTCCCTTCCAGGAATGGCAGTTGATCGACACGTGGACGTTCGAATCAGGCTACGTTCGTTTCAACTACAACATCACCTTTCCTCGGGTAAGAACGCATCGTGGTCGGCGGCTTATGACGTCCTTCCCTGTCATACCCCAGACGTCATCAATAGGGTTGGTTGGTTTGTTGTTTAACGCCGCACTCAGCAATATTCAAGCTACATGACGGCGGTCTGTAAATAATCGAGTCTAGACCAGACAATCCAGTGGTTGATATCATGAGCATCGATCCACGCAATTGGGATACGATGACATGCATCAACCAAGTCAGCGAGTCTGACCACCCGATCCCGTTAGTCGCCTCTTACGACAAGCATAGTCGCCCTTTACGGCAAGCATGGGTTGCTGAAGCGTCAAACTGACCAGTTGTGTGGTGGATGGACAGTCCAATATGCCACAGATGATGATTCCTTCGTTGGGACGGGTGGAGGTGGTGAAGGGGTAGGGGTAAGGGTAGGTGGGGTGGGTGTGTGGGTGTTTGTTGTCTAAGGGTGCCGCAACTCGCTGTGCAGAGTAACGTCCCTTGGGCACGCCAGAACCGTCAGGTCACACTGATTATGTTTCAAGGTTTAACAAGACCATACCCGTGCTTGTGGGTTGCACTCACATCACGCTGACACGCCGTGTTGTAACTGGACTTTTGTTCAAGCGGCGTTGAACTCAACTCATCACTTCGCGAGATATGGCCAAGGAGCTACCACTGTACCTATACAGCAAGAACGACGGGGGAAGTATCAATGTTCATGGGAAATCCAGGACTACGGATATTATATTATGAATCCTTTTCAAGGACATGTGTCTTATGAATGATATATCACCACAAAAATAACACTAATTCTTCTCAAACTTTTCTTTCCTTCTTTTTAGAGCTATGCTCCCATGAAGTTCCTTTTCTACAAACAAGAACAGTTCTTCCAGGCGAACGAAGGAAGCAAGGTGAGTATTCACATCCATGAGATTGTTTTACTGCAGTGTACATGATCTCAAATTGAGCTTGAACCTATTCTGTTCTGGATTTCTCCTTTGGGGTAAGACCCGTGAAGATCCGGGGTAGAATAGGTCTTCAGCAACCCATGCTTGCCGTAAAAGGTGACTATGCTTGTCGTAAAAGGCGACTAACTGGATCGGGTGGTCAGGCTCGCTGACTTGGTTGATGCATGTCATCGATCCCAATTGCGTGGATCTATGCTCATGACATTAATCACTGGTCTGATTAATTGTCTGGTCCAGACTCGATTATTTACAGACCGCCGTCATATAGCTGTAATATTGCTGAGTGCGGCGTTAAACAACAAACCAACCAACCAACCTTTGGGGTAAACTTCAGCATGATATCTGTATGCACTTCGGAAATTCTTGAAAATATCTCTAAGACTGAGACAAAAATGGACAGACAATTTATTGACCTTTGTTTCCTCTAGAAGAGCAAATAACAATAACGTAGGTTTGGCCAAACCGATGATAATATATGCCATCTGGGAAAATGTTTGTATATATCATTATAGTGAAATTGTGTATTTTGTGTATACATGTATATGGATTGTTAAATGTTTATAAGTGCAAATCACACACTCACATCAAACACTGAGGGCAAGATCAAACTTTCAGCAACCAATAACCACATCATCTTCAGCTACATCATGCGTTCTCTTATGTAAACTGCTGATCGAAAGAAAGAATGTTTTTATCGTAAATAACTTTTAATACATTGGCTAGTGGATACTGAATTCAGGATGAAAACGAGTCCCCAAACACACCCAACATCATCTGACTGTTCGATAGTTTGAGAAGAAAAGACTGTTCGTGATTTTTTTATGACACGGGTCTGTTTGTGACAGCACGACATGAAACTGCATAGCGGATATAAAATGCAACGGCTGGATCCCAAAACATCAAAGGTCATAAAAACACGCGAGGTTATCAGCAGAACAAAGAGGGGTGTGTGTCTTTGAATGGCACTGATGGTAACCACGTAGATCCCTATTGCAAGAACGGTCGGGTGCAGCCGGCTGATCCCTGTGATACTGACTACTTCAGGGGTATCACCAGACTGGGCACACAAGGGGCAGACCGGAAGCTGGAGGCCAAATGTGACCACGCCACAGCAGAATCGGCATCTGGGCACGTTACATATGCGTAACCACTTCCAGGCGGTGACGTCATCGGCGTTGACATGACTGGGACCGAGTGATTTTCACCCCATTGCCTTGACCCGTCAACATCGGCGAAATAGACGCCATTAGTATCGAGGTCTGTGACGTGATTGGTCAAGTGTACTGTTCAGCTAAGAGAGCTCCGCCCTGATTGTCGGCTTCGGGTGTATCGTCAGTGTCACCTTAACGTCTTGAGGCTATTATGATGAAACGACGGGTTAATTTTTTCCAACATTAGCAGCCGGTAGGACGAGATGGTAATTATATGACTGTAAACATTCAAAAGCCTGATGAAGCAGGATCCGTTTATTCACTCCTCAGGGAACTGGGAATACGATTTGAACGCACACTGATCTATTCGGCGGATTGATGTAATTGTAGTCTATTTCTTATTATCATTATTAGTTTTATCATCATCATTATTATGAATATAACTATTATTATTGCATCGTTGCTCTACATTGAAACACAGTGTAGTTATCTCCTCATTTCAATGTTACAAATGAATATTTTAAATCAACAATTCACAAACCGAGCTGCATTACAATGTATTGATGGGAAGCAACGGTCTTTCTATTGTTTTTTCTAAAACCGGTCCTTTTTTGTATTCACATGACACATTACGTGATAAAATATGTTACCTTTAAAGATGACAATAGAATATAGTAATAGTACTTAGGCAATACAATTTAAAAAATACCGCAAAGCTCAAACTGATATCAATCATGTATGTTTCTGGGGGCGGATGGCCCAGTCGTTGTACATAGTTACGTCCCTTAGGCCTGACAGGAACTGCTTTCGTGGAATTGAAACCCCGTCCGCCCTGATTATGTTTTAGGCTTATACCAACGTGTTAATTGTCTTGGACATGCGTCACCTTGGGCTTTCATCCAACACCTAGCTGACATGCCGTGATATAACTGAAATGCTCCTCAAATCGGCGTTAAATTAAACCTCACTCACTCACAGATGTACGTATGTTTGCTTTTATGACAGACTTGCGACGAGAAGTTGTCTGTTCTACAATTCGGCGCCACCGGTCAACAAATCCTGAACCTTGACGTTGGAATGACCCAAGCCGGCTGTATGCAGCGTTACGACTCCACCATGGGGGACAGCGTCACCTGTAACGGCCGCGTTACCTTCAACGTCGATCGTGGTATGATGTGGTACGTGGTGGGCAACAGATGTGGCACAATGAACGGAATCTCGGTACGTAATACACCTTTACAGCATTTTACCATTACATGATAGTCAGGACGAGTGCATACATGTATTAACGTTTATTTATGTAAAATGAGTGAACGAGTGAGTGAGTGAGTTTGGTTTTACGCCGCTTTTAACAACATTCCAGCAATATCACGGCGGGGGACACCAGAAATGGGCTTCACACATTGGACCCACGTCGGGAATCGAACCCGGGTCTTCGGCGTGACGAGCGAACGCTTTAACCATAGGCTACCCGACCGCCCTTTACGTAAAATGAAGAAGGGTTATAGTTTCTTTGCAGGGTTCAACGTTTTGTGCCTCAGCATTATAAATAGCCCTCGGGTATGAAATGTAAGGACAATTTCTCCTATCAATCGTGTGATATGGGTGTAGATGGACCTTATGACTATTTCCCGCATCCCCCACAATGTAACTTTGAAAACACGCAGAGCTCTTGCTCCTCCTTGCTGCAACGTCCTTCAGTCATGTAATGGGTTGCTGAAGACCTACTCCACCCCGGATCTTCACGGGTGTTCAGTCATGTCAGACCCGTTGATGGTGGGTTCTAACTCGCTTCCATCACTTCAGATGTTCGGCCCCAATCACGCCTACACGACGTGACCTAATTCACATACTGTTTAATACGGTGAACGTGTACATGTACACCTCAATCCTCACTCACTGAAATAAGATTAGATCCGGGGTAGGATAGGTCTTCAGCAACCCATGCTTGCCGTGAAAGGCGACTATGCTTGTCGTAAAAGGCGACTAACGGGATCGGGTGGCCAGGCTCGCTGACTTGGTTGATGCATGTCATCGTATCTCAATTGCGCGGATTGATACTCATGTCAGCATGTCAGTCACTGGATTTTCTTGTCCCGACTCGATTATTTACAGACCGCCGTCATATAGCTGGAATATTGCTGAGTGCGGCGTTAAACAACAAACAACAACAATCACTGAAATAACAAATATATTAGATACATATTTGACGACACTTCACATCAAACATTATGATACTATAACATGAAAGCAACTAGTAGCGACAAAATCCTTTCCATACAAACCGTTATCTAACAGTTAATATGTTATAAATGTACAATCGGTAATTAATACCAGTCGTCAATTATATTGATAAATTAATTACTGTATTACGAGAGCAGTTCTTGCTTGAATGTCTTCCTCTCCCTCTGCAGGGCATGGACGTGTGGTTCTACATCGACAACCAGGGGGAGACAGAGGGGGAAACCACACGGCACCCTGGCTTCCCTACATACTCCGGCCAATCAAAGGCCACGTTCACGGCCTTCACCTTGATTCCCTTCCTCGTGCTGAAACAATGTCTGGCGTAGCTCTCATTGGTTGGCCTCCACACGTATATAACAATCAACATATTCCTGATGACTTCATATTGAATTGTTCCTGAGATATAAAGACCCGTCTATATTCTTAACCCAACTAGAGATCCAAGGCGTCAGAAGTTTGTTTTTCCTAATTTCGTGAAAAACCTATCCATGTTAAGAAATTATTTAGCCGAAAGAGATCGACTTTTTCTCGTCTTGTCGACATATGTCATGCAAGGATAAGATATAACTTCTTTATTACAATTAGGAGCGACGTTTCGGTGTAGGTTCTCACACCCTTATCAAGCAATTGCAATAAAGAAGTTGTTCATCCATATATCTTACTCTTACTTAGTCCACCAAATTTTAAATGCCTCTCAAAAAAGAAACCATATGCCATTATAGATTCATAACTGGGTGCATTTAAACATTTTTTTGAAGTTCAGTCCATCTTTAAGACAGGATAAAATTGATGTTGATAATGGACACGCCCCTGGATGTCGAGTACCATATAGTGACTAGTTACCTACATAACACCTTGTGGATATATGTAGTTGAGAGGAGAATCGCGCGTTGGAATGTTGCAGTCTGACGTCGCCATTGCCATGGCGACTGACTTCTGAACAGTGTACCTAATACTCTGTATTCTATACCGGTGGTTGTGCATGCACACCCCGTACGAGAACGATAGAGTGTAATTTGTCTGTATATGATAATAAACGCTATTTTCCTTACGATTGTTCACGAGTGTTTGATTTTGTGATGAAATGTTCACATCAACTTTCATTACTTTCTGCGTTGGAAACAATCAATTTGGGGTCGGACAGTTGCTACCCAGATGTGAGAATGATAGGTCTTCAGCAACCCATGCTTGCCGTAAAAGGAGACTTGCTTGTCGTAAGAGGCGACTAACGGGATCGGATTGTCAGCCTCGCTGACTTGGTTGATGCATGTAATCGTATCCCATTTGCGTGGATCGATTCTCATGATGTTAATCACTGGATTGTCTGGTCCAGACTCGAGTATTTACAGACCGCCGTCGTATAGCTGGGATATTGCTGAGTGCGGCGTTAAACAACAAACGAACAAAAAATGTTATCGACAACATGACCAAAGACCCATGCACTTCGCGTATCTCGTACAACGGATGACTCAATGGCCCTCGAACTTTAAGTAAACATTATGTAGAGTAATTTTATTTTGCTATCCCAGACAGACAAACATTTGAAAAGGTGAAAGAATAAAATAGATACTCACACGCAAAAGAAACGCAAGTGGTTTTAAGCAAATAGGTAACAAACACGGAACCGTAAATTGATACGAGTTTTAGCATGTAGTGAAGCCTGATGTTGTTATCAATATCTTTGGTTGCATTTTGGAAGCCCCGAGTAAAAACGCAACATAAAAAACGAATCGCCAAAACGCACCATTTCAATGAATATGGGGGTTTCATGCAACCATTTCTCGCGAAATCGAAAATGCACGAACTGTGACGAACTGTAGTGGGTATAAAACTGTGGCCGATTCTTGGACCTACCACTCCTTGGTCAACAATGCCACGCCTAACTCAAATTTAGAGAAACCAGGCTATCGGACGTTTGGAAGCTGGAGAGTCTGTCCAAGATGTTGCCCGTCATTTCAACGTTAACATAACCACAATTTACCTTCTCCTGCATCGATACAATGCTATACAGACCACAGGTCTTCCTCGGAGCGGTCGTCCTAGGGTCACCACACCTCTACAAGATCGGCAGATTACCCGTCAACACCAGCGACATCCGGCATAGTGACCCACGTTCTGCAAAGCAGGGTGGGTTCCCCAGTGTTCTATTGTATACTGGTTTACATCACCTCTTATTTAGACCATTAAGCTGAGACGCAGTGATATTACAGACCTGCTATAAAGACGTTAAACACAACATACTCTCTTGTTAACAAATACTCACCAACAAATTGGTGTTGAAAGTGGATGTCATTCACCGTGACGAGTCCTTTAGATCAGCTGGTCGTTTCATGTCAAGATCAGTTGGCTATGGGTTCAAATCCCATATTCGCCTTTAATTAAAGTGTTTAGTCTTTCAACCGTTATTAAAGTGGTCTGTCCCTCAATCAACAGGAAATCAAAATGCAAGTAAATTAATCTTTATTCATTTAAAGGCACCAGCTAGAAATATATACTTCCATATGGACATAATTTACACTGAAACACTTTGAAAACACAAAATGGTCTCAAACGTTAAATTGTGTTGTTCTGGGTTAAGATAATCTATCAAAAACTATGTCGTCGTACGAGTTCGAATCTCATTCGATGTTTTTTTAGATAGCCTTTTTATTATTCTGATTTCGAGTTTAAATTGATTTTGTGTTATCATTAATATAAGCAAACGTTCAACAATGAACACCTCAGATGTGGCCTTGTTACTTTGGCGAACATTCGACAGCTAACATGTGTAAACATTGTTTTCATGAGAACGTATTCAATAACACTTCGGAAAAGAGGAGTGACTTCTACTTTCCAATAGTCTCCTTTTCCTTTATGTCGAGCAATATTTCTGCAGCCCCAGCCTTTGGAGTTTGACAACTTGGTTCTATCGAGGTCTTTCTACGAAAGGTCCAAATGACGTCTTATGACTCTTGCTCTAGAGATGCTTGATCAGGATTACCACAATCAAGGCTTTAAATCTTTAAACGTGTCTTGGTACACATGTGGAGTGTCAAAATATATGTCTGTTGCAATCCACTATTTTGGCTTGAATCATATTTTCCCGTGAACAATAGATTTTTCTCTGCAGGTGATACTGACAAGTGTCATCTGTAGAGTAGAATACGCCCAACTTTTCGAGAATACCTGGTATCATCACTGTAAGATAGTGATTCCTAAACACATGTTCATGATATAGTCGGAATCGGACTATGGAATCTGATTTCAATACAGATTCACATAGAGTACAAATTTCCCAATTCATAACCGAATTTAGTTGGTTTTGATGTAAATGTTATTGTTATTTTCACAGAATTCTTCTTTCCGCAGTTGCAGAGTTTTCATTCCTAAGTCATAGCAACACTCGTTTTCGTCACATCAGGTTTTCAAGAGTGAGCTAGGTAATGTCATATTTATTTAGTTTTTCAATGTAGTCACACTATACAGGCAATTTTCATTTTGTGTTTGTGAATACATTATAACAAATCTCATAAATCAAAACAAATAGAACATATTAAATGCATTAACAAACTGTGAAATTAGATTTGTATCAAGAAATCTGGTAGCAATAAATGTGGTAACGTGAATGTGTGTGCTCCAACCATGAATGTTATGTGACAAGAAACATATGCAACATCATAAAATGTCGGTGCCTATCCCACTCAACATGGACTCATTGAACATTAAAACATATTCCAATAACATTTTGAAAAGAAATGTGATAAATCAGACCACATTTTCCAAGGCCAATACCGATCATTAATCGGAAGATTATTAATTCTAGTGCAAATATACATTTATGCATGAATAAGTGACTTGTGTTGTACATTGCTTAAAAGTATTTTTAGTTATATCTCATCTCAGAGAGAGGAGGAGAGAGAGTGAGGCGATTTTAAACATTCAGTAGTTTGATGAAAGCCGGCAGTAGCGGTGTTGGCAAAGAAGGTGTCTTAATCTGGTGTCTGGTATTCCGACCACCGATCACGGGATCCATGGCCCAGACAACTTCACGAATGTTTACTTGTTCAGATAGTTTGTAGACTTCTTGTAATATTGAATGATATCGTGTTGCTTTCTTATTATTAGGGAAAGGATTTTGTCGCTTTTATTATTCCATATATTTAGCCAATGTTTTTGCTATCTCCGTGATCAGTTTTCAATTATAGAAAATCTCATGCTTTGGTTTCATCTGGTTTCGGCTATTTTCAATCTTCACTTTATGGGCCAACCTCCTTTTCAACACCTTCCGGTTTTGGAACTTCCGGTTTTGGAACTTCCGGTTTTGGGTCCGGTTTCGTGTCACTCCCAGCCGTGCTAGCAACCACAGCCATACGAGGCAGGACAGGGTCCGCCTTCTTTCTGACAACAACAAGTGTTATCTTGGCAGTGAGAGCCACAATCGTTAGGCCCAACAGCACAGCCGTGACGATGAAGTTGGCACTATTTGTAGCAGGCAGGCTGACCAGAATACCGATCAAGACCCACATGACAACAGCATAGGGGGTGAAGGTATAGCGGGAGTATTTGTCCAGGACAGTCAGGTCAGTTGCAGTGTAGGCAACAAGGAAAGCTGCGATAAAGGCAATAACAACAGAGGAAGCAGTATTTTGGTTTATGATGGGATCAGATCGGTAGACCACCAACACGGCCATCGTGATGAAAGTAGCCATGGACGTCCAGGTAGCGTACAGGCCTATACCATTCTGAACCAGACCTCTGATGAGAGCGTCGTCCACCCTGCGATTCTGTTGAACCAGAACAGTTCTGTTCTGATACAGAGCTATGTAGGAGATGGCTAGAGATGCAAACAGGGTAACAGAGATGAGGAGCAGACCAACGAATGATACGGACACGATGTCCGTGAAGGCTACTGAGTTGATGGCGATCTGGATAACAAGTGCCAGAAAGTAGATACCAAGGAAGAGGGGGGTCAGGAGCACCGGGTGAGGGCTGGACCTGCACACCAGGATCAGAGAGTAGATGATCCAGCTGACCTGCCAGGAGTAGACGAACCAGGCGATGACCAGGGTCCAGCGAGCCGGGTAGACGTCCAGCACGGGAACAATGTTTTGCAGTGCTGGAACTAAGGAAAATATTTACTCGTGTTAGTTGAAAATTAATAAGTAATCATTTAAATAATAATTACAAAAAACGTGTCTTTAAAAATACATCGACACTAGCATATGGTTCATAGCTATATGTGACGCCTTGCAGCCTGTTATGTAGGGACCCGTGAAGATCCGGGTAGAATAGATCTTCAGCAACCCATACTTGCCGTAAAAGGCGACTATGCTTGTCGTAAAAGGCGACTAACGGGATCGGGTGGTCAGGCTCGCTGACTTGGTTGATACATGTCATCGATCCCAATTGCGTGGATCGATGCTAATGATGTCAATCACTGGATTGTCTGGTCCAGATTCGATTATTTACAGACCGTCGTCATATAGCTGGAATATTGCTGAATGCGGCGTTAAACAACAATCAATCAATCAATCAATCAATCAATCAATGTTATGTAGGCTTCCTGTAACGTTAATAGTTATGTCGGCACAGTCATTTTGGTTTTAAGGTTACTGTTACTTGGTCGGCATGGTAAGATAAGATAACAGTACTGTGTCGACACAGCTGTCCAATATGGTTGTTAATAAAGACCTTATAAAACTCGGGGTTGCAACTTTAATCCGTTAAACAACATCCTCTCGCTCTCTGTACCTGGATCATTGCTGTATATGCCGGCGATGAAGACTGTGATAGCAACGATGAAGAGAACGACGATGGCGGAGTTGAGCGCCAACAGCTGAACGTACTGTTTGTTCATCTTGAACCCACGGTTTCTGGAGCTACAAAAAATTGTGTATTTGTGTCATTTTGTGTTTTGCTGCTACCACAATTGTCAGAGCGATATCAGTTGAAACAATATAGAAAAGAACCGGGAACCATAGAAACATTTAGAGACGTATGTACGTTAAGAAGAGATGTGTATCACTTAATGACAAAACTAACAACTAGTTAAGTGTTACCACAGCGTGTCTTTATTCTTTTCACGATAAGCTGCACGAGATGCATTTCGCGTCATGGATCTATGACGTCACATGTGATGCGTTCATGAACGTCGGTTCACGCAATATGACAGTATGTTCGTTTGCTCATCGAACCAATCTGATATCTCTTGAATATGAGTGATTCTTCATATATATACCAACATGTATGGTACTTCGGTGAGGGGACACGGGTGGCTCAGTCGTCTCAGGCGCCGCGATTCGCTGTGCAGAGTTGCGTCCCTTGGGCACGCCAGAAACCTATGATTGTGGGTTCGAATCCCGGTTCGCCCCGATTATGTTTCTAGGTTTGTCAGCACCATGCCCGTGCTCGTGAGTTTCACCGAAGTGGTAAACGTCTGAGACCTGCATCACTTTGGGCTTTCCTCCCACATTAAGCTGACATGCCGCGATATAACTGGAATACTGTTAAAAGTGGCGTTAAACCCAACTCATTCACTCACTCTTTTGTCGGTGAGGTTCTTTTGAAACCACATGGCTATCTGATAAAGTGAAAGACTGTTTGAGGAGGTAGGCTGCTTTTAGCAATATCGAAGTTATACACGAGTTTGACAAACACGGACGAAGGCTTTACCCACAAGGCTATCCCATTCACCGCTGTGTGCAAACTACATTCACCCACACAGTGAATGAAAGTAAGCACAATCAATCAATGCAATGGTAATGCTACATAGATCGAGATGACCTGATGTTCCTTCTCATGGAACCGCAGTGTGCAGTGGTCCTGAGTGCGAAATCGGTCCTACCGAAGCGCGTTGTTAAACTTGTAACATCCTCATCCTCGTGTACACTGATATCTGATCAACTCGAACCCATGACCTCAATTACCCGTGTGGCACTGCTGACCCATTTGTCGTGCATCGTGGTAAAAAAATAGATTATAATCGAATACCAGATTTCACCTTCTGATGTTTCTATTTTTTGTCAGCACTTTACAATTTTTTCGTCGGTTTCAGCAAAATCTAACCCAAACAGCCATGATTTGAGTCCCTATTTTGATGCGAGCATAGAGTGATGAGACGGAACGATGTTACAATACAACAGGGTGTTGGTCCAGCTCTGCGATATATGTCCGTTATTCGGATAAAATTCTAAAACATAGCAATATACAGCACTAGCTACACCCGATATATCCTGAACGTCATCATCAAACAAAGACGTTTAAAGCACTACTTACACCTAGCTTATTCTGAACGTCATCATCAAACAAAGACGTGTAAAGCACTACTTACACCTGGCATATTCTGAACGTCATCATCAAACAAAGACGTGTAAAGCACTACTTACACCTAGCTTATTCTGAACGTCATCATCAAACAAAGACGTGTAAAGCACTACTTACACCTGGCATATTCTGAACTTCATCATCAAACAAAGACGTGTAAACACTACTTACACCTAGCTTATTCTGAACTTCATCATCAAACAAAGACGTGTAAAGCACTACTTACACCTGACATATTCTGAAATTCATCATCAAACAGAGACGTGTAGAGCACTACTTACACCTGGCATATTCTGAACTTCATCATCAAACAGAGACGTGTAGAGCACCACTTACACCTGGCATATTCTGAACTTCATCATCAAACAGAGACGTGTAGAGCACTACTTACACCTGGCATATTCTGAACGTCATCATCAAACAAAGACGTGTAAAGCACTACTTACACCTGGTATATTCTGAACTTCATCATCAAACAAAGACGTGTAAAGCACTACTTACACCTGGTATATTCTGAACTTCATCATCAAACAAAGACGTGTAAAGCACTACTTACACCTGGTATATTCTGAACTTCATCATCAAACAAAGACGTGTAGAGCACTACTTACACCTGGCATATTCTGAACTTCATCATCAAACAAAGACGTGTAAAGCACTACTTACACCTAGCTTATTCTGAACTTCATCATCAAACAAAGACGTGTAGAGCACTACTTACACCTGGCATATTCTGAATTTCATCATCAAACAAAGACGTGTAAAGCACTACTTACACCTGGCATATTCTGAACTTCATCATCAAACAAAAACATGTTAGCAATACTTACACCTGGCATATTCTGAACTTCATCATCAAACAAAGACGTGTAAAGCACTACTTACACCTTGCATATTCTGAACGTCATCATCAAACAGAGACGTGTAAAGCACTACTTACACCTAGCTTATTCTGAACGTCATCATCAAACAAAGACGTGTAAAGCACTACTTACACCTGGCATATTCTGAACGTCATCGAACATTGACTCTCGGAGTGACGAACCAACTATTTACCTCCAAACCCATCACACCGACCGCGTAATTCTGCTGATTTCGGCATGGTTTTATTTTAGCAGAGCTTCATTTCTGTTGCGAAATAATTCATACGAGTATGAAATAGGCTACTTACGACTCCTGCAGCTGCCCGTGCTCCCGGATTCAGACAGCAAACTGATCCAAGTGTATGTAGGGCCAACATCAGACAGTCACATAATGGCCGATTGGTATTCCGAAGGCGTGAAATGTAAATAAACATTGCCACACCAAGTTCTAATTTATTGCGCTGTAAAACACATTGATCGTGGACACAGTTCAGTCGTGTTTGCTAATTAAATATTCTAATCTGAACAAGTACAACGAAAACTCGTCAGTCCGGACGCATCAGGACCGAAAACCTCGCCTTTTATACCATTCTCGCTGGAACGTCCATATGTGTTATGGTTAAAATGTATGGTCAGTTATTATGTATAAAATGGGGCGGTCGGGTAGCCTAGTGGTTAAAGCGTTCGATCGTAACGCCGAAGACCCGGGTTCGATTCCCGACATGGGTACAATGTGTGAAGCCGATTTCTGGTTTCCCCTGCCATGATATTGCTGGAATATTGCTAAAAGCGGCGTAAAACCCTACTCACTATTATGTATACTAGACATAATAACAAAATTCTATAAGTAAGAATGCAATAAGAACATCAATATGTTTACTGATAATTTTTTTATTCTTTCCAAGTAAAAATGAAACAGATAAATGTAACAATGTGAGGTACATTGGCTGAAGACACCATTACCGTTTATCAATGGTCAACATATGGAAAATGTTCATAGTTATGTTGTTATGACATGGCCTATCTAATTGATCTGATCTTCACAAGTCAATCAACAACACAAATTCTTCCCGAATTTTTGGTCCAATTCGATGCAACACGTTTTCACTGTATATCTGATCTTGAAAATGACTCCATCTATGAATCCATGATCGTGTCGTCAAATTCACTGACCTTGAAACATCCGTCGACTTTGAGCTCACTAAGGCTCAGAGTCACCCAGTATGTTGTAACTGGGTACCGGGTAGGATGAGATGTATATGTGTTTAGCGCTCTGGTATACTCCGAAGGGTGATGAGAATGTACGCTTCAAGTATGCTAATAGCATGTTATATTGGCGGCTAGTTATCATAATATTTTCCATCATAGCTGTCGCTCATGTAATGCATGCATCGTGATTTTTCCACAAATATAACTGCTCTCTGTGTATGGGTCCCCTATTAGTGATATCGGAACAGTCTACGATGGAGATCGAGGGGTCACTTTCGACAGCTGTGGTACCTTCAAACCCTAGATGCTTAACTGAAATATTGTTCAGCCCAAGTCAATTATAAGGATTCATTTCAGTGGAAGACTCATTTAGTTATGTTTTACGACGCTTGTGGAACTATTGCAGCCAGTGGGATAATAAAATGGCCTCCACACATTGTATCCATATCGGGAATCGACCCGGTACCTCAGGCGTGAAGACCCGTGAAGATCCGGGTAGAATAGGTCTTCAGCAACCCGTGCTGTAAAAGGCGGCTATGCTTGTCGTAAGAAGCGAGGGTGGTCAGGCTCGCTGATTGGTTGATGTATGTCATCGTATCCCAGTTGCGTGGATCGATGCTCATGATATCAATCACTGGATTGTCTGTCCAGACGCGATAATTTACAGACCGCCGTCATATAGCTGGAATATTGCTGAGTGCGGCCTTAAACAACAAACCAAACCAAACACACAAACCTAAGGCGTGACAAGCAAACGCTTTACCCACTAAGTTACCCCCCGTCCCCTATTAAAGTAAGGAGAACAAGAGAACTATAACTATAAGGCTAATATTTGCTTTTCAAATATGACATAAAATTACGAAATATGAAGATGAGCTTAGCAAACATTACTTATACGTATTCCAAAATATACCTACTGATGATAAAATTTATAAAATACTCATGGAGTACACATGTACACGGCTAATATTGCGATCACGTACACAAGCACCATCACGCGTGTGTATAAACGACCTACCTAGACAAACAGCCACCAACTGTATTTTATTAAGAGCAAAGGTTATATCATAAAACACATACTTCATTCTGAGAGACTTCTGAAGCCGACATGGTAGATGCGGCTTTTTTCAGAATTGCTTCTGTAATATCGTTACAGCTGGTTCAACGGATTATAAGTCATCCCATCCTCGTATTTCCAGAGTGTTATAATCCGATATAGACTGTCTTTTAAATACCCTGGATATGCGTATATATAAGATATTGATAGCTGAAATTGTATTTCTTCACTGATTGAGGATACGGACGTTTTCCATCATTTACATTTTAATCAATGGACATCTAGATGCGTACATGTCAATCAACCCAATAAGACTCTTCATTCATAGTGTTGTTTGACAGGACTGACGTTCGATATTCAGGCTTGCCAATAGATACATCGTTCCCAAAAAACAGAATTTAAATAAATTCTACGTATCAAAAAAACTTTTACACAGGTTGTAGTGTAATTTTTTTTGTGTCACTCACTCACTCACTCATTCACTCACTCACTCACTCACTCACTCACTCACTCACTCACTCACTCACTCACTCACTCACTCACTCACTCACATAAAAACCCGGTATAAATCTCACTTGTCCTTTCCTGCAAAGTGGCTTAACATGTACAAATGTATCTGTAAAAGTCCTCAGAGCCCAACATAATTATAATGGAGTGAGCGTCATTGAGTATTTGTATATCTGTGTTTATAATAAAACCTGTATTCTTTCATCATGTTTATTTCTGACAAAGCCTCCGATACGTTCGAATTGTCGGAACACATTGCAAGCTAATTGTACAGATCAACCCTTTGTGTAAGAAGGAAAGTGTCACAACTAGAATGTAATATGGCTTCAGACTGTCGCCATCCGTGTCTGACATAGATACATTGTGGCTCACGCAGTCGACCAGCCTCGAGTTGGATTGTACAAAAGCTACATGTTCCAACTCATGTTGCACTTGAAACGCATACACTTTCTGGTTTAATCAGATTAGTTATGAACACATGCCTCCAGCCAGCCAATCACAAATTCGAATGGTATTAACTGCTGCTCTCATCTGCTCCTTGAGTGTGGGTTAGAAATCCGCTCATAAACGCTGCACTGATTGAGTGCGGATAACAAACACGCTCTGATGCATTGCTTGAGTGTGGTTTAAACATCTGCTCTGAAAAACTGCACTGCTAAAGTGGGAGTTAAGAAACGGTTCTGATACACTGCCCTTCTTGAGTGTGGGTTATAAACTCGCTGTTATACACTACACTGCTGGAGGGTGGGTTAAAAACCCGCTGTTATACACTTCACTGCTGGAGGGTGGTTTACAAACCCGCTCTTATACACTACACTGGTGGGGTGTAGGTTACAAACCCGCTCTTATACACTACACTGCTGGAGGATGGGTTACAAACCCGCTCTTATACACTACACTGCTAAAGTGTGGGTTACACACCCGCTCTTATACACTACACTAGTACTGCTGGAGGGTGGGTTACAAACCCGCTCTTATACACTACACTGCTGGAGTGTGGGTTACAAACCCGCTCTTATACACTACACTGCTGGAGTGTGGGTTAAAAAAAACCCGCTCTTATACACTACACTGCTGGAGTGTGGGTAAAAAAACCCCGCTCTTATACACTACACTGCTGGAGTGTGGGTAAAAAAACCCCGCTCTTATAGTCTGGACAACGTAAGTGTTGGATAAAAAACCACTCTGACACATTGCATGGCTTAAGTGGGGGTTAACAAACCACTCTGATACCCGGCGCTGCAAAAATGTGGGATTAATTCTTTAATCCCTCTCTGACACTCTACTTAAGTGTGGGTTAAACACCCGCTCTGATACACTTCACTGCTTGAACGTGGATTCATAAACACATGTATGCTCATGCTTTAGTCGGAATTATACAATCGATACTGTTTTCGGTAGAGATTTCTGATGAATGCGGAAGGGTTTTGTCGCTTTTATTTTATCAAATACCCGCTCTGATACACTGCGCCGTATGAATGTGGGTAAACAGCCGCACTGGTGCTCAACGCTGCTTGAGTGAATGTGGGTTACGAAACCGACGTGTTTGCGGCATAAATACAGAGCTTTATTTTTCCTAAGAAAACTAATATGTCACTAATATGATATTTATGAAATATGTGGTCAGTGGACCATGCTTCGGGGGCGAGAAACAGGAAAGGTACGTAGAAACTAGAAACTACAATTCATCAATGAAAGCGGGTCACCTTGCCCGATGGCGTCCTTTTTGTGATCTGTCTGCGGCATTGCACAACATGTTATTTCCACAAATAAGGTGATGCTAAATTATAAATAATGCTCTAATGTGAAAAGTTGTCAAAACAAAATAAATTATTAACGCGATCCTGTCAGTGTATTGTGAGTGGGTATTGATTTACGCCGCTTTTAGCAATATTCCAGCAATATCACGGCGGGGTACACCAGAAATGGGCTTCACACATTGTACCCATGTTGGGAATCGAACCCGGGTCTTCGGCGTGACGAGCGAATGCTTTAACCACTAGGCTACCCAACCGCCCCCTGTCATTGTATAAGATCCAAGTTACTCTTTGCATTCTAAAAAAAATGTTAAAAGACCTGCTGGTTATTTATTTGACATGCCTTTTTTTCTTTCATTTTTTGTTTGTTTCAAGCCGTACTCAGTAATATTCCAGCTGTATAACGGCGGTCTGTAAATACTCGAGTCTGGACCAGACAATCAAGTGATTGACATCATGAGCTTCGATCCACGCAATTGGGATCGATGACATGCATCAACCAAGTCAGCGAGCCTGACAACCCAATACCGTTAGTCGCCTCTTACAACAAGCATGGGTAGCTGAAGACCAATTCTACACCGGATCGTGACGGGTCGGCCTATATTTGTAAACAAGGGGCCTATTCCCAAACGGAGGTTGGTGAGTTGTGCACACTGGAGGACGTAAATAATTGGGTAAATTGTATGAGAAATTGTATGATTCGATGTTCAATGTCACCCGACCGAGATAATCGTATGTGTCATAACAAGCCGATAACAGGACCGCGGCAATGGCTTGGGGCGACATCAGTTCGATCCGTAATTGGGTTTTGCGGTGTGTATATGTGTGTGTGTGTGTGTGTGTGTGTGTGTGTGTGTGTGTGTGAGGGTGGAGGGGTAGGGGTGGGTGGGGGTCGGGAGGTGGGGGATGTGGGCCGAGCGGTGGGAGGTGGGAGGCATCGTCTGATCGTGACATCGTGACATTGAGAAAGAAGATGGCGGGCATGTGGTTGCTATCTGTTTGTACTATACTGACCTGCGTCTCAATTATATCAGGAAAATATGCAGAGGGAACAATTGTCTCTTTGAAGGTGAGTGTTGCCCTTTTGAAATTATTGGTATTTGTTTCAATATTGAAGACAGGTAATTTAGCATTAGTCTGCCCTTTCGAAGAACACGCAGTTCCTTTCCAGGCGTGGGGACAAAGGTGGTTCCTTTGCATGTCTACATGCAAATGTGCGTACTAGGAGCCTCTGCTCATAGGTTCGAATCAGATTAATTATGATTCTTTTTATGCGCTGGATGTCACTAAAATCATAAACGCTGGGAATTTACAAACTTTTAGACATCTCTCCCATACTGTCATTCAATAATAATAATAATAATAATAATAATAATAATAATGATGATGATGATGATGATGACGACAACGACGACGACGATGATGATGATGATGATGATGATGATGATGATGATGATGACATGATATGCACTTATAATGCGCTAGCCTCCATGTAGTAGTTCATGCTCAAAGCGCTACATTCAAATGTCACTCTGGAATTTTTTTTTGTACAAATGTCTTTAGTTTTGCTTTGAATGTCTGAAACGTTGACGAAAGTCTAATCTCAAGTGAAAGATCATTCCATCACTTCGGGGCAGCAACACTGAAAGTCTTTAGTCCATAGCTGGAAAGTCTATACTGAGGAACAGGTTGCAGGTTTTGATTTGCTGATCGAAGAGTTCTTGGTGGATTATGAAGCTGGAGCAGAGTGGAGAGATAAGCTGGAGCCTGGCTGATGACACAATCAACTGAGACACTGTTCACAGCGTCCTATAAATCAAACCCCCTTGCATTTTTTCAGGCAGATTCCAATGAAACATTTTCAGACCCAAAACGAAAGCTGAATCACACTTTTTTGGCAAATAAATTCACTTTTCGGAATCCACCAGAATTCTAATAGTGAGGCTAAAATCCATGCATTTTGTTACATGTAAATGTTTTCAAGCAGGAACTGCAATGGCTTGTTGATAGGTTGTGTGGGATCTCTATTATCAACCGTACTAAATGTGGACCTCGCCAGTCCGCCATTATTATCCTGTTTAGTTGAGTCCAGTAATGTAACGACGGGATAACGCCCCCGGTACTACCGTTTCTTCAAAAAGTAATTTTGGATTTGGGACATTATTTTAATAATTAGTGTTCAGTGATTGTCTATCGCAGGGCTGGGTCTTCATGGACAGCTTCCTCTTCCCCGCCGGCCTCGGTGCCTCATTCACCTACAACATCTCCTATCCAAGGGTAAGTAACTCAACCGACATCAAGGCCCCTTTCAGTTACAACCTCGTCTACCCAAGGGTAAGTCACTCAACCGACATCAAGGCCTATTTCAGTTACAACCTCGTCTACCCAAGGGTAAGTCACTCAACCGACATCAAGGCCACTATCAGTTACGACCTCATCTACCCAAGGGTAAGTCACTCAACCGACATCAAGGCCCCTTTTAGTTACAACCTCGTCTACCCAAGGGTAAGACACTTAACCGGCTACAAGGCACATTTCAGTTACAACCTCGTCTACCCAAGGGTAAGTCACTCAACCGACATCAAGGCCTATTTCAGTTACAACCTCGTCTACCCAAGGGTAAGTCACTCAACCGACATCAAGGCCTATTTCAGTTACAACCTCGTCTACCCAAGGGTAAGTCACTCAACCGACATCAAGGCCCCTTTCAGTTACAACCTCGTCTACCCAAGGGTAAGTCACTCAACCGACATCAAGGCCCCTTTCAGTTACAACCTCGTCTACCCAAGGGTAAGTCACTCAACCGACATCAAGGCACATTTCAGTTACAACCTCGTCTACCCAAGGGTAAGTCACTCAACCGACATCAAGGCACATTTCAGTTACAACCTCGTCTACCCAAGGGTAGGTCACTCAACCGACATCAAGGCCCCTTTCAGTTACAACCTCGTCTACCCAAGGGTAAGTCACTCAACCGACATCAAGGCACATTTCAGTTACAACCTCGTCTACCCAAGGGTAAGTCACTCAACCGACATCAAGGCCTATTTCAGTTACAACCTCGTCTACCCAAGGGTAAGTCACTCAACCGACATCAAGGTCTATTTCAGTTACAACCTCGTCTACCCAAGGGTAAGTCACTTAACCGGCTACAAGGCAAATTTCAGTTACAACCTCGTCTACCCAAGGGTAAGTCACTCAACCGACATCAAGGCCTATTTCAGTTACAACCTCGTCTACCCAAGGGTAAGTCACTCAACCGACATCAAGGCCCCTTTCAGTTACAACCTCGTCTACCCAAGGGTAAGTCACTCAACCGACATCAAGGCCTATTTCAGTTACAACCTCGTCTACCCAAGGGTAAGTCACTCAACCGACATCAAGGCCTATTTCAGTTACAACCTCGTCTACCCAAGGGTAAGTCACTCAACCGACATCAAGGTCTATTTCAGTTACAACCTCGTCTACCCAAGGGTAAGTCACTTAACCGGCTACAAGGCAAATTTCAGTTACAACCTCGTCTACCCAAGGGTAAGTCACTCAACCGACATCAAGGCCTATTTCAGTTACAACCTCGTCTACCCAAGGGTAAGTCACTCAACTGACATCAAGGCCACTTTCAGTTACAGCCTCGTCTATCCAAGGGTAAGTAACTCAACCGACAACAAGGCACATTTCAGTTATAGCCTCGTCTACCCAAGGGTAAGTCACTCAACCGACAACAAGGCACATTTCAGTTATAGCCTCGTCTACCCAAAGGTAAGTCACTCAACGGACATCAAAGCCTATTTCAGTTACAACCTCGCCTGCACAAGGGTAAGCCATATCTGTGTTGTTGGACTGACCAATGGACCCAATAAGATGTATTAAGGTTTGAATGAAAATTTAATATTTAAATCCCAGTAAATGTAAAATTTCAAATTCAGCCATTCATTATGTTAAATTAAATAAATAAATGAGTAATGGAGAAATGTGTTGTTCCCATTAAAGATTCATCACAATTTGAAGTGAAAAGTAGGCTAAGGACTAGGACTCTTTGTCTGCACATCCGGTACGTCAACAAATATAGCTACGGAATTATTAGTAATAATGGTACTTTTAGACTTCACACAGGGTTGGGCAAAAACTGCCTATTACATGTACTTCTTGAACAAGTTCGTCTATTTTCACCACTTCACTAGTTACATCACCTAAAAATATCAGTTTCTGAAAAAAATAATCTTGAAAACCTTTTTAACATATTTAAGCGAAACGTAATAAATTTGTGTCGTAACACGCGTGTGTTGAAATGAACGAACTATAGTTCTTATTCATATCTGAAAACTTTCTTAAAACTTTCTAATTTGTTTTGCTCATTTCTTAAATTATGCAGATCATGTAGGGTAAAAGGTCCCTTATCACATAGTGTCCCCAGAAGGACATCAGAACACCCTGATATTGATTTGTTGTTTTCATGGTTGGTTACATGATACATAAAGCTACAAACCACATCATCTGCATCATTATTGTAATTATCAATACTTTTTATATAAGTATTAGACACATGTATCATCGTTACTTTCCTTTTGAGTGTAGGTCTATATTGGACATGCACAGTTTTTGTCCAAAATCAGTTACGCTCTAAATAAAAAGCTCATTATCGTTTAGTATTTCCAATTCTTGATAACTCTTGGAAGCTTAAATGACAATATAAAAAGCATCAGCATCATGTAAGTGGTATTGAATAAAGAAACGATCCACTGACTATAATGTTGTTTCCAATGTCCTTGTTTTACAGCAATACGCTCCTATGTTTCTGCTGTTCTATGGTGGAGAACAGTTTGCTCAGGCCAACGATCCTCTCAAAGTGAGTCTCCCGTGATCAGATCTATGGAAATATGCAAATCCCTAATATCAATTGTATTGCTATATAATACATTGGACTCGCATACTATAATAAAGAAAACGTACATAGCATAGTTGGGACAGTCGGAAGCGGTCTAAAAGATGGGATACATCTTCAGGAACTAGTTTTAGACATTGAGTACTGTACACAGAGAAGTGTGGAAGACATTAAGACATGAATGTATGAAAAGAGGGAACCGTACATGTATATGATAGGGGATACTTTGTATTTGCAGAGAGGACAAGTGCGGTACGTATACCTCTGTTACCACGTGTACGATACTGTTACCGGTGGCGACCGACCATGTTATTCAGTCTCCACGTCAGGAAATACAAATTCATTCCGAGAAAGTAGAAGTCAAACATTGTTCTTTTACCCATAAGTTCATATGTCATCCTTAACAATACAAAAATGGTCCCACCTCTGAAAAATGTATATAAAGATCAACGCAAAGCTTACAAACTCAGCCATTCATGATATTCTTTTGAGACGAAATATATTTTCAAACACACATTATGTTCAATTATAGGAGGAGCACACATTTGTTGACACACAACACTTTCTTGCCAGGTCATCCAACATGTCCAGTTAACGATGTTTTGTTTTGTAAAACCGCCAACCTTCCTTCTTCCAGTCATGTCAACAGAAGATCGCCCTCCTTCAGTACCCCTCCTATTCCAGGCAGATTCTCAGCCTGGACACCAGTAGACCCAGCTCAGGCTGTTACAACCGCTACGACCGGTTCAAAGGAGACTACGTCTACTGTGTTGGTCGTTTCAACATAGATATCGACAGCAGCTCTGGGTGGTTCGTGACCGCCAATCGGTGTGGGGATCAGAACGGCGTCACTGTGAGTTCTGTAACCTTGAGAATTATTTGCGTACTGTCTAAAACCCGAATCTGGTATGATGAAAGTATGGGAATGCCCAGCATTCTTTTTCAAAACAGATTCGATAAAAATGCATTGTTATTGTGTAAAATATAGGCCATTTTGGCATCCACGCATATATGTTTTGAACACAGCTGCCTGAAAAAGTCTGTTTCAACTGTGGGCGTTCCCATACTTTTCTGAACGTATATATGACATTACTCAGGATCAAAATTTGACATTGTTGTATACAAAATGTTGACATATGAACTACCGAGTTATTAAGTAATGGGACACATACTATTTATGCCCATTCTAACACTATTGTTTGTAGAGTTGCTCTGTCAAGAGTTCTTGTTGCGTGTGTACATCCTTTGTGATGTATACTCAAAGTTGCCTTAACATGATGTTGTCACTTTTAGCACTTGGTAAGAACAGTGACTAAATTTACCGTAATGAGCAACGGTCCATAAGAAAGCTCTTCCTGACCTGTGTGTTGGTCATGCCAAACGAGTGGTTTCAGAGGCAAGTCAACACCATCAGTAGTGAGTGTGTCGATCTTGTGCATTGACCTTTAAGCTTCGTTTCACTGAAGCAATTAAACGTTGAAGAATTGTCAGGGGAATGACATTCAAAATCTGAGGTATGATAAGCCGGTGTTCCTGCAACGTTGTTGGAGCAATTGGAAGAAGTCGCAAACGACAGTCCATTTCGCCCCACACGTATTCGGTTGGTGTCAAATCAGGGGATGGTTAACACATTAACATTGAGAAGGAAACGTGCTGGACTGACGTGCTGTCCACTGCGTGTATTCTGCGACAGTGGAGACGTCGACGTTGATGTCTGACTAGGCATCTCGCACGGATGTTGTAGATGCGAAGACGTCGTCGAACTGTCCTCTAATACGTCTCTTTTGCCAGGTATGGTACGGGCTTTGACCGTCTGGACCTTTGTCGAAGCTGCGTAAAACGAATACATATGTCTTGGCGAGAGGCTATGATGGGCGGGCGGCCATTTCGATACAGTCTCTGAGAAAGCTGTTCCGTTGCTAACGGCGCCATTAATGTGGACGTTGAATTGACGTGCGTGGAAGTGGTTCCAAGCGTTCCAATGGCACGCCATCAGTCATTTTCATTTAGGCGTGGAGTGGTGATATATCAGCAAAACCATCGGTGGCGTAGACTATCAGTGGTATGGGATTGTATGTCTGTCTTTTTACAGGGAACATCTGAAGCAATTATTCCCTAATAGTCGTTACTTCTTGCACAAACATGCAATATCAGCGACGGTGGTTAGTTTCTTCGACTATTTTCACTAGTTCAAATCCAGAAATGAATGTATAAGTTTGCAAGTGAAAATATATCCACGTCATGACAGTTTTCACCTTTGGTAATATTTTGCTTTGTGTTGCAGAGGTGTTAATATTTTCCCTTAGAGTGAACATGATCTTCACACGAATAATGTTTACAATTACGTAATCGTATGGTCTTCATCAGCTCTTTGGTCTAATAGTCAAACTGGCACCGTGTTGAAGAACGTATATCTCACCATGTCTGTGGTGTTCCTATGAACATGGTGTGGATGATGGTGGCGTCCTATAAAATTACTTATTCTTCACAGCATTTGCTCTGTTTATTGGGCTGGTGTAGTCGGGTGTACTAACATATTGTTTTGATTTTGCTGTGTTCTTTTCTTCTCTAGGGTTTATACCTGCAATACCGTATAGAAGCCAGTGTGGGCGTCGACAAGGATCAGGTTTTCCCCTTTCACTCCGGTGAAGGGAGGGTCACTATTCCTGTCGTGACATTCATCATGATGGTAGCCCTTGGACAGGTCATTGTTTGAGACGCAGGACAACACACAGCAAAAGAAAGTGTAGGTTTCCGTTCTCCGGAAACCTTCCGGAAACCTTCCGGATACCTTCCCTCTTTAGATCCGGCCCGGATACATCCCGGAAACCTTCACGATACCTTCAGCACCCTTCAATTTTCTTGGTAATTTTCACATTTCACACATTTTTATATGTTTCACACTTAATTGAACAAAATGCCCCCACCAAATTTTGACATTTTTGGGGGAAGGTTTCCAGAAGGTATCCGGGCCGGGTCCAAAGTGGGAGGGTATCCGGAAGGTTTCCGGAAGGTTTCCGGAAAACGGAAACCTACACTTTTTTGGCTGTGACATCTGACCATCAGGAAAATATTGAGACAAAGGATACCAGGCTTTTATGTCTGTATCGTCACGATGCAGCAGACTCTTGATGAATAAAATATACATGTATCAACACTTGACTTCCCCAAGTTTGTATTTAACTCGTGCCTAGATAACACTTCCATACATACAGGAAACACATGGGTATCCAACACAGCAACAGAATGGACCTCAAGAAGCAGTCATATCATCACTTAACATTTGTATTATATCATGAGATATTGTTCGCCATGGTAAAAATAAACAAAATGGGCACTGGTCCACGAGTGGTCGGTTCCCTCCCATAACGTAGACCTCCAAAATGCAGACCTCCCAAAAAGCAGTTAAAATTAGCTCACTTATTAATTGGGCCATGCTGGTCACACCTAATTAATGAATGGCCTGGTCTACTCCCCTGCTATGAGGGATTATCAATATGTTGAGACAATGAGCAGGAGTGGACAACAACAACATTGTCTTAAAAAAACTCCTCCTTTCTTTAATCTGCTCCCGGTACATCACAAATCTTATTCAAACATACCTTTAAACAAGTTGTGGGATTTGTGTAAGAATATACCAAATGTTCTCAATCACTAATACTTCCTTCTCTTGTTTATGGTGTAACATATAAATATATTAATTGGTTTCCACTCCACTCCCGTGTGCGAAATACGCATCAGTCGGAAAGCGCACGTTAAATCTCCAAAGTAAGTAAGTAAGTAAGTCCACTCCAGAATCAGCAAGTCCCTCCAGCACAAGCATCCAAACATCTTCAGATTCATCGAACTGATCCACGGGGCAGAAATTTCGGAGAGAGCGAAACTAGCGCAGATGCAATTTGGAGCTATTTGGAGCAGCACCGCCACCCAGAATGATATAACATTTGAATAAAAAATTGTGAAATCTACCCAGCTTTCTTTCTTGTTACATGGGTGATACCATTTTACTTAATCAAGGGTACAGGGTACTTATTGCTGATGCAACCAGCCATAACGAGTGTTGTTTTAACGGGTCTGCGTTTTGGCAGGTCTACGTTTTGGGAGGATACCGAGTGGTCTAATGAGGCCCAAATTCATTTCAAATGGTATGTTTGCACCGCACTCTTTAATCTTGATATGCCGAAAACTTGACATAACTGATTTGTAGTGACTTGATGGGTTAAAGACATTTCCACGTGTGAGGTTTCGGCCGTGTTCTTTTTAACAAAATTCGAATTCGGTTTCGTGTGAAAACTTCGGCTGGTTGGCACTCCCAGCAAATTTGATTTCGGTCCCTCGCGATCGATTTCAATTTGTCTTTTAGTTGAACTTGAATGTGTATGTTAAGCTACTTATGCATGTTTCAGCAGACAAAATGGCTCAGTTTCACATATAGAACAAACTACAATGCTTACATGTATTACCAGACCGCCTCCGTGGTCTTGTGGTAGAGCGTCCGCCCGGAGAGCGGAAGGTCCGGGGTTCGATCCCCGACCGCGCCATACCAAAAGACGTTAAAAGGTATTTGTTGTTACCCTGTCTGGCGCTCGGCATTAAGGGGCTAAAACAAGGACTGGTCGGCTCGGAGTCAGTATACTGTGTCTGAGTGGGGTATTCATGTCAAACTGCGGCATGGTATCTCAGTGAGCTAGCACTATAAATCCGCATCAGTCCGGACTAATACAAGCAGCCACACATACACGTGCATGCACGTCGCTATATAAGTGCAATAATCTTGGACGCGACGTTAAACCCAATTTCACATCACATGTATTACCAGTGGTAAAAAGAGGAGGCATTTAACAGTTATTAAGCACATACTGTTTAACCCTTCAGGATTGCAACTCCGATTGTCGTCGGTCTATGGACCTAGCGATCGCCTAAGTTCGGAAATCGACTCGTTGTCCGTGCATCACAATGTCCCATCATGGTTTTCACTGACTTTGCGTAATACAATAGATCGTTTAAGGTGACAAGATTTTCAAAATGAAAATATGTCTCAGAAGTGCTAATAAAATCCTTCTTCACAATTCCTTTAATTCAGTCTATATGAATAATATTCGTAAAGCAGGTGTTCTTCATCTGCAATGTGCACTGGCGGATGCGGAGAAGGGGGTGGGGAGGAGAGGGAGGGTGGTGGGGGTGGTGGCAGGGATTCGCAGTCATGACAATGATGTCGACGTCGTATGTTGAAATTCTCTCTTTTAAAACACAACTTTCAAGGTTGTGAGTAGTCGGGTGATGTATGTTGTGATGATCCCTCAACAAAATACCTAGTGTATTAGTGTCGATCTGAACTTTTATAATGGCACGATGGTTGTACCACTACCAGACAAAAACTAAGGACCCGTATATTCTATTTCAAACGAATTTTGTAGCGTGTTCTGCAGTAAATCCCAGACAACAGCAAACACTCACGGACTTGACATATTCAAGTATAAAATATGTCGCCCATACACTTGTGTTATAAGTCGTAGTGTCCATCGGGAGGAGAGTCCACCTTTCAGGGAAGATTTTCAAATGACCAGCTGATGCCAAAATAGACCCGTCCGCAAGCGTATTTTTTACAGTGTCTTATATAAGGGTAACACTATTTTTCAGGGCATTATCATTTGCAGAAGTCCGAGGTTTTCCATTAACTGCCCGACGAAGGAGGGCATTTGAAAAGACCGAGGGCTTCTGCAAATGATAATGCCCTGAAAAAGAGCGTTACCGTTATTATAGCTAAAATGTACGGAATGTGTTATCAAATAAAAAGAAACAACATCGGTTTTGAAACATTTACTGCAATCAACACGAATGTCACTGACCACATTTTACAAATATGGAAACGTCATAGAACAAACCAAATGACGTCACTATAATACGTGACGTCATTTTCTCTAACCTATGACGTCACCTAACAACGGGCTTGATAATGACCCGTCGTGAAGCAATATGAGGGCATTATCAAGTTACAGTGGCCCGCTCATTTCTGATAACGTGATAATAGTGATAATTCTATCCATTTTAGCTATAATAAAGGCGTACTGTTCATTGGCGATTAATAACACACCGTCTAATAGAATTGAAATAATGTGAGCAGAGATACGTTATTATGATTGCTTCAGAAGGTTCTCTGTGTTAACACATCGGGTATAAAGTCAAAGACTACAGAACCAAGACTTTTCTAGCTGTTTGTATTGAGGGCTCTCTCTCTCTCTCTCTCCCCCACTCTCTCTCTCTCTCCGTCCCCTCTCTCTCTCCCTCCTTCTCTCTCTCCCTCCCTCTGTCTCTCTCCCCTCTCACCCTCTCTGTCTCACTCCCTCTGTCTCTCTCTCTCCCTCCCCTCTCTCCCTCCCCTCTCTCTCCCTCCTTCTCTATCTCCCTCCCTCTCTCTCTCTCCTCTCTCTTTTTCACTCTCCCTCCCTCTCTCTCCCCCTCTCTCTCCCCTCTCTCTCCCCTCTATCTCCCCTCTATCTCTCCCCTCTCTCTCTCCCTCCCTCCCTCTCTCTCTCTCCCTCCCCTCTCCCCCCCCAATCCCCTCTCTCTCTCCCCCTCTCTCTCCCTCTCTTGTACACTTAAATGTAAATGAAACGTACACATAGAGTTTGAAAAAAACACCATCCATCTTTATCACTATTCTTTTCACATTAACCACTGAAAATAAAACTTAAAGATTATTGTTGTGCAAATATATGGTTTTTTTCAGAATCAGTATGATGAATGTTTAATGCAAAGCAGCAGAATTTAAAAGTACAATGACGTTATTTTGTAAATGACAAAGTATTGCTTTTTTTGTAAGGACACTTTTCTACCAAACGAGCAGGTGACCAAACCCATTTTTGACATCGCAGAAGTCTATAGTACTTGACAGCAATAAACTAGAGAATTCTAAATATTTTTATTTCTCATTATGTCAAGGTTTAACGTATATCAGGAAAGGTATACGGTAGTAATCAACTAAGATCAGTGAAAGGTTGCTATAGTGTGGTGAAACAAATGAACCCATTAACTTTTATTGCAAGTTACAGAGTGCGTTCGGGATTATGTTACATGCTTTCACCGTTATAAGTATGAGACCAACGACCGACTAACTTAACAACAGAATAAAACAACATGGACGTGGGCTGTGTTCCTCTCGGGTTGTTGCTGGCGGGGGTTTCTGCAACTTGTGTCATCGCTAGCCAGATCTACGTGGATGATTTTGATACTGACGAAAGCAATAAGGCTGCAGGTTAGTGAGATAACAACTACAACAACAACAACAACAACAACAACAATAATAATCACGTAAATATGAAATGTAGATTATGTAAAGAATTTGATGAGACTGTCCAACACATTATCATTGGATGCGTTGGCACATACACAGTATCTTAAGCGACATGATGGCGTGGCTCGATCATTTTACTACCGTCTTCGCCATGCTTGTGGTTTTCACACAGAGGTTCATCCATGGTACGACACGGACTATGTGGAGGGCGTCATGGAAAATGATAAATAAAAAATTCTGTGGAATAGGCCCGTATAGCCTAGGACGTATCCAGGTCAAGAGACCTGGTCTTGTCCTTTTTGATAAATCCAATGAAAGCATTTATATTATTGAATTTTGACACCAAAGTGATTGACAGGATTGAGGAAAAACATGGCAAATATTCGGACCTCGCTTTCGAAATGTCACACTTGCATCCCAAGTACCAAGTTGTCCGACTCCCCATTGTTCTCGGTGCCTTAGGTTTGGTCCCTCCGAATCTGTTGACTGACATTGGGAGAGTACCCGGGTTTGCTACCAGGAATACAGACCTTCTGATAATCTGGGTAATGCAGAAGGCTGCAGTGTTGGGGAGTTTTCACATTCTCCGAAAAGTTCTGGGTGGGTTTTACTGGGCAGCGCTTCCTGGGAGAAGTGCCATTCGCTGTCTGGGCTGCGTGTAGAGGGGGCAAGGGCCCTGAGCTGATGATGAGCCTAACCAGCCTGACTGTGCCAGGATCACCCAAACCCTCTTTACTGAACTCGAACTCGGTAATAGCTATCTTATGACAATTATCTGCTTAACGTAATATGAGATGCCTACAAGAAGCCATCTTGCAGCCAGTATTAACGCAAAGACGTATGTTTTTAAGGTGAAAATGAGCGTCGAGACATATAATAAAGATTAGGTTTTGGCTCTACTTTTCGTGTTGTGTTAACAGGGGCAGATCGATTGAACGATATTGACATTCGCGTGGCTGTACTGGAAAGAAAGCTTGGTAAGATATAATCTGTTTTCAATATATGAGCAGTTGTTTGTTTGTATTGTTTGTTTGTTGTTTGGTTTAACGCCGCACGCAGCAATATCCCAGCTGTATGACGGCGGTCTGTAAATAGTCAAGTCTGTACCAGACAATCCAGTGATTGACATCTTGCGCCTCGATCCACGCAATTGGGATCGATGACATGCATCAACCAAGTCAGCGAGCCTGACAACCCGATCCCGTTAGTCGCCTTTTTCGACAAGCATAGTCACCTTGTACGGCAAGCATGGGTTGCTGAAGACCTTCATCTCTGTAGCCTAGTGAGTGTACCACCAGGCTGCAGCCGCGCTGATAAATCACACTGGTTCAAAGAGTCCCCTACGCCAGCAACAGATATTTAACGCCCGTTTCCTAATGTTCATGTAAAGTATGTTTGAAACATAAAAGTGTTGATAAATGTTGTTTTAAGTTTCTGTTTTCGTTTTATAAGTTAGAAAAAACTTTCCAACGTTACTTTTTGAGATTTAAAACCCTCAAACGCGGGATAAAACCTCGATGCTGACGCCCCTCGGTCTTATCCCTTGGTGAGTGAGTGAGTGAGTTAGGTTTAACACCGCCTTTAACAGTATTCCAGTTATATCACGCTGGTCAGCTTAATGTGGGTGGAAAGGTCGAAGTGATGCAGGTCTCAGACGTTTACCACTTCGGTGAAACCCACGAGCACGGGTATGGTGCTGACAAACCTAGAAACATAATCGGGGCGAACCGGGATTCGAACCCACAATCAAAGGTTTCTGGTGTGTCTTATGCCTTGGATTCGAGTTATGTCCTGCACTTAAAGTGTGGTGAATCAATGTTGTACAAGCATGGATGTTTCCCGACCTCTTGTATCAACATTGTGCCATCAGGGTGGGTGAGAGTGAGTATGGTTTTACGCCGCTTTTAGCAATATTCCAGCCACATGACGGCGGGGACACCAGAAATGGGCTTCACACATTGTGCCCATGTCGGGAATCGAACCCGGGTCTTCGGCGTGACGAACGAACGCTTTAACCACTAGGCTACCCGACCGCCATCAGGGTGTGACTTCTACATTATTTTGTCCCACATTCACCCACTCGTGAACATAAAAACCATATCTCCGCGAAAATATTTGGCTCTTCTTTTAAAATATGAAGCTGCCAGATGTACTCAGAAAGGCAAGGGGTTGGTGGTCGAAATAAATTAAAATGTTTTTCGGGCCAGGGAACATAAAATATGAATGAATATTATGATTGTGTGGTCAGGCTCGTTGACTTGGTTCATGCCTGCCATTGTATCCCAATAGCCTAAATCGATGCTCATGTTGTCAATCACTAAATTTACCCTGGTTCGATTCCCGACATGGGTACAATGCGTGAAACCGTTTTGTGGTGTCCCCCGCCGTGATATTGCTGAAAAATTGCTAAAAGTGGCGTAAAACCTCACTCACTCACTGCATTGCCTGATCCAGACTCGATTATTTACAGACCGCCGTCGTATAGCAGGACTATTACTGAATGATATGACCCTAAGGCACATATCATTTTATGAACCCAGATGTGTCCTTGGGTCATATCAAGTCACGTAGAACAGGGTATTGTTTCCGTCATCCGGACGGCAATGCTGACGTCATTCGAATCTTATTGTGACGAGAGGTCGGAATGACGTCACACTATAAACAACGTCATGGCTGAAGAATGTTGACGTCATTCGACAATTGTGGTTCCGCTGCTGTTGCGACTTGTTGTCCTTATAGGCAACCGCTAAAATTCGTCTCTGTATGTAGACATCTTCTTCAGTAATAGACAGAACATTATATTCGTCTTCATGTCATACTATGTTTACGACTCTCGTGCCTACATTGCGGGATTTCCGTCGGACTCGCTCGGGAAATACCGGAATTTAGACACTCGTGTCATAAACAGTATGACATGAAGACATACAATATCCTCTATAGCTCTTCAGCAACCCATGCTTGCCGTAAAAGGCGACTATGCTTGTCGTAAAAGGCGACTAACGAGATCGGGTGGTCAGGCTCGCTGACTTGGTTGATACATGTCATCGTATCCCATTTGCATGGAAGGATGCTCATGATATCAATCACTTGATTGTCTGGTCGTGACTTGATTCTTTACAGACTGCCGTCATATAGCTGGGATATTGCTGAGTGCGGCGTAAAACAACAAACAAACCAACCAACTATTCAAGGCAAAGGGGAAATACACAGCATTGTAAGAAGATATTTTTGTATGATTGTTTTTATCAGCGACGTTGCAGACTGAATGTGGCCAACCTCCTGCCAAAGACGGAGCAGTGGTTGTGCATACATCCACACAATTCAACGGCGTGGCCAAGTACACATGCAGAGAAGGAACCACGCCCACAGGTCCAGATCTAGAGATTGTTGTTTCACTGTGTACGAAGTCAGGCCTTTGGACACCGTTGGACCTGAAATGTTGTAACGGTAAGTCCTATACAGACTGCCGAAGCTAAGTTTGCGCTGTACAGTTAAACAACCCACCCTACAGCCCAGACTAGGCCCCAGTGACTAGTTCCTGTTCCAGCAAATGAAATCTGTCCTTCGTGGAAGACGCTTCCAGGATGACGAGGACATAAAGGCTGCCACAGAGGCGTGGTTAGAGGGCCAATCTGCGGATTTCTATAAAAGTGGTATTAAAAGCTTGAAGGACATATGTAATAAGTGTATTGAGGTGAATGAAGATTATATTGAAAAATAAAAATGCAAAAGATCTTCTGCGACTTGGTCTTATATTGAAGTTGTCTCTGTCTCTGTCTATTGTCTCTGTAGCTTCATATGGATAAAGAACTGGAATGGCATTAGCTAGATCATCCCGGTATTTGAAATGAAGAATATTGGAATGATAGGCACAAGAATTCTTTAAGCGGTGTCGGGTGGCAAGTCAGCCCAAATTCGATTCCCCGCATTGGTATTCATATCGGAATCCTTTGAACCAGTTCATGGCTGTGGTATTAAAAGAAGCGGCGAAAAACTTAATTACAAACTCCTTCACTTACACAGACACGAATGACAAACTCCTTCACTTACACGGACACGAATGACAAACTCCTTCACTTACACGGACACGAATGACAAATTCCTTCACTTACGCGGACACGAATGACAAACTCCTTCACTTACATGGACACGAATGACAAATTCCTTCACTTACATGGACACGAATGACAAACTCCTTCACTTACACAGACATGAATGACAAACTCCTTCACTTACACGGACACAATTGACAAATTCCTTCACTTACATGGACACGAATGACAAACTCCTTCACTTACATGGACACGAATGACAAACTCCTTCACTTACACGGACACGAATGACAAACTCCTTCACTTACACAGACACGAATGACAAACTCCTTCACTTACATGGACACGAATGACAAATTCCTTCACTTACATGGACACGAATGACAAACTCCTTCACTTACACAGACATGAATGACAAACTCCTTCACTTACATGGACATGAACAAATTCCTTCACTTACATGGACACGAATGACAAACTCCTTCACTTACACAGACACGAATGACAAACTCCTTCACTTACACAGACATGAATGACAAACTCCTTCACTTACACAGACATGAATGACAAACTCCTTTACTTACACAGACACGAATGACAAACTCCTTCACTTACATGGACACGAATGACAAACTCCTTCACTTACACAGACACGAATGACAAACTCCTTCACTTACACAGACATGAATGACAAACTCCTTCACTTACACAGACACGAATGACAAACTCCTTCACTTACACAGACATGAATGACAAACTCCTTCACTTACACAGACACGAATGACAAACTCCTTCACTTACACAGACATGAATGACAAACTCCTTCACTTACATGGACACGAATGACAAACTCCTTCACTTACACGGACACGAATGACGCTGCAATTCGTGGTTAGTGAATCTAACCTGACGTTAGTCATGCATGAACTTAGCTGACTGTCTTTTTTTATCAGTACCATAATATTAACCACAACGACATTTATAATGTGCGAAAAGCGTCAAATCCACGCCCATAAGCGGGCTTAGAGCGCCACATTTCTGGGTGTGTAAGTTTCCTGGTTAATATGTACGACCTTCCACATTGAGCTCGCTAACACATTTAGGGCAGTTGGAAAGCCTTAAAGTGATAACGTTTGCTCGAAACTAAGACCCGGGTTCGATTTCCAATAGGGGCAAAATGTTTACTACTATTCCCCGCAGTGATGCTCCTTAAATCTTACACCATCCAAACATAATATTATCACAAATTCAAATTGTCGTAATCATATTGTCGTTGTTGTTTTGTGTTGCAGTGTCCAACACTGAAACAAAATGGCACAGTAGAGGGGTGTACCTTGGCACCGTAGCTACGAGCGTGACCGGCAAGACGTGTCAGAGATGGAAGGCCCAGGTGCCGCACGAACACCGCTTCAAGGGGCCCATCTTGAAGAGCCCTAGCGGCTTTGCTTCGGAGACTCTGGACGAGGCTGTCAACTACTGCCGTGACCCCAGCGACGCCGGATTTATGTGGTGCTACACAATGGATCCACGGTCACGCTGGGAAAAATGTGATGTCCCCAAATGTTGACAGTTTTGTTTCATGTTACGCCTGATACGCATGTGGCTGTTGGAAACAACATAAGCGTATGCAAAAAACATTCCAAGTTACGATAAAAGAGTTTTGCTTCATTGTGTTTGTTTGTTTGTTTGTTTGTTTGTTTCTTGTTTAACGCCGCACTCGCCAATATTCTAGCTTTGTGACCAGACAATCCAGGATTTCGGACACGATGTCATGTATCAACCAAGTCAGCGAGCCTGACCACCCGATCCCGTTAGTCGCCTCTTACGACAAGCTTTGTCGCCTTTCACAGCAAGCATTCTTGTTTTCGATTTTTAAACATTGGACACGAAACGAATTTGAAACACGAAGTTCTTAATTTCGTCTTTTTAGGAAAACCTCTCAATATGTTTGAGGTCCTGTCAGGAAGATTTTCGAATTTGTACTGGATTCGAAAAAATTCGTACAAAGAGAGATATATTGCTGGGTCCAGCAAATGCACCGCCAAATCCTTGTCTCAACAATAAGTCATTATCCTTAATACTTTCAAGGAGACACTGTCTTTATATTCACAGACAGTATTTGAGACAAGAGTACATATAATACCATCTGGATTCTGAAAAACTTAAATGATTTGGTTAACTTTTTACAATCTTAGAAAAGAATCAGGTTCCATTCTGTCAAAACATTTTTCTACTTTGTACACCACTATCCTACATAATAAACTTGGACCTTCGTTACAAAACGTTTTGACCATAGATATAGTTACATATCTGTCTTTAGAGGTTCCGGTCAATTTCTCAACAATGAAAGCAAATTTACAACGAATGTATTAAGACCTACAGGTACGTACATACGCACTTTATACATCCGCGTTTACCTCCTTGACCATTAACCTCCAATTCAGTTCAGTTCAATGGTAATTGTTAGCGAACAATACATCAATTAACACCACCTCTCCACTCAATCCCCAGGGTAAATACTGTTGTACTATGCTCATGTGGAGAGCTAAAACCCCACATCTTCCTCATATACACAGGCACCGACTTGACCTGAAGTATCTGGCTCACGTAACGCACAGTGTAACCAATGGTTTGTGTGTAGCCAAAGATAAACCGTTAAGAAACATCTGGGATTTAGGAACCGAAAGAACCCGAGTAAACATCATCATTGAGAACTGATAGCATTAATGTAGTGCCGAGCATGGTATAGTTTAATGAACATTATGTACAACCTTATTGTGGCGACACTATTGACATGTGTGTCCCTCCTACAACCCTCTCGTACAGGTCACGGGGGGTGGCCTATTGTACATTACTGGGAGATCTGCAAACCTGATCTCAATGTTGACAACATATCTTACCTATATTTCAGGTACATTCGGACTGTGCGGCTTTGTTCCAAATAGGATAAGGATAAGTTTTATTCCATACTGAAAGGCCTCAGGCCCATTGTACAATTCTGTTTTCGGGAGTGGTGACGATATGTTTATCAGGTCGTATTCTAGTTAACATAGCATGATAAATGAACATTGATAGATTTTTAAGAGTTTCTTTATCAGCTGTTGACATGATCGATATACATTTTTGTTGAGTGGGGTGTACATAAAAGGCAGATCAATATATTTACTTCTTAGGTGGTCATATTTTGGACAAACTAACAGAAAATGAAACTCATCTTTAATCACATTTAAGCCAAATTGCTCACAGATTCTCAATTCTCTGGCTCTGTTTCTATGTCTGCGTACTTCGATCCTAAGTCTATGAGAGCTGCATCAAATTGTGCCAAACTTATTCAAAACCTTTTAAAATTGATATCAAACAAATAGTATTCTTGGGAAATAGTTGACTTAAGAAGCTTGTAAGAATCTATCAATAGACATCTTAAGAATCTTGAACCAATACTTGAGAATTCTAACAAGTTGAAATATGTAAAGTGGTACACGTCCACATTCAGCATATACCATAACACTCGGTGTACAGGTTTTTACTACAAGGAATCGTTTACAAGCATACAGATGGACCAGTGCAAAAGTTCTGTATTCAGCTTGCCCCCAGACCTCTGCTCCATATAAAAGAATTGATATAAGTTTTGTATCAAATATTTTGAAATAGGTTTGATATGAAAGATTTTTTTTTAAACTATGTAAGATTCCCATTTGTTTCTTTTTTGCCTGCATTGCTGCATTGCTGGTGTGGTAATTCAACGATAATCTGCCTGTGAATGAGTGAGTGAGTAACTAGGAAATTTAACGTGCGCTTTCCGACTAATAGCGTATTTCGCACACGGGGAAGCACTTTATACTATTGGGGGAAAAAAAAGCGTAATGAATAAATAAAGAAGTGCGACCCCCAAAAATGTAACTTTTACAGGACTAATCTAATAAAACTGCGGGGGGAGGGGGTTTGCCTGTGAAGGTTACCCCCAGATATTTATAAGAAGTGACAATTTGTAACGGTTGTGAGTTGAAGACCCATTTTTCCCTACTTTATAGTATATTTCCCTCTTTAAAAACTAACACTTTCGTTTTCTCAGTGTTCACTTGGAGTTTACAATTAGAACAGTACAGCTCCAGTTGATCCATCAATTTCTGTAAACCTTTTATCGTACTAGAGAACAGAACTATAACATCCGAAATTTTATCGAATGAATCTCTTCTCCCATCCGTGACATTGATTGAAGCGTGGGTAACCTGTTTGGGTGCTGACACAATTTTACCACCTTTATAAAAATAATGTTAAGATGTGATATAACGCTCAGTACGATACGGATCGGTTATCAAATACAATGTACAGTAAAACCCCGTTACTGCAGACAATGAAAGCGAAACTGTTTTGAAAACAACCTCTGTGTTTACAAAAGACCGGATTAACGAATCTAAAATCGTGTCGATGTCCTTTTACTAATATATAACACGTCCCAACCCCAACAGTGTCCTAACTAACAGGGTTGCTGAAATATTAATTAGCTACTTAACCTGTGACGATCCGGTTCAGAATAGGTCTGCAGCAACCCATGCTTGTCGTAAGAGGCGACTATGCTTGTCGTAAGAGGCCACTAACGGGATCGGGTGGTCAGGTTCGCTGACTTGGTCGATGCATGTCATCGTTTCCAAACCGTGTGGGTCTATGCTCATGGTATCAATCACTGGATTGTCTGGTCCAGACTCGATTATTTACAGACCTCAGTGAAAAAGGCTGAAATATTACTGAGTGCGGCGTTAAACAACCAACGAACAAACACAACTCAGTATTGACTAACCATGTGTGTGTCTGTGTGTGTGTGTCTGTGTTGTGTCTGTGTGTTTGTGTCTGTGTATACACACCATATATAGGGAGTTGCGTCCCTTGAGCACACCAGAAACCTACGATCCTGGTTTCGAATCCGGGTCGCCGCTATAATGTTTCCAGTTTTGTCAGCACCATACCCGTTCTCGTGGGTTTCACCACAGTGATAAAAATCTAAGACCTGCATAACTTCGGGCTTTCTCCCACATTGAACTGACACACAGTGATATGACTGGAATACGGTTCAAACCGGCGTTAAACCCAACTCTCTCACTCTGCGTGGCCACATTATTAGAAACAGTGGTCAACAACCTCCCGTGCACACAGCTTTTTACATAAAACAGACAAGCAGGGTAATGCAGCTAAGAATGTGTGACGTACGTGTGTATTAATGAAAGCGGTTTTCTGACAATAGGGACATGTCAATGTGCATACCACTCCCGCCCTGCAGGTGACAATACCACCTTACCTGGCATAGCAGAGTCCGCTACAAGAACGGCATTCATATAAGCATTATCAGTACTTTGCGGTACAATTCAGCCGAGATTATGTGATAATCCAATAATCCTGGATTATGTCAGTACTAATTTAGTTTATTAGGGATCATCGTTTTAATGATTATTAGTTTAAATCATTATTCCTTGTTTATGTAAATACTGAAAACAAGTGACCCTATTACAGATTGGCGTCCTCACCGTCGGCTTTTTTCGACTTGCCGATTATGAGGATAAGTTCAGGAAGCAGGCTTCGAACAAGACCAGGATCACTGCAGCTTTGTGTGTAATACTACATAATTGTTTATGGGTATGCATTAAGATATGTAATGCGGTCCTACTAAATGGCATTTGAATGCATTTTATGCATGGGCGAATAATAATGTCAATCATTAATAATATTGTTTGTAATATAAGTTTGTTGACATATAATTTATACAATGGCACAAACAATGATTGTTTTTGTTACCATGAACATATGGAGGTCAAAATTTTGTATATACGCCATGTATTCACTCATGCGCAATAGGCTTTATATAGCAAACATTGACTTATCAAACAATCTACCTGGTTCGAGGTCGAAATGCAATAACTTTCTCTGACAGGTCAATGTGTTTAAAAAGTTTCAAGTTACAATTATTGACTCTATGTGGCATACATACATCACCAGCACATTCCCTTAACGTAGCAAGATAAGTCTATCCGACGTGAATGTTATTCATTGATAGAAGTACGTTGCCTAGTTCATAGCAACTTTCGAGTAAATTACTGAATACAATATATGTTAGTTACATTATGAGAAGATTAAGTATCAGAGTTGAAAGACTGACTTATGGGTTTAACATTCGTTATTCGTTCCATGCGGGTTCTGGCATTGGTTCAAGTGTACCGAAACATCGCTTTGAGAGAACAAAGGAGTTCAATCCATTACTTGGCCCCTGAATTTCCGGGGTAGAATAGGTCTTTAGTAACCCATGCTAGTCTCCCCCGTGATGATCCGGGGTAGAATAGGTCTTCAGTAACCCATGCTTGCCGTAAGAGGCGACTAACGGGATCGGGTGGTCAGGCTCGCTGACTTGGTTGTTGCATGTCATCGTATCCCAATTGCGTGGATCGATGCTCATGATGTCAATCACTGGATTGTCTGGTCAAGACTAGATTATTTGCAGATCGCCGTCATATAGCTGGAATATTGCTGAGCGCGGCGTTAAACAACAAACAAACAAACAACTATCCATTACTTAAGCCTCCTTCATCTGACTAATTACTAGAACATATTTGTCAAAGTTAAAGTGGTATCTACCTGCACCAGCATTTCGACGGTTCATGTGCACTGTCCATGAATATATAACACATCAAGTTCACCGGCTCTGTTGCTTCAGTTTGTGTGTACTCGAAAATGTATAATCCAGTTTTGTTTACCAAACTATACATAGATTAATGACATTCTTAGCTGGTTGGATTAACCGATTACACGCCATATCTCTAAATCGGATCAGAACAGGCTCGGCGGACAATCCGTCACCCGCCATCGGCATCTGGACAGAAAATCAATGATTCCAGCAGTGACGTCAGCACGAGATCGGAAGGTCACGTGACGTGTGGCTATATATATGAGTGTGAGGCGATGGACCTCTTCAAAGAGTAACGATGAAAATACGTTGGAAGGTACCACTTATACTAGCCCTTATCGCAGCCTTAGGGTGTCAGTTAGCGGGTGCTGCAGGTATAGTTTATACCATTTTCTCTTCACCAGATTACTTGTATTCAAACATGATGCATTTGTTCGTACTTGTAAACAGCAGATGTATTTCAATATGAACTTATGTTATTTTAGTTTAAACGCAATCAGTTTATGAGCTATTGTGTCTCTGGAATTCTGGTCCATCACTGGATTGTCTGGTTCATGTTCAAGTCCTGCTTTGCGGGGTCGGCCAGCAAACACTTACGTTTTATGTCGATTGTTCGAGTTGCGGTGGTAGTGCCGGACCATTTCCGCGAACACCTGGTGTTAATATCAGTGATCCATTTATATAATTTTTACCGCTATTATGCCTTTAATGCTTTTGACTATTTCTGACGTTGGCGTTTCATATTCAATTGTTTATTAAGAAATCTCATCCAAGCGTCTTTTGATATCAAATGTCCCACCATGCGTCGATAATGGTTTGAAACATCCGAAGCTTGCTGAGGAGTTTGAAACATTTATCCGCGACAGTTTTAAGTAGTTTTACGAAGAAGTATCCGGGGTAGAATAGGTCTTCAGCAACCCATGCTTGTCGTAAGAAGTGAATAACGGGATCGGGTGGTCATACTCGCTGATCTGGTTGTTGCATGTCATCGTATCCTAATTGCGTGGATTGATGCTCATGATGTCAATCACTCGATTGTCTGGTCCAGACTCGATTATTTACAGATCGCCGTGCGGTGTTAATCAACAAACAAAGAATAGTTTTACAGGCACTTTAACTTTAAATGGCATTGTGTATTCATAGGAAGTCTTTAATGTTATATTTCCCAATGTGAGATAGTTCTCTACTATTTTTGTAGATAAAACCAACATATCATGTAAGGCGAGGCTATTTTGTGTTATCACTTGTAAGTTAGTATTGTTTTCCGTCGCCTTTGAAGACTCTCATGAGACGCTATGGTGGACGCCGGTGTTCTGGTTGACTTGCTTAAATGTCAGACTTATCCTGAATACTTGTACGTAACTGCGTCAGCAAATCTACATGATAAACTTCATATCTAATGTGAAATTAAACCTGTGCGTTCTCCTCGTGGAACTGTACATAACGCTATATGTTCTGAAACGAAGAGCTTTGTTTCCAGAATCCTCAGTGCTCTACATTGAGCCCAGTCATGGCAGCACGAACGGCGAGACCCGCATCACCATCACGGGACGAAGTGAGTACAGGGGGCGGGGGGATGTCAGCGTTAAGGTGGGTAGGTGTGTGTGTGGGTGGGTGGTGGTCGACAAAGACAGAGAGGCAGAGACAGAAGCAGCGAGAGGAAGAGAGAGAGTGAGTTAGTGAGTGAGTGAGTGAGAGAGAGACAGAGGAAGAGAGAGGAGAGACAGGAAAGAGGGACAGACAGAGAGAGATAGACAGACAGAATGATAATCACAGAGAGAGAGAGAGAGAGAGAGTGAGTGAGTGAGTAAGTGAGTGAGTGAGAGAGAGACAGAGAGGAAGAGAGAGGAGAGACAGGGAAGAGGGACAGAGAGAGAGAGAAGGAATGATAATCACAGAGAGAGAGAGAGAGAGAGAGAGAGAGAGAGAGAGAGAGAGAATCTTAACCTCACTCGGATATTCAAGCCAGAAATACGTCAAATAAACATTATAATGAACTTATTTATAGCTCGTTTATAGCATCCTGTATCAATGATACAAAATCGCATATACCAAAAATACGACTGGTATACAATACTATAATACGTTATGTATACAACCCAGCAGTTCATCTTGTATACAACCCAGCAGTTCATCATGTATACAACCCAGCAGTTCATCATGTATACAACCCAGCAGTTCATCATGTATACAACCCAGCAGTTCATCATGTATACAATACTACAATACGCCATGTATACAATAGTACAATACGTCATGTATACAATACTACAATACGTCATGTATACAACCAAGCAGTTCGTCATGTATACAACCCAGCAGTTTATCATGTATACAACACTACAATACGCCATGTATACAATACTACAATACGTCATGTATACAACCAAGCAGTTCATCATGTATACAACCCAGCAGTTCGTCATGTATGCAATACTACAATACGTCATGTATACAATACTACAATACGTCATGTATACAACCCAGCAGTTCATCATGTATACAACCGAGCAGTTCGTCATGTATACAACACTACAATACACCATGTATACAATACTACAATACGTCATGTATACAACCCAGCAGTTCATCATGTATACAACCAAGCAGTTCGTCATGTATACAACACTATAATACGTCCTGTATACAACACTACAATATGTCATGTATACAACCCAGCATATTATCAAGCATAACGTTACGTATACAACCAAGCAATACGTCATGCACACCAGCAAGCAATACGTTGTGTACACGTGATAAGTTCACATAATGACTGGTATACATGTTCTCTCACGTTTATCAACCTGCCATTGAAACAGACTATGTTGGCAATAGTTTTACCAACCCCTCCCACAAGGAATTAAGCGTCATTTCAACATTACGCATCAACGCGTAACATGACGAATCATAAGAATGCAACTACGTATACCTATAACACCTTAACGTACACATATTAATCTTCACGGCGAAGTTTTACCGGAGAAGCCGCCATGCTGGGAGCCATACCCCGAGCTCATTACCATCAGAGTACGACATACAACAATGAGGTAATTACCCTCCGGGTAATGTATTATGAATAGCCAATCTACCCTCTGAATGGGGTATTTAATTAATAAGGCTAATGCAGGTTGTAAACAGCTCCGAATAAGCCACCCATGACCTTGTACATGTGTGAATGCCAGGGTTACCATCAACGCCATCATGCTGGAGCGAGGGAGTCAGTTATTAGTCACACCTCAGCGAGTCAGTTTATGTGGGAGTCTTAGATATAACTTAATACGTTATTCGTTGAATTCTTGAACTGTACATCTCGAGAAATGCCTACACACTTTAAAACATGGCTATTGACTTAAAGAGTATATTTAAATGATTTGTAAGTGTGCGTGAAGTGATGAAATACACGTTAATGAAATTGAGAGAAGACATTCTTTACATGAAATGTCAGCATAATAATAATAATAACTACAGATTTATAAAGTGCTGGTATCCAGTTCGAAGAACTGCTCAAAAGCGCTTCATTTGAGTCTACACAAAAAAAGAGACATTGCACAGCTAGGTGAAAACACAAAGCCTCAATACTCTAAGAAAGATTTGGTGAAAAGATTGGTTTTGAGTCATGATCGGAACAAAGTAGGACTGTCAATGTTCCTAATATTCAGTGGCAGCTTATTCCATAGCTCGGGGGCAACTTTGGCGAAACTCCGACCTCCAAAAGTCGCCGTTCTAACACTAGGCACAGAGTAGGGACTGGCAGCTTGATCTGAGAGATCTCCCAGGCACTTGGAGAAACGTTTCGAAATAAATGAAATGATAGCTTTATTAAACTGTGAACTGACACAAAACTAAATATGAATGCGGTAAGGTACCAAAGGCAAGGGAAGTCTGACAACAGGTCGGAAATTGTAGATCACACTCATTGTATTTTTGTATCCTTAAGAACAGGATCGTGATTTGTCAGAACAATACCTCATGCAGTGGGTTTAACCAAAGTGTTAATTTAACACGTCTAAGACACCATCACATCGGGCCTTGAGCCCGCATGAAGCGACTTGTCGCCATAACATTATTCCATCGTGGCGTTATTAAAGCACAAATACTCAAAACCTCTGTCGCCAAGAACAACATGACTTTTTAAACGTCAATGGTACAACGACAATATAACGATCATATCTCTTTCATGTGTGCCATTGAATGTACCAAGATTTGATAGAGGTGGCAGTTCTAGTGCAATCACAACGGGGACACCTGGGTTTCAAAGAACAATACCAAAGTCGCTGGTAGAATCGATCCTGCCAGTTATTTTCAAGTTGTTGGGGGTTTCTAATAAACTTCTTATCTATCTTTAATTTCAGATTTCGCCAGAAACCTGTTCAGCTTTGGCGTCGGTTTCGGCCATGTAGGCAACAAGGTCCAGATGGTGTCCGACACAACTGCATACGAATGTGCATTCCACCCCGACGGTTCACACGAGACACAGATCATGTGCTATACAAAGTAAGTGGTGATGTGTTGCACATGATATTTATCATAAAAGTGATGCGCTACACACACAAATATCATGAAGACGTTTTGCTACACACAATATGATATCATGACGATGTGCGACGCACAATATATCATGAGATGCTAGACACAATATGATATCATGACGATGTGCCACACACAATGAGATATCATGACCTTGTGCTACACACAATATGATATCATGACGATGTGCTACACACAATATGATATCATGACCATGTGCTACACACATGATATCATGAGATGCTACGCACAATATGATATCATGACGATATGCTACACACAATATGATATCATGACGATGTGCTACACGCATATGATAGCATGACGATGTGCCACACACATTATGATATCATGAAATGCTACACACAATATGATATCATGACGATGTGCTACACATAATATGATATCATGACGATGTGCCACACACATTATGATATCATGAAATGCTACACACAATATGATATCATGACGATGTGCTACACATAATATGATATCATGACGATGTACTACACGCAATATGATATCACAACGATGTGCTCCACACACATGGTATCATGACGATGTGCTACACACATTATGATATCATGAGATGCTGCACACAATATGATAACATGACGATGTCCTACACACATTATGATATCATGACAATCTACTACACACAATACGATATTATGACGATGTGCTACACACAATATGACATCATGACGATGTGCTACACACAATATGACATCATGACGATGTGCTACAAACAAAAGGATATCATAAAGACGATGTGCTACATGCCAACAACCTGGGTCCAAAATGTGCAATGTTTGTTGTCACTCAGCATGCTATTGCTGGAACATTGCTACAAGAGGCGTAGAATCTTCTTCACTCTACTCTCTCAATCATAGCTCACATCACTTTCAAAAGGGGGACCTATCACGTCTTTATGTACGAGGTTTCATAAACTATCCTTCTTTCAAAAGACAACCTTGCCGTATGATCCTTTCTAAGGATGATAATTATTCATTGTAAATTCATGTTCCGTTCTTGCTTGCATCGGCTATTATGTCGACAAATCAAAGGTCGCTTGTTGAAGAGATAATAATTGATCTTGTCACCTGTGACTTGTTGTAGGGTTGATAGATTCTCCCTTCTACCGTCAGTGATTGTCTAGCTCGGAGCTGCTGAGAGACATTAGGTACTTAACACACAACACAAATACATCCTCTACGACAGATCCAGACAGATCTACAAAGTAGGCCGTTCTCCGCAACTATTCACCCAACCACTGTCCCAATGCCGTGTGGGCTTAAGTTATCTAACATCGCTTACAAAACTGAGGGGTAAAAGAAATTACAACGAGTTTGTTTTTTTATGTTATTAAAAATTGAAAAACTTTTTTTAAATTTTGATAGTGTGCATTTAACCATCACTCATCCTTGGAACATTTTGTAAACGTTAATCTGTAGCTAGGTAGTTTTATGTTAAAATATAGTGGTTCAATGAAAAGCTAGGGTAAGAGGTGAATTTTCAACCACATGACCCCTATCATGTTATAAATGTGAATTTGTGCCCCCAAAACAAACAAATTAATTGATTTTCAAACATGAGATTCTAAGACACCCACCAGCAGTTCGATTTATGACAATTTTCTTTTCAATTTTTAAAAGTCTTAAATCAAATTATATTTTTTTTAATATAACCTTGTAGAAGTATTCTTTTCATATACTAGTAATTTCACATTTTTCATATAATATCGCTAACTTTTCAACGGAATTGTCAAACATATGTAAAAATCAAGTTTCCTTATTTTGATGGTACAAAATTAATGCGCATAAAATTAATGCGACCTTCCGTCACTCGCATTTTTCGCATTAATATTCTTCTGCTCGCATTAATTTCCTGTTTTACAGTAATTTCACATATTTCATATAATATCGCTAATTTTGTAAAAATCAAGTGAGAGGTGCAGTTTCATTTGCCCCTCAGTATGTATTATGGAACGTTTGTACCCGCTTTGTTGGCATAGTATAAATCGATGCTTCATCATATATATTGTTGTCCGGTAGAATTGATGTCCCATTGACTAACACGCAAGGTCACATTGTACTCTTATACCAGCGATACAACCAAATTGATGTCTGTATTTACCTATTGATACATGAACACGATCCTCGCAAAGCAATAATACCAGGTGATGTATATACGAAACTACTGCGCCATTCGTTACAGTAGGTTCGTGCATGTTTTATGACGTTGTTTTGACGTTTATTATCTCCAGGTTGGCCTCACTTAATTAATCTCCACTGTCTGGTCAAGCTAGTCGATCTGGTCAAGCCTTTACTACCCCTTAGCGCCAATTCTGAAACAATACAATCGCTGTCACCTGAAGATTTACGGATTCCTTAACGTCGCGAGTGGGTGCACTGTACGTCTGACCTTGACGGTCTACGTGTTGTCAATGGCACGGCCATCATCAAAGCTTGTAGTGTTAATTAAATGATGTTGTTGTTGACGTGTGTACTGCCCTTGTTCTATGTACCGTGTCACCCTATTCAGGGAGGGTGAAGATCATCGGACATGTTTCAACTCGGCTTCATTAATACTCACTTAATCTGTAGGGGGTGCTATCAATTCAGGATCCCTCCTTGATTCGGGTTAAAATATGACCCCGGTAACCTGTGCATGTAGGCGATCAGTTTGATGGGGTGGTCTCGGTGACGGGTTGATTGCTTGTCGTCCTAATCGAACGTTAACGCCGTCAGACGTTGCTCGTTATATAAATCACTGGTTTGACTTGTCCGGACTCGTTTAGTTACAGGCCGATGTCACATAGCTGGAATATTGCTGAGTGTGGCGTAAAATGAGACAAATGCAGTCACAAAACAGACGTGATCTTAACAGGGAAAGAAAGACTAGAGTGGGGAGGCACTCCTAAGTTTCGAGTCTTTCGAAACACTGAATATATTAAACGTGCACTGTATATGCTACGTAAACTTTATATGTTACTCACACTATATATGACACGGACACAATAAATGTTACGTACTCCAAATGTTACGTACTCTAAATGTTACGTACACTATACATGATAAGTGCACTATATATGTTACGTACATTATATATGGCACGTACACTAAATATGACACGTGCACTTTAAATGTTACGTACACTTTATATGTTACGTATACCATATATGACATGTACACTATATATGATAGGTCACTATACATGTTACGTACAATATATGTTACGTACCCCATATATGACACGTACACTATATATGTTACGTACACAATATATGTTACGTACACTATATATGACACGCACGCTATCTATGTTACATACAATATATATGCTACGTATAATATATATGTAACGTCCACTATATATATTACGTACACTATATATGTTGCGCACATTATATATGGCACAATGTATATGTGACGTACTCCATATAAGTTATGTACACTATATACGTAACATATATAGCATACGTAAAATATATAGTGCATAGTGTATAATATTGATGTAATACTCCCTGTTAGTCAAAATTCTTTATTCTCGGCCTCGTTTGAGTATTTATTTTGTTTGATGTCAACATTAATAGTAGTGAGTGAGTGAGTTGGGTTAACGCCGCTTTGAACGATATTCTAGTTATATCGCGGTGTGTCAGGTTAGTTTCGGAGGAAAGTGAAGCAAGTCTCAGACGTTTACCACTTCGGTGAAACCCACGTGCACGGGTATGGTGCTGACAAACCTAAAAACATAATCGGGCCGAACTGGGGTTCGAACCCACAATCATAGGTTTCTGGCGTGCCCAAGGGAGGCAACTCTGCACAGCGAATCGCGGCGCCTTTGACCACTGGGCCACCCGTGCCGCTTCAACAAAAGTACATGTAATGATATGACTTTCTACAATGTTGTTTTTAAGTTTCGAGCTTTATTCCATCATCTCGGAGTACAAGTAAAATGAATAATCCCTAGAAATTTGTGCATAATCATGTCCTAGCCTGTGTGTTTCACCTCCATATGTTCGAGTCTTGTTGGTTTGACCACCATGTTCGAGTCTTGTTGGTTTGACCACCATGTTCGAGTCTTGTTGGTTTGACCACCATGTTCGAGTCTTGTTGGTTTGACCAGCATGTTCGAGTCTTTGTTGGTTTGACCAGCATGTTCGAGTCTTGTTGGTTTGACCACCATGTTCGAGTCTTGTTGGTTTGACCACCATGTTCGAGTCTTGTTGGTTTGACCACCATGTTCGAGTCTTGTTGGTTTGACCACAATGTTCGAATCTTGTTGGTTTGACCAGCATGTTCGAGTCTTGTTGGTTTGACCAGCATGTTCGAGTCTTGTTGGTTTGACCAGCATGTTCGAGTCTTGTTGGTTTGACCAGCATGTTCGAGTCTTGTTGGTTTGACCTCCATGTTCGAGTCTTGTTGGTTTGACCACCATGTTCGAGTCTTGTTGGTTTGACCAGCATGTTCGAGTCTGGTTGGTTTGACCACCTTGTTCGAGTCTGGTTGGTTTGACCACCATGTTCGAGTCTGGTTGGTTTGACCACCTTGTTCGAGTCTGGTTGGTTTGACCACCTTGTTCGAGTCTGGTTGGTTTGACCACCATGTTCGAGTCTTGTTGGTTTGACCACCATGTTCGAGTCTGGTTGGTTTGACCACCTTGTTCGAGTCTGGTTGGTTTGACCACCATGTTCGAGTCTGGTTGGTTTGACCACCTTGTTCGAGTCTGGTTGGTTTGACCACCATGTTCGAGTCTGGTTGGTTTGACCACCATGTTCGAGTCTGGTTGGTTTGACCACCATGTTCGAGTCTTGTTGGTTTGACCACCTTGTTCGAGTCTGGTTGGTTTGACCACCATGTTCGAGTCTGGTTGGTTTGACCACCATGTTCGAGTCTTGTTGGTTTGACCACCATGTTCGAGTCTTGTTGGTTTGACCACCTTGTTCGAGTCTTGTTGGTTTGACCACCTTGTTCGAGTCTGGTTGGTTTGACCACCATGTTCGAGTCTTGTTGGTTTGACCACCTTGTTCGAGTCTGGTTGGTTTGACCACCATGTTCGAGTCTGGTTGGTTTGACCACCATGGTCGAGTCTGGTTGGTTTGACCAACATGTTCGAGTCTTGTTGGTTTGACCAGCATGTTCGAGTCTTGTTGGTTTGACCATCATGGTCGAGTCTTGTTGGTTTGACCACCATGTTCGAGTCTTGTTGGTTTGCCCACCATGTTCGAGTCTTGTTGGTTTGACCACCTTGTTCGAGTCTTGTTGGTTTGACCACCTTGTTCGAGTCTTGTTAGTTCACCACCATGTTCGAGTCTAGTTAGTTTCATCTCAATTTATTAGTCAGCTGGTTTCACAACCATATCCGAACCTGTTCGTTTCACCACCCTATCCCTATCTCTTCGTTTCACTACCATACCTTCCTAAAACAAAAATATCATTGTTCAATTACTTCCCGGAACACACTATGATTTGCCTGTTAGATAACTTTCGCCACAGCGTTGTTGACACATCCCTTGTTTGCAGGAAGATGCCGGTTGGGGAGTACAAGGTCCGAGTGTCCGTGGATGGAGTGGACATCCCCGCTGCTGACCACTGTAAAGGATCCGAGTCCAAGTGTTTGTTCAAGGTCAGTTTTGTTTTTGTTCTACGTCACAGTCTATTTTCCAGCTATATCACGGCGGACTGAAATAGTCAGACAAACCAGTGATTGATGTTGTGAGCAACGCCTCACGCCGTCAGGTACGATGACGCGCAACCATCACGTCACCGTGCCTGACGACCAGATCCAAGGCCAATTAGATACCATGCCACAGTTCAACAAGGATACCCTACTCAGACACACACCCCGAGCCGACGTTGTCTTATCTCCTAAATGTTGCTCGCCATGCAGGGTAACATCAGTACATCTTTTAACATCTTTTGGTGTGACGAGGGACCTAACCACCGACCTTCCTCTCTGGGGAACTGAAATACTCTCCCCAGCGGGGTGAACCCAGCTAACGACTATGACCATGTTCCTCTGTTTTCAGCAGTTGTCTCTCAATAACCTTATTATATTTCAGACATCAAGTTCGTACACCCCGACCCTGCAGTCTGTCCTGCCAATCACTGGCCTACCAGGTGAGAGAGGGGTCACTGATAGATCAGAGTGCATATAACACGCAGTCATGTAGGTGTAGACCTGTGCCATTTGGAATGAGTGGGTGATTTGGGTTTTATCGCTTCTTTAATTTATTTGTTTTGTTTGTTTGTTGTTTAACGCCGCACTCAGCAATATTCCAGCTATACGACGGCGGTCTGTAACTAATCGTGTCTGGACCAGACAATCCAGTGATTGACATCATGAACGCAGACCCACGCAATTAGGTTACGATGACATGTATCAACCAAGTCAGTGAGTCTGACCACCCGATCCCGTTAGTCTCCTCTTACGACAAGCAAAGTCACCTTTTACGGAAACCATGGACTGCTGAAGACCTATTCTAACCCGGATCTTCACCGGTTCTCCCCTTTGAACAATATTACAGTTATTTGTCAGCTACATGTGGGAGGAAAGCCCGAAGTGATGCATGTCTCAGGCGTTTTCCATTGTGGTTAAATCCACGAGGACGGGTATCGTGCTGATACGCTTAGAAACATGTTCGTTGCGAACAGGGATTCGAACCATGCTCATAGATTTCTGGCGTACCCAAGGGACGCAACTCGGGATAGTAAATTGCGGCTTCTTCGACGACTGGGCCACCCGTGTTCCCGACGTCATTTGGAGCTTGTACAACTGGACCATTGTTTGAATATGTAACGCTCTCTTCAAACCCCCCAGCGTTCCAGCGATTGTATTGCTTTACACAGATTAAGATCGCTTCACGCGGCTAGCTCAGGCACGATTGTTTATATGGGCCGTCATAGGGCCGGGGCATTGCTCAGGCAACACAGAAACACCTTTTGCAATGAAAATTGTGTGAGTGGCTGGTGCTTACCCATGTCGGGAACGCCTGGTGTCATCACTGATTTCCGGAGATCCATTAATAAAATGCGTGTCTCTATTCCGACTTGGAACCTGTTTCGGCTTATATTCGAGACGGATTATTCTCTGACGTTGACGATTTGGAGACATCCTATGCTCTGACCATGTTGATGATTGTGACGTTAAAGAATATCCACTGTCTCGATATTGCTGTTCATATGTAACATTATAAGATCAAATGTAACGTTAAGCAGGCCTCGGTTTCGAAGTATCTTCAATATGAGCGTCATTCCTTTGCATCAACAGGCGACATGGTGAAGCTCCGGGGCAAGCTCATCACTGACCGGTACGGCAGCAACATGGCGGCCAGCAGCAACGGCAAGACTGAGAAGCTACTGAGGTACGTCAAAGATGAGGATGCTTTGGTTGGTTGGTTTGTTGTTTGACGCCGCACGCAGCAATATTCCAGCTATATGACGGCGGTCTGTAAATAATCGAGTCTGGACCAGACAATCCAGTGATTAATGTCATGAGCATCGATCCACGCAACTGGGATCGATGACATGCATCAACCAAGTCAGCGAGCCTGACCACCCGATCCCGTTAGTCGCCTTTTACGACAAGCATAGTCACCTTTTACGGCAAGCATGGGTTGCTGAAGACCTATTCTACCCCGGATCTTCACGGGCCTGTGAAATAAGACCATGTCATAATGCAATCACAACAGCACAGTTTATTATATGGTGGTACACTAAGGTGTTTATTAACTGGCACAACCTTTTATAACCAACAATCCTGATCGAGTTATTCATTCAAAAATATTTCAATTACAGATATTATTTATTTATTTGAACTGTAAAAAACAGATTTATTGTGTCCTGGTAAACTTGCTGAAACGACATAGAAATCCTGCGTATAACCATACAAAATTTATTTTGCTCGTCACGCCGAAGGCGACTCCCCATATTGGTACAATGTGTAAAGCCCATTTCTGGTGTCCCCTGTCGTAGTATGGCTGAAAGCGGCGAAAACCATACTCACTCACTCATTGATAGTATTGTTTTATACTTAGTATGATTTTAGAACATTATTTGTCATCAGTATACGCTTTCTGCCCGCAATTTCTACACACATTCATCAATGACCCACACTCCCAAATCAAACGAGTATCCCACTGGCATGGAATATTTTCGTTTTGAACTGTATTTAAACGTTTAATCTTGATATATATGGGGGCACGGGTGGCCCAGTCGTCTAAGGCGCCGCGATTCGCTGTGCAGAGTTGCGTCCCTTTGGCACGCCAGGAACCTATGATTGTGGGTTTGAATCCCGGTTCACCCCGATTATGTTTCTAGGTTTGTCAGCACCATACCCGTTCTCGTGGGTTTCACCAAAGTGGTAAACCTCTGAGGCCTGCGTCATTTCGGGCTTTTCTCCCACATTAAGCTGACGCGCCGTGATATAACTGGAATAATGTTAAAAGCGGCGTTAAAACACAACTCACTCACTCTTGATATATTTGGAAGTTTTTAGTTTCCGCTCGTAAATACGTTACCATGAACAACCTCCGGTTCTGACATATGTGTTATGGTGTATGTTTCAGAGTGTACTTGGGAAGTGAGAACTGTGAGGTAAAGGACCTGGACACCGATACCATGTAAGTATACATACACACACAGTCAGATGTGGTGTAAATTGCAGAGTAAATTGGGATCACTATGATCACAAGCGCCGGTGGGGTAGCCTAGTGGTTCAAACGTTCGCTCGTCACGCCGACAGCCCGGGGTCGATTCACGGGAGACAAAAGGTCAAAGTGGTGAAAATCTTAGACATGAAGCCGATAGGGATGGGTATCCCCCTGACCGGGCACCATAATCACGGCAAATCTGGGATTCGAACCATCCAGCATGGGATCCTTGTATGACTAAGGGACGCAACTCTGCATATCGGATGGCAGTTTCTTAGACTGTGCAACCTGTTCCCCTAGTTTTACATAAAACATTTCGTGAGTTGCAAAAATTGAGTTCTAGTTGACAAAAGGAATTATACACCCATGTTCGATGGTGGCTTAAAGTGAAAGAAATAAGAAATGGTTATTTAATTGATATGTATGTGTTATGCGTATCATAGATAATATTACGTGCATCATATCAATAGACCGGCTCTGTGGTCTAATGGTAGAGGGTCCACCTGGAGAGCGGGAGGTCCGGGGTTCAATCCCCAGCCGCGTCATACCAAAAGACGTTAAAAGATGGTACTTGTTGCTACCCTGTCTGGCGCTCGGCATTAAGGGGCTTAAACAAGGACTGGTCGGCTCGGAGTCAGTATACTGTGTCTGAGTGGGGCATTCATGTTAAACTGCGGCATGGTATCTCAGTGAGCTAGCACTATAAATCGGCATCAGTCCGGACTAGTACAAGCAGCCGCACACACACATACACGTGCATGCACGTCGCTATATAAGTGCAATAATCTTGGACGCGACGTTAAACCCCATTTCACCTCATCTCACCATCATATCAATAAGTATCTCAAACAGGGGTGAGCAAAGTAACGTTTTGATATAATCTTTTTTAATGTTGGAGTTAAATCCAATTTTCAAGTGCATACATTCTTTTGCCCGGTAGTGTATTTGGTAATAGTTTGATGCATACATGTATATTATTTGATACAAACATCACTATCATCATGATAAGGGCTGATGAGGCAGCCCAGAAGCTAAACCCTTCACTCTTCATCACGACGGGCCGGGTACGATACACCCCATGACTGAAATGTATGAAGCATTTTGGTGTCCTCCTAAGTGAGTGAGTGAGTATAGTTTTACGCCGCTTTTAGCAATATTCCAGCAATATCACGGCGGGGGACACCAGAAATGGGCTTCACACATTGTACCCATGTCGGGAATCGAACCCGGGTCTTCGGCGTGACGAGCGAACGCTTTAACCACTAGGCTACCCGACCGCCCCTCCTCCTAAGTGATAATGCTGGACTATTGGTAGGAGAGGCGTACAAAAACATACTCACTCACTCACACACGTGTTATCACAAAGGTCATAAGTGAACTGTATTTCCCCAGGTTCGGCATAAGTCTTGACGATAGCGGAAGCAGCGTCTTCGGAGATCTGCTCTGCAAACACCAGTCTACCTTCGTCAGTAAGTATACCTTGCATGAAGGACGTCTCTTGACGTACGGATATATATGTGTTGTGACTTTACGTACAACTGAGCTGATATACTGTCTCTCGTCATTCAGCTGTAGAGTGGGTACCCGACAGGGCTTTCTCTTCGTGTGCTAATATCAGTTTTTTTTAAGATGGTCTGATCGAACGATTTGTCAAAATGGCCCAAATGGCCCAAATGGCCCAAAGGCTCAAATGTACAATTAGGCTGATCGACTGTCTCTCGTCATTCAGTTGTAGAGTGGGTACCCGACAGGGCTTTCTCTTCGTGTGCTAATATCAGTTTTTTTAAGATGGTCTGATCGAACGATTGTTCAAAATGGCCCAAATGGCCCAAACTCCCCAAATTCCCCAAAGGCTCAAATGTACAATTAGGCTGATCGACTGTCTCTCGTCATTCAGCTGTAGAGTGGGTACCCGACAGGGCTTTCTCTTCGTGTGCTAATATCAGGGTTTTTTTAAGATGGTCTGATCGAACATATGGTCAAAATGGCCCAAATTGCCCAAAGGCTCAAATGTACAATTAAGCTGATCGACTCTCTAGTCATTCAGTTGTAGAGTGGGTACCCGATGAGACTTTCCCTTTGCGTGTTAATAGCAGACTTTTTTAACATGATCTGACCGAAATGTGCATTAATAATCATAAAATCGATCGATATATGTATTGACTTGGAGTAATCCATCATTAACTTTTAATAAGGGACCTTTGTCCTCTGAAAGAAAATATTTCGACAATGCATATTAAATTGAATGACTTATGAATATATAGTTGTAGATTAACACCGACAATGTATTTGGTTTTTTATTAGTTCTGTTATATGATTATGTTATTTGTCATTACAGGTTCTATGAATGCGAGTTTCATCATTGAAGGCGGATATGGAAGGTGAGAAAATGATGGCAAAGATAAACTCCCCTCGTCATCACGATATAAATATATAGATGTCATGTGTATATAAAATATACATTTTCAGAAACGATGGGCGACATTTTCGTATTGTAAGAGTGCATGCAATGCATATACATTGTACTCAAATGTAGGCCATTCTTTATATTCTACCCTTCATAGCTCACATGTGTCTGTGGTATTTCTAATATTTAAAACCGTGTCCTGGGCAATCTTGCAGAAAGCGATCTAAGCACTAAGATGATAACATAGGCATACTATAGTCTTAGCGCTAAGATGATCGTAACTCCCATAATTTAAAATATAACATAGGCATACGATAGTCTTAGCGCTAAGATCGCTTTGTGAAAGTGAGCCCAGGGCTCCGTTCCTCAAAGCGATGTTAGCGCTAATGTGATCCTAAGTCCCATACTTTAACACAGGCTTACACAGCGCTAAGATCGCTTTGAGGAACGGGGCCCAATGTACCGTTGTACTAAACAACCTTAGTGCTACGACTGTCGTAAGTCTATGTTAAGGTGTGGGAGGAACGACCACCTTAGCGCTAAGATCGCTTTGTACAACGGCACCTAGGACGATAATGATAATACAATCGTGACGTCATTGTAGTGTGACGTAAGTAAACGTCACATCGCTCAGCAAAGAATGATATGTTCATTCCCAGATTATCTGAACCAATGAGAATAGTATAGGACCATAAGACTATCTGTTACTACTATTCCGCCATGGGGATTCTGAGTTAGACCGGACCGCTAACTTATAGATGATGTATGGCTGCGTAAACAAAAACACACTGACACATGCTAGCCGCTGCAGCAATGTTTATCATGATTTGAATGTATTCTGAGACACAAAGATAATCAAATTATCTTTTAGTAAATCCCACCCACGCTAATATCAAATTGTTGTAAGAGATGCGTGTCGTAAAAGGAGACTAACGGGATCGGGTGGTCAGGCTCGCTTGGTTGATACATGTCATCGATCCCAATAGCGTGGATCGATGGTCATAATATCAATACACTGGATTGTCTGGTCCAGACTCGATTCTTTACAGACCGCCGTCATGTAGCTAAAATATTGCTGAGTGCGGTGTTAAACAACCAACCAACTAAGCAAACCAACGTACACTCAAATTAAGGCCGTCTGCTCCGAAAACATTGGGATTCAATAGGTGAATATGTCTCTTGTTCAGATAATAATGACCTTGTGTTGTTTCCTGAAGGTCACAGCCTAGTACGGATATTCTCCATGTCAGCAGTACAGGGAAGATCTACATGTTCCAGACGTATGCACGTAAGTATGATAAGTATATACCTATTATCCGTATTACCGCCGTGATATAGTGAATAGAGCGTGTGCCGGTAGAGCGGAAGGTCGGTGGTTCGATCACCGGCTACGGGGGGCACGGGTGGCCCAGTCGTCTAAGGCGCCGCGATACGCTGCGCTGAGTTGCGTCCGTTGGGCACGCAAGAAACCTATGATTGTGGGTTCGAATCCAGGTTCGCCCCGATTATGTTTCTAGGTTTGTCAGCACCATGCCCGTTCTCGTGGGTTTCACCGAAGTGGTAAACGTCTGAGACATGCATCACTTCGGGCTTTCCTCCCACATTAAGCTGACACGCCGTGATATAACTGGAATACTGTTAAAAGCGGCGTTAAACCCAACTCACTCACTCACTCACCGTCTAAGTCATACCAAAAGGGGTTAAAATATGGCACCTGTTGTTACCCTGCCTAGTGCTATGTATCAAGGGGCTAAAACAAGGACTGTTAGCTCGGAGTCAGTATACTGTGTCTGAATGAGGTATCCATGTTAAACTGCGGCATCCAAGTGGCAGAATAAGAAATATAGAAACAGTGTTTGTATTTTATATTAATTTTGCCTTTCCAATATTGTTGTACGTTTTAAATAGATAAGAATATAACGTCCTGGTATTATTTATAGCCATCTCCGGTATATCTCCTTCTACCGGAAGTCAGCGAGGAGGGACGAGGTTGACCTTGACCGGAAAACATTTTGATGAAACCACCACAAAGGCCAAGGTCAAGATTGGAGGTGCGTGAACTGTCAATATTCACCACAATGACTATCATGAACGAGACATAATCAACATGATGCCATTAATTCATGAATATTTGCGTATGTCGATTCGATTTCCGGACCACAGTGAGAATACTAGGACGGAATAGGTCAGACAGTCAGACAGACAGACAGACAGACAGTCAGACAGCCAGACAAGCATACAGGCAAACAGACAGACAGGCATATGTCTCTCATAGAACCCAACTAATGATGAGATGGGGTCACAATTTGTAGACAAGCTGATTTTATGTCGTAAGAGGAGACTAACGGGATCGGGTGGTCAGGCTCGCTGACTTGGTTGATGCATGTCATTATATCCAATTTGCGTGGATCGATGCTCATGATAAATCACTGGATTTTCAGGTCCAGACTCGATTATTTACAGACCGCCGTTATATAGCTGGAGTATTGCTGAGTGCGGCGTTAAACAACAAACAAACAAACATACATCGTACCCCGACGAAATGGGTCGTTGCTCATACTATCAACCTCAGGTTTGATTATCAATGTTAGATAGTTCACAGGCTAGTCTTCTTTGAGAAACCCGGAATATGTCTGCTCTACGGGAGAACAACATTCACAGATTCCAAATTGATAATTGATATTAAAAATAATATATCTGTATAGTGACATAATTCTTTTCAACCGCATGATTTTGTGAGGTGACAACAATCGACTTGTAAATCACGTCTACTGGAAGACCTTGGTCTGTTATTAATAAGTGCCGTTTCAATGGGTATGTTGTTAAATAACATGTTAATAGTATTACGTGTTTTGTTTTACAGACACAGATTGCAACATCGTCGAGCCAGTAACAGACACACAGATTGTCTGCGTAACAGCCGCGGACCCCGGAGTCACTAAACCCCTACACCGAGGTATGTATGTGCTTATAACTGTGTATATGGGGCGGTCGGGTAGCCTAGTGGTTAAAGCGTTCGCTCGTCACGCCGAAGACCCGGGTTCGATTCTCGACATGGGTACAATGTGTGAAGCCCATTTCTGGTGTCCCCCGCCGTGATATTGCTGGAATATTGCTATAAGCGGCGTAAAACCATCCTCATTCACTCACTATAACTGTGTAGAGGGGGTTGTTACAGCCTTCCTTGAAACATATTCAGTAAGATGACGTGAAGGTGGGTGGGATGCAGGCGTTTAACAATTTCGTGACGCGACCACGGGGACGTGTATGTACTGTCATACCTAGAACCACAGTCAGACCGACCAAGGGATACGAACCATTCGTCACCACTCGCCCCTTTCCGTCACCTGCAAGAAGACTCGTCCCCCTATCGATGAATGTTATGTGCGAAAATACGACAAACCAATCAGGATGCGCGTATGATTTCAAGTTCTTCGTGAAAGAATCGCTCAGAAATAATTTTTGAATTTACATATGTCTTGCATCTAAAAATATACCAAAGACACAGTTAAATGTGTTCAATCATACTGTATAATTCGCGCGTCCCGATGTGCTTTAAATTGCATCTGAAATATATATAATATATGGGGAAAATGTGTGAACCATTACGCAACGAGTTGACAATTGTCCCGGAATAACACGAGTTGGTCACGAATGGAGTCGCTATTCGGCCTGTCCCGGAATAACACGAGTTGGTCACGAATGGAGACGCTATTCGGCTTGTCCCGGAATAACACGAGTTGGTCACGAATGGAGTCGCTATTCGGCCTGTCCCGGAATAACACGAGTTGGTCACGAATGGAGTCGCTATTCGGCTTGTCCCGGAATAACACGAGTTGGTCACGAGTGGGATACGATCCCATGATCCAAGGTTACCGGCACGTTAAGGGGACGCAACTCTGCACAGATAATTGCGGCGCCTTTGACAACTGGGTGTCCTTTTCAAAGATCTGTAGATATATCCACGCAGTTAGGACATTTCAGTGAATTAACCGTCTAAAGCACCAACACCCTTTGGTAATAACCTATATCTTTCAGGCAACAGGGGTCTCGCGTTCGAGATTTGGAACGAGACTTACACTGACCTGGCAAGTATCGGCAGCCTCAGTGACAATGCCAGCGACTACGTCCGTGACCGGGTGGACGTCAGCGACTACACGGAGTCCAACATGAACAACTACGTGACACGGATGACCGGCTTCTTCGTGGCGCCCCGGACGTCGGAGTACAGGTTCTACGTCATGGGCGACGACCAGGTGGAGCTGTACCTCAGCACCGACGATGACCCCGCCAACAAGGTGACACTCTCAACACTGAAGTGGGGGGGGGGGGGGGGGGGGGGGGTAGCTTAGAGGTTAAAGCTCATCGCTCGTCACGCCGAAGGTTGTTTGTTTGTTTGTTTGTTGTTTAACGCCGCACTCAGCAGTATTTCAGCTATATGACGGCGGTCTGTAAAATAATCGAGTCTGGACCAGACAATCCAGTGATTGACATCATGAGCATCGACCCGCGCAATTGGGATCAATGACATGCATCAACCAAGTCAGCGAGCCTGACCACCCGATCCCGTTAGTCTCCTTTTACGACAAGCATAGTCTCCTTTTACGAATGTCGTTACTGATTTGATAAATGAACGAACGAAAGAACAAGTAACAGATGGGACGAACTGTTTTGAATCAGTTCTTTTCAGAGAAAACGTATGTCACTTCTAAATGTTTGTTTGTTGTTTAACGCCGCACTCAGCAATATTCCAGCTACATGACGGCAGTCTGGAAATAATCAAGTCTTGACCAGACAATCCAGTGATTGACATCATGAGCATCAATCCACGCAATTTGGATACGATGCCATGCATCAACCAAGTCGGCGCAACATTTATTGACTTTATATCCGTAGATGGTAGAACATTTGCACCCACATCATTTCTCACTCTTAAGACCTCACACATCACAAAGTCTGAATAACTATTCTTAGGCAATTATATTTCATTACAGGTGAAGATGTGCGAGGCTAGCGTTGATAGTACCTACTTCAAGTCAGCGAGTCAAAAGTCATCGAAGGTCAACCTCACTGAAGGACAAAGGTAGTTACCATGAGTTTGGACCGACCATGACCTTCGGGGGGTGGGGGGGGGGGGGGGGGGTGGGGTGGGGGGGGGGGGGGGTGGGGGGTTATCATAGGTCTCACATTTCTTCATGAACATGTTAAAATCAGCCTACACTGCATCATTTTATTTTCAGCTACTACATGGAGGTGTTGCACCGGGAGGGCTCTTCTCGGTCGTTTGTCACGGTCGCTGCGCGCGCATACTCCACCGACATCACCAACACCATGACCGGCAAAGCGTGGCAAGAGAAACAGAAGCTGGTGTTTTCATCCACGGTTGTCAAGGAAGAGCTGGTGAGCCGGGGGCCGGGGGCCGGGGGCCGGGGGCCGGGGGCCGGAGTAGCTATTCTCCCACAAAGAAATTCCTCTTGAACAAACGAGTAGAGTCGCGTGGGGATAAACCAAAAAACATATTAAATTGGGCAATCTTAAGCGTCACTGACTTCCTACCCATAAGTCCTTGTTTTGCGAGATGCGTTCAATCACGATGTTGAGTTGGTTGTAATTTCAATGATGTCATGCGCAAAAGGGGAATTTTATCATGACGTCATTAGGTCACGTGTTACTTTATTTCTTCAAGCCTTTGAGCATCGTTCGATAACGTCCTTTAACAGTCTATTTAGATTCCAACATATATCCAGATCTTAAATACGCCAGTAATTTTACACACTTACACGTGATAACCAAAGTTATCAACCGATTGTAATTATAATATATCAGCCAATACCACGTGACATAGCTTGAGTTGGAGATATACTTTTTCTAAAATTTCATTGGCTAGATAGTTTGTTAAAGTGATCTACAGTTATCTACAGAGTCAAAAGTGTTGCACCAACTCGCACACGCTGAGCCGAACTATAACCAAGTTCGATCATCAATTATGGAAAATCCAGTTGACGACATGGACAAATTACTATTACTCTATCAATCAGGGTTACAGTTTGGGAGTAAAGTGGCGGGGTGCACTTCATATAAAACATTTCAGATGATAGCAAGACATCGGGAGGACTTGGGTAGCCATGTTAGGTTTGTTGAAAACAAGCAACTGGTGTATCTATCACGTCAAATGAGTGAGTGGGTGAGTGAGTATGGTTTTACGCCGCTTTTAGCAATATTCCAGCAATATCACGGCGGGGGACACCAGAAATGGGCTTCACACATTGTACCCATGTCGGGAATCGAACCCGGGTCTTCGGCGTGACGAGCAAACGCTTTAACCACTAGGCTACCCGACCGCCCCTCACGTCAAATATCGTCTTGACATTATTGCACGTACATACATGTAATTGTCCCTGTTAGAATGTGTATATGTTACAGTAGTGTATATGTTTACCTCTGTCAGTCTGGTTGTGTGTGCGTATGTGCGTGTGTGTGAGCGTGTGTTTACGTCTGTGTGTGATAGAGCACGTGTAAGTATGATCGTGTTGGGTCACATGAAGTTGAAGCAGCGGTCGGGTAGCCTAGTGGTTAAAGCGTTCGCTCGTCACGCCGAAGACCCGGATTCGATTCCCGACATGGGTACAATGCGTGAAGCCCATTTCTGGTGTCCCCCGCCGTGATATTGCTGGAATATTGCTTAAGGCGGAGAACAACCATACTCACTCACTCACATGCAGTTGAATTGCATTGCATTGCATTGCATTGCATTGTATTGTATTGCATTGCATTGCATTGCATTGCATTGCATTGCATTGTATTGTATTGTATTGTTTTGCATTGTATAGTATTGTATTGTATTGTATTGTACTGCATTATATGCATTTAAATGATATTAATACTAAACTGTTTCCATTAATTTTACTAGTCCCTCATAACCTCCGAGTGGTTTTCGTATATTTGGCTATTTACTGTATTTTTAACCTGTTTTAATTCCAAAAACAATTTGCCCCGCATTATATGTCAGCACAGAATGTGAGACTTAAATAAACAACTTCTCTCTCATTATTGTTTATTTTTTCGACCATGTGTTAAGTATTCCAAAGGGGGTGTGGACACCCCTGCATCCTCCTCTACCCCCGTGTGTGCTGTATCTCGACATTTCATTGTTTCAGACCGTGGTATTGAGCACCCCCTCCGCCAAGTCAGCCACCAAAGAGGTTCAGACAGTGCTTGCTTCCGGAAACGCCAATGCCCCGTTCAGACTCGGAGTGATGGGGGTCTACACAGGTGGGTTTCACGTCCCAGTTGGACTTTTCCAGCTCATACTACCTGATTCATTATTCGGTTGGTACTGACATGTGAATCCGCCGTCCCTGTGCGTGAATGGTATGTGTTGATGAGTGCGACTAGGTTGTGGTAGCTGTGATAACTGATTGTGATCATCATAATGTGTCCTTAGAGTCCCACCCTGCCAATACCGCCTCCGTGGTCTAGTGGTGGAGCGTCCGCCAGGATAACGGAAGGTTCTGGGTTCGATTCCCGGGCGCGTCATACCAAAAGACGTTAAAAGATGGTACTTGTTGTAACCCTGTCTGGCGCTCGGCATTAAGGGTCTAAAACAGACTGGTCGGCTCGGAGTCAGTATACTGTGTCTGAGTGGGGTATTCATGTTAAACTGCGGTATGGGATCTCAGTGGGCTAGTACTATAAATCGGCATCAGTCCGGATTTTCACAACACACACACACACACACACACACACACACACACACACACACACACACACACACACACACACACACACACACACACACACACACACACACACACGTGCATGCACGTCGCTATATAAGTGCAATACTCCTGGACGCGACGTTAAACCCCATTTCACCTCACCCACCAGGCCAGTCTGTTAATAAGTGAGTGAGTAAGAGTGAATATCACGGCGGGGGTCACCAGAAATGGGCTTTACATATTGTACCCATTTCTGGAATCGAACCCGGGTCTTCGGACCGCCCCTCAGTCTGTTAATGACGAGTGAGTGAGTGAGTATAGTTTTACACCGCAGAAGTTTGGGCTAGTACATGCAGCAACACACACACACGCACACACGCACACACGCACACACCAACTCGCCCGCGTACCTACACGTCGCTATATAAGTGCAATAATCTTGACAGCGTAGTTAAAGCCCCGTTCACCTCACCGCCACACTGTCCTAACATAGCGTGTCTCACAGTCCCGAGAGGGGCGGTCGGGTAGCATAGAGGTTAAAGCGTTCGCTCGTCAAGCCGAAGACCCGGGTTCGATTCCTTACATATGTAGAATATGTGAAGCCCATTTCTGGTGTCCCCAGCAGCGATATTGCTGGAATATTGCCAAAAGCGGCGTAAAACCATACTCACTCACGCACTCCCCAGTGATAATATGTATGTATGTACGTATGTATGTACGTATGTATGTATGTATGTATGTATGTATGTATGTATGGGACTAAATGTCAGCCTAGTCATACCACGACGTTCAGCTTAGTAAATCATTTTATTTATTTATTTTTTCTTTAAATTCACCTTTTGTATGGTGTATATCATTTATAAATGATAACGTTATGCACAAAGTCGGGGTTTTTTAAGGTTGCAATCCTGTTTTGATTATCAATAGCCCATTGTTATTTCTTTTTTAACAGAGCCCCTGCTGGTGTCGACGACAGCTGCCCAGATGCAGACAGCTCTGAACAAACTACCAGTTATCGCCCCTGACACAGTCACAGTAACAGCAACGCCACAGGGCGCTGGCAACAGTTACAGCATTACCTTCAACACCGACAGAGGTGGGTGTGGCACTGAATATGGTGTACATACGGATGATGAAATGTTAGAGAATATTCTGTAAAAGGTCGACATCGAGGGGTACCAAACGGGCTTCCAAACATAATATATCATGTGATATTTAAACAAACTGAGTTATAGAATCAAGTTTCCCCGATATATATCCCCTTCCTCCACAGGCGACATCTCTGACATCACCTACCAACTGACCACCCCAAACATCACCGATCTGACCATCACGGTGACAGAGGCTACCAAGGGAGCACCAACCCTCAGCTCCTTCAGCTTCGACATGGACGGTATTCCGTCACCAGCCTTGACAGCGACAGCGACAGCCAGCGAGGTAAGAAGCGGTGTCGGTGAACCTTAGTAAACAAGTGAGTGAGTGAGTATGGTTTTACGCCGCTTTTAGCAATATTCCAGCAATATCACGGCGGGGGACACCATAAATGGGCTTCACACATTGTACCCATGTCGGGAATCGAACCCGGGTCTTCGCCGCGACGAGCAAACGCTCAATCCACTAGGCTACCCGACCGCCCTAGCAAACAAGAAGCAAGGGAGTTAACTGACTATAAAAGTCCGTTTTCAACCCTTGCCGAACTAGGCTGGGCAAACTGGACACCGCAAAGACCAATCAAAATTGTGCAACAAAATTAACATCCGGTTCTTAAACTGGATTTTCAAAGCATGTGTACCGCAAACGTGGCGTGAACAGACATTTTCTAAATTTAATGTTTTTAGTCAAAGTGCTCGCGTGATTTGATGCACTTCATGAAGTAAGACCCGTTCTATTGCAATATAGATCTTGATTATCAATCAGATATGTAAGATTGCATGATCGATTCATGTGATGGATTTTTCATGTGGACATTGTGACTTTTAACATATCACAAATCAACATTAGATGCACATTGTAACTTTTAACCAATCACAAATCAACATTAGATGCACATTGCGACTTTTAACCAATCACAAATCAACATTAGATGCACATTAAAAGGCCAGTTCATACAGTTCATCTGTGAAAGCTTGGTTTTACAATGGGAAAAAGCTGAGGCAATCTCGCGGAATGCCTGGGACTTCCTGGACAATGACTATATTCGTACTTCATGAACGTGTCAGAGAACCTACTCACAAAGCGGTGTTACGTCGCAAAAATGTTTCTACGATCTTGACAAAGAAATTTCTATGTGTGATTTTGATAATCGATATATACACAATCTTACGCACTTTTGCAGCTGCTTATATTTGTCTTGCATCGGTGATTAAGGGTTGCAACAAATGATTTGTAGGTCAAAAAATATTTAAAAAGTAATATTTGAACAAAATCTGCCCTTCCCTAACCCAAATCCCGAATTTAAAAAAAATAAAATTCTAAAATTAATTTTCAAACAAAATCAACTTAAAAACACCGATTATTTTTTAGCAACTAGTTGTGAGTAAATAAAGTGCTTGTTTACTTGAATGGAATTGATGAACATGTTGAAGGTGCGGTCAGCGTTGCTGAGTTTATTCAGCTCTGGATGTCCGAGTGACATTGGTAAGCCCTCGGACAACAAGTTCTTCCAGGACTACGAGAGCGGAGTGTCGTCCAAGTTTGGTGAACGGAGATCTGACAGGGAGCCCTTCTGTGGTCGCTTTTCCTCCAGAAACCCCAGGTACCTCTACGACAAGGGCGGGAGCGACGTCCTCGGCATCTCGCTCTCACAGTACAACACGGTGAGTTAGTGAGTGAACAAGGTGAGAGAGATGTGTGTGTGTGTGTGTGTGTGTGCGTGCGTGCGTGCGTGCGTGCGTGCGTGCGTGCGTGCGTGTGTGTGTGTGCGGGGGAGTGATTTAGTGAGTAAGTGGTTAGTGGGTATGTGGGAGGTGAGGTGAGATGAGGTGAAATGGGGTTTAACGTCGCGTCCAAGATTATTGCACTTGTAAAGCGACGTGCATGCACGTGTGTGTGTGTAGGGGAGGGGCGTGTAGGAGAGTTGGTGTGTGGATGAATAAGTGATTGAAGTGTGTGTGTGTGTGTGTGTGTGTGTGTGTGTGTGTGTGTGTGTGTGTGTGTGTGTGTGTGTGTGTGTGTGTGTGTGTGTGTGTGTGTGTGTGTGTGTGTGTGTGTGTGTGAGGGGCGGGTGAGTGTATGAGTGGGTGGTTGGGTGAGTGATTGAGAGAGTGGTTGAGTGGGTTAGTAGTTAGTGAGTGGGTGGTTGGGTGAGTAAGTCTGTCAGTGAGTGGATGGTTGAGTGAGTGAGTGAGTGAGTGGAGTAGTTGGGTGATTAGTTGGGTGAGTGAGTGAGTCCATACATTCCAAATGAGGACAAGCCGCGTCGGCGTTTTATCTGTTATTAAGCTCACACACCGCGATATAAAACTGCATTGCCCCGTTCCACAAAGCGATCGCAGCGCTAGGAGTGTCTATGTTAAAGTATGGGATTTCCGATCATCTTAGCGCTACGATCGTTTTGTGGAACAGGGCCAAGGAAGCTAAAGATTAAAACTCCCACGAATAATATCCTTATTTTCTCAAGCCAATTCAGCTAAAATTGAACTCAAACAAGAAAATGTAATAATTTCACAAAAATATTTTGTTGGTTACCTTTTTAAGTCATAATGATATATTTGTAGTTGTGCTTCGCCTACCGAGGAGTGGTCAAGTCGGTGGGGGTGAGGTTCACGTACGAGGACTCTGAGAGGGAGAAACACTCCACCACAGCAAGCTTCTCCATCACAGCACCAGATGACGCCAGTCAGTGAGTGATCTTAGGCGTGATGTCGTCTGACACGAGGATGGGTTTAACATCACTTTCCACAAACATGCGCCCTATTAAGGTATCGGAAAAGAAAAGACCAGCAAGAAATAATTACTATGTAAATCATAAAATCGATGCGTTATCAAAATAATGCGAGATCGTGAAATACAGCATGGAATATACACCCTTGAAACACTGTGACACCACTCTGTAAACATCAACACCAGGTTGTTTACTAAGAGTACCGTTAGACTTGGATATATCAGCTGATACATGGAGTTTGTGTGTTTGTTTGTTTGTTGTTTAACGCCGCACTCAGCAATATTCCAGCTATATGACGGTGGTCTGTAAATAATCGAGCCTGGACCAGACAATCCAGTGATTGACATCATGAACATCGATCTACGTAATTGGGACCGATGACATGCATCAACCAAGCTTCTCCATTTTGGATCAAACATGTTTCTTTCGCATTCTGTCAACAGTTATGGCAATCCATTCGTTATAAAACAATTAAGGTACGAGAAGTACTTCGGTCAAGCCGCAATCATTAAGTCACTGCTCTATACAGTTTAGCCAGGGGTGAACAGTCGAGTTTTGATCACGGTCAGCCATCATTAAAGTCGTGTCATACGTTTGATATCTTTTTCGTACATTCGTTACTTTTTTTTTCTTTTTTTGTGTTACTTTCGGTTGCAATATACATCCAGTACTTGGCTATTCTCTTTGACATTCGTGTATTTAAGGGTCTCCCCCCTTCAGCATATACCGTGAATACAGATCTTGTTACATTGCGAGGATATTTGTTCTCCACAACACAGTTAAATATTGATTGAATTTAGGAACAAGGGGACATGGTAGAAGTGGTATATTGTTGTCCAGTACTGAATGTTTATTCGGACATTTCGATCTAACCGAAAGAAAACCACACAGAAAGCAGTGTATACCCTTTGTTGAACACCCTTGTATGTTATAATACCATGGCGCTCAGAAACGACAGTTTTCTTTCTTTTTTTCATTTTCTCTGTTTTTCATTTTTTAACCTTTATCTTTCCGATGTTTAAATATGTTAAATCTGAAATATTTACTTGCTAATTTGCTGTGCATGTTTGTAAGAAGTATATTCTATTTGGTATCCGAATTGTTGCCAATACGACGATGAATGTTATCTAACTCACTCACTCGCTCGCTCAGATGGAGCTACCACTGCGAGAATATCTACGACGTCGCTAGAGCTCACCGTTCCTCCGGCTCCGATCACAGGGTGGACCGCCTCACCATCACACGACAATCCTCATCCCTTGACCTCTACGTGGACGTCGTCACCATCGTCAGAAAACCGACAACGACGGAAACCGGTGGGTCTTTTTTGTGTAAACAAGGTTGCGAGGTCAGCAATATGGAAACTCAATCAGCTGACTGGCATTATGACCCTAATTGTGGAATACATGTTTGTGTGTACTCAACCTAGTTTTGAAAAACTGGAGACATAATTTGACAACAAAATATTTTCGAAATAAATTGCGACACGTTTACGACAGTGTACAACATTTCCAGATAACAATCTCCAGAAATTTCCAAGTAGTTACTATAATATATATATTTAAATTTATATATTTATGAAGATTTTTTTAACTATCTGGAGTTTGTGAAAATCGCATTTTAACCAGTGTATAAAATATGCAGAAGTCTTTTCGACATTTTCCTCCTTTCGTTACTTTCTGGCAATAGGCAAAGATTTCCATCTCAACGAATTAAATTCGCCGAAATGTGTTTATTCATTAAGGAGTACAAATGCGGCCAAAGCCTGTATATTATATCAGTTGATACTTGTATGTATTAAACTGTAGTGTTACTTGTCATTTTCAGATGGCGTCAACCTACGGCGACTGCCCCAGGCACGTCCTAACGGAGTGTTCATCCGGGACGTTGAAGTGACCAGCTCCGAGGCTGGCCAGTACACGGTCAAGCTTGACCCCCACGCGTGTGGGAATGAGTTCCCCCTGCTTGGGGTTGCGTATGGCAAGGTGAGATAGACGGGATGCGTGTCATTTGTTTGTTTGTTGTTTAACGCCGCACCCAACAATAGTCCAGCTTAGTGGAGGCGGTTTGTAAGTAATCAAGCCTGGACACGACCATCCAGTGATTGACATCATGAGCATCGATTTAAGCAATAGGGATACGATGACATGCATCTGCCAAGTCACCGAACCTGACTGCCAGATCGTTAGTCGCCTCTTACGATAAGCATAGTCGCCTTTTACGGCAAGCATGGGTTGCTGAAGACCTATTCTGACCCGGAGCGTCACGGGGGGAGGCAAGCATGGGTTGCTGAAGACCTATTCTAACCCATATCTTCACGGGTAGGGATATGTGTCATGGTTATTGTAGCAATTTCCGACAAGACGTTTATTTTTGAAAAAAGTGCTAAAAAAACGTTTTTGTTTTGATATAAAGATTTTTATGACACATATAATTATTGCCATGACGTCAACAGAGCAATTGGTTTATTTTTCTGAATTTTGACAAGTGACAAGTTATAACACATGCTCGGACTTATTGATGAAAACATCAAATTGGTTGTTTCTATTCTCTCGCTGCTTATTAACAATTTCATTATCCAATAGACCAATACTTTTACCGCAGAAGATGTACACATCGTTATATATCTTTGTGTATACATCTAGTAGCCCCTGGTGAGGTCGGGTAGCCTAGTGGTTAAAGCGTTCGCTCGTCACCCCGAAGATCCGGGTTCGATTCCCGACATGGGTATAATGCGTGAAGCCCATTTCTTGTGTCCCCCGCCGTGATATTACTGGATAATTGCTAAAAACGGCGTAAAACCATACTGAATCAATCAATCAATCAATCAATCAATCAATCTAGTAGCCTCGAGTACTGACAGCTACTTATAAACGATGAAGGGATGACAAGATGCCGTTACCACCGCTAGCATGTGAGATGGATGTTAGATGTGTTTAGTTCGAAACGTCAACTTCTTCTTCAGCTGACTAGCGGGGACGTCTCCAACAGCAGCAGCAGCGCAGTCTTCTCCATCTCCAACGGCGGCTCGAAACTCGGGGTCGAAATTACGAGAGTCAACGCAGCATCGCCACCTATCGGTGGAGGTTTCTCTGTGTCGTACAAAGGGCAGACAACCGAAGGTATGTAATTGTGCTGTCGGTGTACACAGAATACTATGTCCAGGTTTCATCTGGAAAATAATAATTGCTATATTGGTCGTGGGGATTCAACGAGTTAGTGGGTTCGCTCGTACAGATATGTTCACACACTCTAACCACTGTCACAACCTCCGGCTACCACAACTACTACTACTACTACTACTACTACTGCGACAACTATTTTAACTGCTACAACAACTACTACAACTACTGCTACTACTTCTATTTCTGCTGATACTACTACTACTCCTTCTTCTACTACCACTGGGGGCGGTCGGGTAGCCTGGTGGTTAAAGCGTTCGCTCGTCACGTCAAAGACCCGGGTTCGATTCCCGATATGGGTACAATGTGTGAAGCACATTTCTGGTGTCCCCCGCCGTGATATTGCTGGAATATTGCTAAAAGCGCCGTAAAACCATATTCACTCACTCACTCACTATTCCTATTTTATCCTTATAACATTTTCATATCTTCACGATTCACTGTTTCAGGAATGCCACCAACGGCTACTGCGGAGGAAGTGACGGACCAGCTTCAGGCGCTGAGCACCCTGGGTAATATGAAAGTTGAGAGGGAAGGAAGTTGCTCTAACTTTGAGTACATTGTGACCTGGTTAGACCAAGGCGGTAACTTGGACGAAATGACGGTAAGAAAATCATAATATTTTTCACATTAATGACATAAAAAACAGGGGGCACGGGTGGCCCAGTCGTCTAAGGCGCCGCGACTAGCTGTGCAGAGTTCCGTCCCTTCGGCACGCCAGAAATCTATGATTGTGGGTTTGAATCCCGGTTCGCCCCGATTATGTTTCTAGGTTTGTCAGCACCATACCCGTGCTCGTGGGTTTCACCTAAGTGGTAAACGTCTGAGACCTGCATCACTTCGGGCTTTCCTCCCACATTAAGCTGACACGCCGCGATATAACTGGAATACTGTTAAAAGCGGCGTTAAACCCGACTCACTCACGTTACGTTATATACCTGAAAATGTATTGTTATTTTACCATCGGTGAGACAAAACGTCTTTTTTTATTCGATTTGATCGGAATTACTCAGCAGAGATACGATCCGAAATTCAAAAACATCTACTGTGTATGTCCATTTTGTAACAAAACCAAATTGATATCTCATTATACTGAATGATGTTCTTTCAGCTGGACGCAAGCCTGATGACTGGAAGTAGCGTGACGGCGTCTGTAGTTACTGTCACCGACGGTAGCTTGTGGTACGACCCCATTGTCGGCGACATGCTGAGGACAGGACACAGCAAGGCTCAGGTGAGACGATGTCGCCTGTATCAGAAGAGAAAGCATAATCATGAACGATACATAACAAAATTAACATTGCTAAAGACATTCACACGGCACTACACGTAGAAGAATGATATATATACCAGTAATTTCATAAACATGAACTTGTGTTCCAATATATATGGAACGTCTAAGCCAGAAAACAATCAGTCTTGACCATCTACCGAAACAATTGACACAATTTGCATAAAAACGTAATATAAGTGTTTGTTTGTTGCCTCAGTTCAGGGCATTTTTCGAGGTAAGGGCGTTAACTGACTGTGAAAGTCCAGTTTCCAGCCTTGCCGAACTTGGCTGCAATTTCCAGGCTCACTCGTAGCGCAACCAGTGGCTATATTACGAGTTATGTCCCTTCTATGTCCCTCCTATTGACCAATCAGATTCCACCTCTCATATCACTTGCAATGGCGGCACCCAATCAAGACGGTCTAACAGATGATCAAGATCTTTAGTGTAATGAAATGGATCTTACCTCGTGAAGTGCATCAAATCACTTGAGCACCTTGATAAAAAAAACATGAAAAGATTTGCAAAATATCTGTCGACACCTTGATGGCGGTAAACATGCTTTGTAAACCCTACTGTCGATCTAAATCTGCACGATAAAATTCATGTTGTTTGCAAACCGGATGTCTAGTTCGTGATGCGATTTTCATTGGATTATGCATAGACTCGTTAGTCCAGCCAAAATGTAACTCCGGAATTGCAGCCTAGTTCGGCAAGGGTGGAAACTGGACTTATATGGTCAGTTAACTCCCTTGCCTAGGGAAGATGAGCCGAAGGATTGAAATATACTGTATCAGGGCACCCTCAATACGTATTGGCGTGCCCTTTTTGAATGCAGGTGTCAACATGAAGAACACTTTACATATTGAACATGTATTGTGTTTAGGTGCAGCTGTTTATCAACGACATCCCCAGCCACTGTGAGACTGACTGCAGCTATGAGTGGACATCTGGTACCACGCCCACCATCACATCCATCACCCCCACATCAGGTGATACAGACAATAGATACTGGAAATCTAGAAGTGAATAAGTATCAGCCAAAGTCCTAAAATGGGTCATGAAAATAATGAGAGTTGCCCTGCCTTTGAGTTATGAGAAACTAATCAGAAAACGGTAACACCAAGATTGTAGACTTGATATTCGATGATATAATATAGGGTGAAAGAAATTTGATTGGATATTACCTTACTATCTTAAATAAATTAATGTCAACTGTCGGTGAATTCTACATGAGGTGAGGTGAGGTGAAATGGGGTTTAACGTCGCGTCAAAGATTATTGCACTTTTATAGCGACGTGCATGCACGTGTGTGTGTGCGAGTGTGGCTGCTTGTACTAGTCCGGACTGATGCCGATTTATAGTGCTAGCCCACTGAGATACCATGCCGCAGTTAAACATGAATACCTCACTCAGACACAGTATACTGACTCCGAGCCGACCAGTCCTTGTTTTAGCCCCTTAATGCCGAGCGCCAGACAGGGTAGCAACAAGTACCATCTTTTAACGTCTTTTGGTATGACGCGGCCGGGGACGAACCCCGTACTTTCCGCTCTCCGGGCGGACGCTCTACCACTAGACCACGGAGGCGGTTAATTCTACTTGACAATATATTCAAAGATAATCATACTCCAAGATGTGACCGGTAAAGATCCGGGTTAGAATTGGTTTTAACCAACACATACTTGGAGGAAGATGCGACTAGCAATAGTGGGTGGTCAAGTTCGCTGACTTGGTTAATGTATATCATCGTATCCCAATAAGATGGATGCTCATGATGTCAGTCACTGGATTGTCTGATCCAGACTCGATTATTAACAGTGAGTGAGTGAGTGAGTTCTACGCCGCTTTTAGCAATATTCCAGCAATATCATGGCGGGGGACACCAGAAATGGGCGTCACACATTGTACCAATGTCCGGAATCGAACCCGGGTCTTCGGCGTGACGAGCGAACGCTTTAATCACTAGGCTACCCGACCGCCCCGATTACTAACAGACCCCCGCCATATATCTAGAATAGTGATGGGTGTGGCGATAAACAACAAACAAAGAAACTCCAAGCTTTCCAGATAAAAATGCGCCACGTTATTCCATAATATATCATTTTATTATATCCGCATTTACGTCATTATGTACGGTATATTCAGACGACATCTTGTCTTATCAGACCGTATAGTGTACTGACAGGCAAGATAGAGCGGTATACAATAAATGTCTGTTATGTGAGCTTTATTAGAATTAGAGTGAATTTCTTTTCTCAATTTCTTTTTATCAGGAACCGAAGCTCAAAGCACAACTGCAACCATCGCAGGATCCGGCTTCGACACCAACATAAACAACACCCGGGTCGTCATTGCCGGTGTTGCGTGCACCGTCACTGCTGCAACCACGTCATCAATAACGTGCAACGTTGGCAATGGGCCAACTGGTAATCACAATGTCAAGGTTATTGTAGAGAGCAAAGGGGAGGCAACCGGGTCTGTTCAGTTTTCATACGTATCCGACATCACCGCCATATCACCTAGCAACGGCAGCATCGCAGGTAAGATAACGTGACTATCATTTTTTGAGTCATCATCTGATTCTTGTGTCAGGAGTACCCTGTTGTTAGATATACTATCAGAGACAAATGATTGCACTATAAATATATGACAGCGTCAGTGGTCTCTCCTTGATAAAGCTCGCTGTGCAGAGTTGCATCCCTTGGGCACGCCAGAAACCTATGATTGTGGATTCGAATCCCGGTTCGCCCCGATTACGTTTCTAGGTTTGTCAGCACCATACCCGTGCTCGTGGGTTTCACCGAAGTGGTAAACGTCTGAGACCTGCATCACTTCGGGCTTTCCTCCCACATTAAGCTGACACTCCGCGATATAACTGTAAAACTGTTAAAAGCGGCGTTAAACCCAACTTACTCACTCACTCCTTGATAAAGCGTCTGCCTGCGGAGCGGAAGGTCAGGTGTTCGATCTTCGGCCGCGTGAAATATATTTTTACCCTGCCTGTCTCCTCTGATCGAAACTGGACTGGTTAAAACAGCGTTTGATAAACTCAGACCCGTGAATATCCAGGTTGAAGTTTGTCTTCAGCAACCCATGCTTGCAAACAAAGGCGACTATGCTTGTCGTAAGAGGCGACTAACGGGATCGGGTGGTCATCGTATCCGAATCACTGGATTGTCTGGTCACATAGCTAGATGCACGTCATCGTAAACCATTTGCGTAGACCAATGTTCATGGTTTCAATCACTGGATTGTCCGGCCGATGTACGATTACTTAAAGCACCCCCCCCCCCCCCATCCTTTAACATCGATGAATGCCGCGTTAAACACCAAACAAACCATAAAATAAACAAAGGATTATAACCAACAAGTGGCATTATCTACATTTGGGACAAGACCTGTTCCTGAGTTGCTTATATTTTCTGTGAATGTATGTACACACACGGCTATTGTCTTTGTTCCCAGGACCGCCTCTGTGGTCTTGTGGTAGAGCGTCCGCCCGGAGAGCGGAAGGTCCAGGGTTCGATCCCGGGCCGCGTCATACAAAAAGACGTTAAAAGATTGTACTTGTTGTTACCCTGTCTGGCGCTCGGCATTAAGGGGCTAAAACAAGGACTGGTCGGCTCGGAGTCAGTATACTGTGTCTGAGTGGGGTATTCATGTTAAACTGCGGCATGGTATCTCAGTGAGCTAGCACCATAAATCGGCATCAGTCCGGACTAGTACAAGCAGCCACACACACACATACACGTGCATGCAGGTCGCTATATAAGTGCAATAATCTTGGACGCGACGTTAAACCCCATTTCACCTCACCTCACCTCACCTCACCTCACCTTTGTTCCCAGGTGGCACGGCGTTGACGATAACAGGATATGGCTTTACCAATGACGGCTTGACCTACGTCGACGGCGTCCTCTGTCCCTCGACCAGCGTGACTCCCGGGCAGATAGTATGCCTCACCCCCAAATCGGTAAGTTATCAAACACGCACCCATTACAATACCCACACAGATGATAGTGACAAATATACCAATACCAACATGGCAGGAGCTCAAAATTAATATTGACCTTGATTCGTCAATTCCTAATTATTTCATATCGAGTTTCTTCATACTGTTAGCCTAGTGGTTAAAGCGTTTTCTCGTCACGCCCAAAACCCGGGTTCGATTCCCGACATGTGTACAATGTGTGAAGCCCATTTCTGGTATCCCCCGCCGTGATATTGCTGGAATATTGCTAAAAGCGGCGTAAAACCATACTCACTCTTGTCAGCGTTTTCCATGCGACATCATCTTCTTTAAAACTAGTAATTCATCACTACAACCTCAAGTATGCCTGGTTATTGACAGATATATGTCAATTCAATATGTCAATATGTCGATTCAAAATATGTTCCATGTCTTCTACTGGGCGGTGGTGAAACCTTGTGGCTAAAGCGTTAGCTCGTCACTCCGTGATCTTATTATTTCCATTAGTATTCTTTCGCTCGTCATGCCGAAGACCAGGGTTCGATTCCCGATATTGGTACAATGTGTGGAGCCCATTTCTTGTGACCCCCGCCGTGATGTTGCTGGCATGTTGCTAAAAGCGGCGTAAAACCATACTCACTCACACATTCCTCCGCTGAGCTGATTACTGGTGACGTGCGAGGCACCTTTGTAGTAATGAATGGTTGAAGAAGTTAATTATGTTTCATGTCTACCTGCGATTGCTGCTGTTGCTGTTGCTAATCCTCATCTCTGTGTTATCCCGAATGTTCAGTCCTCTACATCAGGAGCCGCTGTGGCAATCACCGTCAGTCAGAACAGCGCTAATCTGACGTCACCATCACAGTTCACGTATGACGCGTCGGCGTCGGCCATCATCTCGTCTGTCTCCGTCACATCATCATCAGTTGAAGGTAATGTGTTTATTAGAACGAATAATTGTATTTTTAGGTTCGCCCTTTCCTTCCCCACCTTAACTCCTGAACTGCCTCTAATGATACCCATCCAGACCCAGGGTAGAATAGGTCTTCAGTAATCCATGCTTGTCTCCCCCCGTGAAGATCCGGGTTTGAATAGGTCTTCAGCAACCCATGCTTGTCTCCCCCCGTGAAGATCCTGGGAAGAATAGGTCTTCAGCAACCCATGCTTGTCTCCTCCCGTGAAGATCCGGCGTAGAATAGGTCTTCAGCAACCCATGCTTGTCTCCCCCCGTGAAGATCCGAGGTAGAATAGGTCTTCAGCAACCCATGCTTGTCTCCCCCCGTGAAGATCTTGGGTAGAATAGGTCTTCAGCAACCCATGCTTGTCTCCCCCCGTGAAGATCTTGGGTAGAATAGGTCTTCAGCAACCCATGCTTGTCTCCCCCCGTGAAGATCTGGGGTTGAATAGGTCTTCAGCAACCCATGCTTGTCTCCCCCCGTGAAGATCCGGGGTTGAATAGGTCTTCAGCAACCCATGCTTGTCGTAAGAGGCGACTAACGGGATCGGGTGGTCAGTCTCGCTGAATTGGTTGATGCATGTCATCGTATCCCAATAGCGTAGATGGATGCTCATGATGTCAATCACTGGATTGTCTGGTCCAGACTCGATTATTTACAGACCGCTGTCATAAAGCTTGAATATTGCTGAGTGCGGCATTAAACAACAAACAAACAAACAAACAATATTGTACATGACGTATTACGCCTGTCAATGTAGGACATAAAATTCAATCAAATTGTGAATCAATTTAACAATAACCAATTTGCAGGTGGCGCTCCCATCACCATCTCCGGCACAGGTTTCGGGGCATCCGCCGACCCAGCTGAGCCCCTGACAATTGGGGGCAAGGTCGTGAACATTACCAGCTACTCGGACACCGAGATTGTGGCCACCCTGCCCTCCAACGCCCCAGGGTCCTACCAAGTCCAGCTACAAATAGGTGGTCAAGGAGTAGCTGACCTGAGGTACGTCATCGTCATGGTCAGATCAATGGCCCTTTTGTCATTACATATAAGCCGGTTCGTTAGGGACAGAATTCTTCATTCACATGAACAGTAATGTTGGGTGTTCCTAGCTTTGGGCAAGACATTGTACCCCTTTTGCGAATCGACCAGGGCTTTCTCGCGTGAGGAACGAAAGATTAACCACTTAACCCCCACCCCTCCACATACAAACACCACCACCACACGACCACCCACCCCGATCCCCAACTCACATACACCATCCAGCCAAACACACACACCACCAGCACCACTATAAGACTACCCACCCCATCCATCTCATCCTCCTCCCCCCCCCCCCCCCCCCCCTCCCCCCATCCACACACACAGGCGCGCGCGCTCGGCCCCGATCCCGATTAGTAGTACAGTATACTACGTTTATAACGAACACGCTTATAACGAACTGTGTTTTGATCCCGTCCATTTGCTGTATATCTGCTGTATATATGATGTATATATGCTTATAACGAACTACGGTTATAACGAACTAAAATTAGTGGTCCCTTTGAGTTCGTTATAACCGTGGTTTACTGTAATCCACTACAAATAAAATGAGAACAGGCAATAGCGGTCGTGTTAGGGTTTGGCATCAAATCAAATGATGCAATAGTTATTGCATTACTTTTGCAATCATGGAGTAGTAAATATGGCCCCGGTAGTCATCCATACTTACGCTTCAATACTATGCTTATTTCAGAATCAACAGCATAGCTAACATCGACTATACCCTGAAAGTGACCAACATCTCCCCCTCCCGGGGCTCTCTGTACGGCGGTACCCGAGTGACCATCACTGGCGAGGGGTTCCTGGACAGCAACACGCTGGTCAGTTTCGGACCTCACGCCTGCGTCCCCGACGTCATCAACAGCACCCAGATCGTCTGCACCATCCAGGATACAGGGGTTGTCCATGAGGTCAAAAACACGGGCACGCATACACGTACGTATCACGAATTAGAGAAGGACTTAACAAAGGATATTCTGGTGTCCTATTAAATTCAATTCAAACTTTATTATTAAATCCAACCTAGCAAGTATTGGTTATTCTAAAGACAGAGAGAAAATGTTCAGTTTCCTATACGGCACTAGTAACAACGTGTGGACCTAGACCGTTTGCTCCTTAATATATAAAGCTTAGGGCGGACCATTTGATATTTAAGGGATGTGGTGTGTGTGTGGATTGTGGTGTTTGGGTGGAGTAATAAAAAAAAATCCTTCTTTTTTATGGGCTGCGATTTCTTTTTCTTTCCAATTCAACCCATGGAAAGGATGTTAACATTTTCTCATAGCTCACTAAAACATAATAACTACAGATGTAGGCGATTTTAAAACATGAGCATGAAAAAAGCGGTAAAATAAAAACAAAAAAGAAACTGTGCACGTTTAAAATCAAAATGTATATTGGCACTACAGGTGTGCACAAATACAGATGTAAACACAGTAATACCCTCCCTTTAAGAATATGTTATACTTATGTTGACTTTCAATGCTGATATCGTCAAATAAAGCACCACTTATACATATAATATGCTTTAAACAGAAAGGGTGTGTTTCTGAAATATGTCAGTAAAAGTATCCGATTCCCCTCATTCAAACAACTAGTCCTTATATAGATATATGGTGGCACGTGGTCCTGTGCACAGCGCACAGATCACAATCAGGTGAAGTTAATGAGTGAGTGTGTGAGTTTGGTTCTACGCCGCTTTTAGCAATATTCCAGAAATATCACGGCGGGGGACCCCAGAAATGGGCTTCACACATTGTACCAATGTCGGGAATCGAACCCGGGTCTTCGGCGTGACGAGCGAACGCTTTAACCACTAGGCTACCCGACCGCCCTAGGTGAAGTTAAGCAACGTAGGTCTCGGAGAGTAGGTGGATGGGTGACCACGTTCAGCAGCTTGACTTCTGAGAGTTTCTAGGGCTTCGGTCCTGCCCCACACTGAAGCACATGTACCACACGTGGTGTCTCCTTAGGCAAGTGACTTTGTTCGAAATGTGCCTCTGTTCACCCAGCAGTGAGTGGGTACCCGGTAGGATGAGATGGTAATGTGGCTCTCAACCTTCTATCGCCTCACAGGCAGCTTGGGTTGTATACTCCCCAGGGAGCTGAGAATGAAAATCGAGTTCTCACTGATCCATTGACCGGGGTAATAATAGTGTAGCGCTATGAGCATTCACTTGGAGAATTGAATCTGTCGCATCATAAATGCATTTATTATTATTTTATTATTTATATAAATGCAGTATAACGGTAACCGGATTAACGGTACCCGTACTAACGGTATTTGGATGGGGGAGCTTCGCTGTGTACACTGGATCACTGTATGCTGTTTATGCCTTTAGACTTCGGCTACGGATACGCCTGGAACCCCAGCAGCGTTGAGGTGAACGTCGGGGACTCCGTCAAGTGGTCGTGGACCACGCCCAAGTGGGTATCGGGTATCGGGTACCGCATAGCGGAGCTGATGAACGCTAGTACAACGGTGGAGAAAACCAATGGCGTCACTTCCGGCAGTGTCAAGGTTCCAAATGGTGGGTACAAGTTGAGTACAGATAGCCGTAACTACATGCTATTAAATATTTCAGATTGAGAACTTATTGATATTGATATTAATAAACAAGTCTGTGGTGTGAGTGTTATCAATACATAGTGAGACAAGTTTAAGGCCGCTGTGAACAGTACTTCAGTTGTACGACTTGTCTCAGCTTTTTTGTTGGAGTGAGTGAGTATCATTTTACACGGCTTTTAGCAATTCCAGGAATATCATGGCGGGGTACACAAGAAATGGGCTTCACACATTATACCCACATCGGGATTCGAACCCTGGTCTTCGGCGTGACGAGCGAACGCTTTAACCACTAGGCTCATGTTGGATGAAAGTTCGAAATGATGCAAGCATTATAAGTTCACGAATTTCGTCAAAAACACCAGAATACTCAGAAATTATGAAAATAAAGTTTCTTTCCAATTTCTTCCTGTGAGACAGACACATACACGGTATAAACTTCAGTATCTGGAATAATTACATTTCCCTGAATATACAAGATCAGCACATAGTTTTAGAGAGAGAAAATATTCCCAGTATGAAATTATACAAAATACTGAAAAACAATGATGATATATGTGATATGATGCTATATTTCCCCCACAGGTCAGTACCAGTACAAGTTCGGCGCGGCAGGGAACTTTCATTACTGGAGCGGCTACGCGGACGAGTTTGACACAATCTCCTTCAAGGGCAAGGTCACTGTAGTACAAGCGCCGTCACACGCCAAGGTTCTCCGAGTGACGGTGGCCGGCCACGAGGCTGTGTATCAACCAGGTATATGGGACTTTTTGACGCAGGTTATGCAGAACGCAGCTGTGGTATTCATTTAATACACCGATGTAGTCCATCAACAAAACCGTTGTTTTAAAGAGGCAAAGCCGTCTTTGGTTACGTTTGACAACGTGAATCGACTCAATGTCCGCTACCATTGCGATCGAGGTTGAAACTGGTTGATGGGTAGACAATCGACTTATTTGCCGCCATGTAGTTGTAATATTGGTCACAATGGTATAGAACACAATTCAGTTATTCGTTCTATTGACACTTATTGGTTCTTTTGGTTCGAATCCAAATTCACCCTGATTTTATTTCTTGATTTGCCAGCACCATCACCTCAACCTGCATCACTTCAGGCTTTCCTCCCAAATTAAAAAGAAACTCCGTGATATAACTGAGATACAGTAAACTACGGTTATAACGAACACGCTTATAACGAACTGACGGATATAACGAACTTACTTTTTTGTCCCTAAAATTTGCTGTAGTTATTGTGTATATATGCTTATAACGAACTACGGTTATAACGAACAAAAATTAGTGATCCCTTTGGGTTCGTTATAACCGTAGTTTTCTGTATGTCCAAAGCAAGGTTAAACTTAACTCACTCACTCTTTGTTTCTTACAGGAGGTTCAGACCCCGCTTCCGATGGCCCTTGTCCCGGAATTGTAGACCCAATGGACGGATGCACGGAATCGGAGCCGGCTGACGTCGACGTGTCCAAGTTCAATTTTAAATTCTGGCGCTGCAGTTCTCCCGTCGTCACCGACCTGAACCTGAGACAGGGGTCATCAGTTGACGAGCTCATAGTGCAGGGGTCAGGGTTCAGCTTTACCAGCTGCCAGAATGAGGTCAAGATCGGGGATGCCGTGGGCGTCGTTCAATCCAGCACCAACACGTCCGTTTCCTTTAAGATTGACGCCACGAATGCACCAAGTATCGGGTCTCCCGGGGAGCTCTCCGTAAGGATTGGGAACAGAGGGAATGCGGCGATAGCTCTCCCCGGCGATCTGTCTAGGAGATTCGTCCTTCTACCTGTCATCGAGTCCATGTCGCCTTCTTCAGGGTCGACAGGGGGCGGAACTCTTGTCACACTCTCGGGGTCAGGGTTCCAGGGAACGAAGTCCGACGTTTTCGTAAGTCTGCAGGGATATGAGTGTGTTGTAGAGAGTCTCAACTATACGGACATAGTATGCGCCACGCCTTCAGGTCCCGCTGGAGAGGTGCCGGTGTCAGTGACGGTCCAAGTCGGCGGCAACGCGTTGCCTGTGTCTTGCAACACCAGCTGTAACTACAATTACTCAACAGATCTGTCCCCTACTGTCAGTGCCGTGTCTCCAGCAACTGTGAACACCTCATCGACGTCTTTAACGATCACTGGGACCATGTTTGGGTCATCTGCTTCCGACGTCACGGTAACCGTTGGGGGAGTGCCCTGCGTGGTCAGCGGATCTGTGTCGGACACGTCCATCATGTGTGACGTTGGCGACGTCCCCGTTGGCACACACACAATTGACGTCCGGTTAAAGGGAAAAGGGAAGGCTGTTACCTCATCCACGGTTCAGAGTCTGGCTACTATTTCATCATTTTCACCATCATCTGGTAGCGTCAATGGCGAAGTGATTTTAACGATTACGGGGAATGGGTTCGTCACAAATTCGATTGCAGTGACAGTTGATGGCAACAGCTGCACCATCGTTTCCGTCCACGAAACCAACATCAGCTGCATCGCTCCATCCCACGCTGCGGGATCTGTCGACGTGGTAGTTACGTCAGCGGGGACCACTTATCCGTCCGAGACGTTCACGTACTCTTCAGCGGCAACGCCGACGGTGTCATCCGTGACGCCAACAAACGGAATCGGAGGCAACGCAGTCACGATAGCAGGGACAGGATACAGCTCCACCAACTCCGACAACGCCGTGACGGTTGGCGGGGTCACGTGCACTGTCACAGCTTCGTCTCCGACCTCCATCACGTGTACGCTAGGCGACCAGCAAACGGGGGCCTATCCAATCAAAGTGGTCGTGTCAGGAAGTGGGGCTTCTGCGCAGACAGTGGAAGTGACGTATGAGATGGATGCTACCGGGGTGTCCCCTTCATCAGGTACGTTGACATTGGTTGACATTAAAATTGAGCCCCAAATATGAAACTTGCATGTTCCCATTCAGCATACCTCAGATTTATTTTGTTGTTTCGGGACGGGGGGATAGCAAAGTGACTTAAGCGTTCGCTCGTCATGCTGAAACCCGGGTTCAATTCTCCACCAGGCAACAATGTTTGACGCCCAATTCTGATGTTCCCCGCTGTTGAATTGCCGGACTATTGCTAAAAGCGACCTAAAAGCATACCAAGTTACTCACTCACACTTTGTAAAATGGGTGTAGCATGTGAATTTCATATCATGTAATTTGTAGAATAGATGATAATTATTGCAGAATGAGACTTAGTCGAGGCTTCAGCAGCTTTGAACAGTTTTCGGGTAAATAATAGTTTGTCAACTTGATGAGTCTGAGGTCAATGCATGTTCTAAACATCTACGTGAACGGGGATCGGGATAAATCAGGATAAATATGGGATTCCATCAAGGGATTCGAGCTCGCGAATCGAGAAACTGCCCAGGCAATAACGTCATGCTTTGAATCGTACAATATGGAGAGTTTGTATGATTATGGATCGTGGTTTGGCTATATTATTGATCTGATAGCTGTAAGCTCAACCAAAATGTAGAATTTATTCTTGTTTATTCTTGTGATACTACTATAGCATTGAAAGCTGTCGATTTGGGTGTGATTGAAGTAGACTGTACCAGTTATCATCTTCGTCTGAACGGATCGACTGCACCGTACAAGTTCTCAATAAATACATGTTTGTGGCCTCAGGTATTGCATTCACATATGTCATACATTACACTGGCTGACTGTGACAGAATACCCGTGAAGATCCGGGGTAGAATAGGTCTTCAGCAACCCATGCTTGCCGTAACAGGCGACTATGCTTGTCGAAAAAGGCAACTAACGGGATCGGGTGGTCAGGCTCGCTGACTTGGTTGATACATGTCATCATGATCACATCCCATTTCGATATCAATCACGGGATTGTCTGGCCGTCATATAACTGGAATATTTCTGAGTACGGCTTTAAACAACAAACAAACTAAACCAAATTGATATCGCGGCAAATTGTATTGAAATGATGTCCCTCTTTCCCAGGTGGAATCGCTGGGGGTCAGACGATGACAGTGGCTGGGACGGGATTCATTGTGGGAGGGACGAACGTCACTGTATGTGGGGTGGACTGTCTGCCAGCGCCCAACGCCTCCCAGACGGCCGTCCAGTTTGTGTGTCTCACGCCGTCGAAACGTAAGTTTTACAGTTTCAAAGTTGTCTCCCGTTATACTACATCCACCATTTTTTATTTTTAATACTTCTTATATAATAACAATGTGCTTTAATTCTCACACTCAACTTCTTTCAATTTCTAAATTGACCATCATGATGAAAATCTGTATAGTTAGTTACAAATTACTTTATTGCAGTGAACGTGGTCGGTACCGAGAGCTGCGACGTAGTCGTCACCGTCAACGGCATCATCGACACATTATCCTCCGTGTACACGTACGACGCCAGCCTAACGTCAGATGTTACCGGCGTTTCCCCTACACGAGGGGGCACGGGCGGCGGAACCAACATCACGATTACCGGAACGGGTTTCGGGTGGGTACCCTGTCTCAAGGGTTTTGTTTGTTTGTTGTTTAACGTCGCACTCAGCAATATTCCAGTAATCTGTATATAATCGAGTCTGGGCCCGACAATCCAGTAATTGACAACATGAGCATCGATCCACGTAATTGGGATCGATGACAAGCAACAACCAAGTCAGCGAGCCTGACCACCCGATCCCGTTAGTCGCCTCTTAACGACAAGGATATTCGCCTCTTACGACAAGGATAGTCGCCTCTGACGACAAGGACCGACAATTGCCATTCGGGGAGGTAGTGAGGTGCGAGGGTTTATGTTTATGTGGGTATTTTAGGACTACAAGGAAGAAAGTGTGTTGGATCCAGGGTGAAACATGATCTTCACACAACTGCTGGTCTTGATGTAATGTGAGATGAGAGAAGCGCCCTCTTGTCCACGTATTTAGTATACATCTATTCAAGGAAGTCTATAGGTGTTCTAGAAGATTCCAGATACCATTGGACTCCAAAAGGATCAAAATATAGTACATTTCTCACCACTGCTTACATTATATAGTGATACATTCTTGACAACTAATTATTGTTAAAACATAGAGTTGTGAACTTCTACTGAATCTTAGCAGAATCAATGTAATACAATTACAACATTGTTCAAGAATAAATTACAATGCCATATAACAGTATCTATAGGAATTGGATAAGCAAATATGGCAAGAAGTCGAGGCTCATTACTCACAGAGACCCTCACTTTACTGTTATCGCACACTGTACTGGGCTACAGGTTGTGATTTATGTGCGTTTTATATTGATAAGTCCACATATGAACCGTGATTTAGGCGGTCGGGTAGCCTAGTGGTTCAAGCGTTCGCTCGTCACGCCAAAGACCAATGTTCGATTCCCGACATGGGTACAATGTGTGAAGCCCATTTCTGGTGTCCCCCGCCTTGATATTGCTGGAATATTGCTAAAAGGGCGTAAAACCATACTCACTCACTCACTACTCCCTTCCGTCAGTATAACGAATTTCTAGCTCCATCATGGCATTAAAAGGTTTCACAGAGACTGGTTTCTGGCTGTACATGCGTTGCGTGACTTTCACGGATCATTTTTTTTTAGATATATTCCCTTAACTAACCTTAGCCGACTTGAGTTTGGATTAGCCATGTGATTTATCCCTGTGATTTATCCCTGTGATTTATCCATGTGATTTATCCCTATGGTTTATCCCACACATGTACATGTAACATCTCTATTAACGTTAGATCCATGACTATTGAAGTAGGTAGGAAACATGTTGAATAGTTTCATTGGCGGTCACAGAAGCACCACAGGCGCAGTTACGGTGACGATAGGTGGCGCTGACTGCTCTGTCTCCACGGTAACAACGACGGAAATCACTTGCATCTCCGGTGCAACATCCTCCCAGAAGACCCAAGTAGTTGTGGAAATCAACGGAAACGGAATGGCGAAACAGGTACAGTTTATCATTCTTCATAGAAACATGATTTTTTGTGTGTGTTAGATGATCTATACAAAGAGCTCATGTGGCATTTAACATGTAATTTTTTCTTCGTAAAAAGACAATATAAAAAAAGAGCTCATCATTCAATGTTCGAGACAAGAACACATTATTATTATTATTATTATTATTATTATTATTATTATTATTATAACAAGGTGGCACGAAAGATAGAGTGCACTGGCAAGGCGTTGGAATCCCCGATTCGACTCGTTAATGACCCGTTAAAGTTTGTCCTTGAGAATGCTAATGATAATGGTCACTGGATTGTCTGGTCCAGACTCGATTATTTACAGACCGCCACCATATAGCTGGAATATTGCTGAGTGCGGCGTTGAACAACAAACCAACCAACCATAACACCGTTCATGGCTAAAAGTTCATGACACACCGTTCATGGCTAACCGTTCATGACACACCGCCCATGGTTAACTGACTCCCCGTCAATGCTTCAGACAAACGCAGACTTTGAGTACATCGATGTGTGGTCCTCCAAATACACGTGGGGTGGACTTGACCCTCCGACCAAAGGAGACCTTGTCGTCGTCCCTAAAGGTCAAATCCTTCTTCTGGACACTGACACGCCCATCCTCAAGATGCTGATCATACAAGGTAAGACTGGGACATCCGTAGAAGGCTGATAGATGTTCATGACACGACTGTGTCCCTTAATTGTGCCCCGATCCGCAAGGCGTGTGCTCGACCATCTGGTTCTGTCCGACGATGACCCTTCATATGCCAGCGCATTAACCGTGCTACTGTGGAGACATCCACGGACAGCATGACTTGACATTACTCTCACATTCAAAATTGTTGGTGGCTCACCTCCAGTGAGTGAGTGAGTATGGTTTTACGCCGCTTTTAGCAATATTCCAGTATGTCACGGCGGGGGACACCAGAAATGGGCTTCACATTTTGTACCCATGGCGGGGATCGAACCCGGGTCTCACCTCCAGTTTAAACCACAAATGATTGCTTTCCAAAATTCTTTGAGGATTTAGACATTTTTGAGAATCGGTTTCATGGGGACTAGGGCGGTCAGGTAGCCTAGTGGTTAAAGTGTTCGCTCGTCACACCGAAGACCCGGGTTCGATTCCCGACATTGGTACAATGTGTGAAGCCCATTTTTCTGGTGTCCCCCGTCGTGATATTGCTGGAATATTGCTAAATGGCGTCAAACCATACTCACTCACTCATGGGGACTTGGGTATGTCTTACTTGGCAATGAACTGCCTCGATGCTGTAGATGAAGTTAGGGGGGTTAGATCCCTGGCAACGTTATTACAAAAAAACCTTATATCACTATACTCTGCCTATAACAAGGACTACTCGGTAACTATGGAACCAGCACATACTTTGTCATACAAGTGCAATAATCTTGAACACGACGTTAAACGTTTATACTTTCTCACTTAACCTCACATGGAAATATTTGATAGTTTAAAACGCTTTCGATACTTTCAAGTACATTTCTCATTTGGAATTGGAGTTCCATTGGACTGATATGTATAACTGCTGCACAGAACACCTGTTAGGTTATGTCTACTCCAAACAACATTTTGTCTGTCATGGTGTTTGTTAGTATTTAGTCTTTTTTGCAGGAGACGCATCTTCCACCATTGGTATTCCTACTTTTTTATCAGTTATCCATGTGACCTATTAATAAGTTGGAAATTTACTTCACGACAATAACACATTTCAGGTGGTGAACTGATATTTGACGAAAAAGACATAAACCTAAATGCAGAGAACATCCTCATCACAGATGGAGGAAAATTGCAGGTGAGATGATGTAAACACAACTGCCAGCAAAAGAAAATATACACCTGAAAATATGATTTGAAAAAAACATTACAAACGTCATCAAAGTGTTTCTAGACTGGAAACAGTCTACGAAACTCTGCAAATAAGGTACAAATACACCATGATACCCGTATCAATTACATCGTCTTCACACCCGTGAAAATCCAGGAAGAGAAGAGTTCTTGGGCAATTCATGCTTGCCGAAGAAGGCGATTAACAGGATCGGGTGGTCAGGCTCGCTGACTTGGTTGATGCATGTCATCGAATCCGAATTGCGTGGATCGATGCTCATGATGTCAATCACTGGATTGTCTGGTCCTGACTCGATTATTTATAGACCGCCATCATACGCTGGAAAATTGCTGAGTGCGGCGTTAAACAACAAACAAACAAACAAACAAACATCGAATTGCCATTTTGTATTTGTTTCATTTCTAGCCACTATCACACATGGGCCTATATCTTATATAACTTATTAAATAGAGCAAGTTTAAAAAGAAATTGTATCTCATTACTATTTTTTAAACTGACTGGGTATAACTGGGAAGAATTTTATTTTTTAGTAGATATGAATGTTTAAAAGTAAACTAGATTCCCCTGCATCACGTGACCTATTTTGACCACGCCCCTTCAGCTCGAAGGATGGAGAGACGACCCCGAGGCCATGGCGTTCGTGGCTAAATGAACCTGACAAACAATGAAAGACAAACGTTCAAAATGTACTGGTACATTGTTAAATTATGGTGAACAAAATCTAATTTGAGTTTTCCCGGGCAATGTAAATTTTCCCGTTTCACTGGGTCGTTGAAGGAAGGTTTGGTTTAAAATGTTTCTGAGGTAGAAGAAGTTCCAGGCACTGTGTTTGTCTTTTCAGCCCGGTTTTCAAACTTGTCAATATTCATTGTACCCATCTTCCCGCGGCAAGAGAGTTAACTGACTATAAATGTCCAGTTTCCACTCTTGCCGAACTAGGCTGGTATAATGGAGTTACATTTGGCTGGACTAACGAGTCTATGCATAGTCCAATCAAAATCGCGCACCGAAATCGAAATCCGGTTCGTAAAGTGTCATGCAGATTTCGGTCGACTGCAGGATTTGCAAAGCATGTGCACCGCTAACTCGTTGTCAACAGATATTTTCCAAATCTTTTCATGTTTTTAATCAAGGTGCTCACGTGATTTGATGCACTTCGCGATGTGAGACTCGTTTTATCACAATATAGATCTTGATTATCTATCAGATCGTCTTGACTGGGCGCCACCGTTTTGTTTGAAGCAAATGCAAGTCATACGAGAGGTTGAATCTGATTGGTCAATAGGAGAGGCATAGAAAGGACATAACTCGTAATAGCCACTGGTGGCGCTACGATCGAGCCCAGGAATTCCAGCCTAGTTCGGCAAGATGTGTGTAGAAAGGAAATTTCATTGTGATGTACTGCGGTCACGCGTTCCTTTTGTCTTCCAGCCTTTTAGTATCACTCGATGACTGAAACTGAATATTTTTTATTTTCAATTTTTATTTAATAATTCGTCAACGGGAATGTAATGGTCTAACTTGCATGTGATGATCTGCTGTAAATGCCGATGACATTACATGGTATCCATCAGTAACTTAAACAAAAGATCGAGTCAATGAAGTTAACAAGGTGTCATCGTATACTGTCGAACCTCGTTGTGTCGAACTCGTGGGGACCTGGAAGAAAGTTAGGGTTATCCAAGGTTCGAGACAACAGGGAAATGTATGCTTATATTGGATATTTAGGACCCCAAATGAGTTCGAGACAACCGGGAATTCGACACATCCAAGTTCGACATAACGAGGTTCGACTATAGTATGTATATTAAAAGTACAAGATAAAGGACATTCTTCTGCAGTTACGACTTTCTAATGTGGATACACATATATTGATAATTGAAACTTGATTAACTGTTTCTTTTCTGTGTTTAAAGGTCGGCACGGAAGCGGAACCGTTTCAGCACAAAGCAGTCATCACGATGCATGGTAACTTCCGGTCACCGGAACTACCAATATATGGCGCCAAGACACTGGCCGTCAGGGAGGGAATTCTCGACCTTCACGGTACTTACATTTCTCCGACAGAATTTCAGTGACCGACATGATTCTTATTTGATTACTTATACGTTTGAAGAATATGTTTTCGCATAGCTTTCAAAAAGTTATTGAACATCAGTTTTAGCCGGTGTGTCGGATCATGTGCTGACTTTCTATTTGTTATACATGAAGCTAAACGTTTCTGTAAAGTGTGTTAAATTATCTGGACAATGCGTATTTTAAAGGGCTTATTAAAGTAAAGGGGAGATTGGGTAGCCTTGTAGAGTTCGCTCGTCACGCCGAAGACCCGGGTTCGATTCCCGACATGGGTAGTGTGTGAAACCCATTGCTGGTGTCCCCCGCTGTGATATTGCTGGAATATTGCTAAAAGCGGCGTCAAACCAAACTCACTCATTCCCTTGGGCGTTAAACCATACCCACAGAATCGACTATAATGAACGAGTGGGTGAGTTTATGCTTTACGTCACATCCGCAATATTTCAGCCATATCGTGATGATCGATTATAATGAGAGTTGACTCTAGGTGGCGTAGCATATTTAGAGAGAGGGAGTTTCATTGTCTTAACACTGTTAAATAACGCTACGTCAATTATCGCCAGTGACTGTAGGGTGATATAAATCCTGCCAGGGTCCATGCAGGAAGCAAAGGTACTATAAGTCCCCGTGGTCCCTAGCATGGTGATCTCCCTTCAGTGAATGACGATCTCTAGCCCATTTTTATATTGTATTGTTCTCTAATACATACTAACTTTTAATATTCTCAACTAGTTTTAAATAAAATCTGTGATATACTAGTTATTGTACTGACCATCGTTGACAGGTTTTTGTTTCGTCTCAATATATGTCTTATTAATGTAGTTCTCGTTACGATATGGCTGAAATACTGCCCATGTGACGTTAAATATTAACTCACTCACTCACTAAATAACGCTACCTCTTCCAGGCAAAGTAACTCCCGTAACGTGGACACGTCTCGCGGTAACAGCAACAGCTGGAGACACCACCATCGTCCTGCAACATCCTGTAAACTGGGAGGTCGGCGACCAGATCGTCATAGCAACCACTGGAGGCCATCACAGTCAGAAGGAATCCGAAATACGATCCATCGTCACCATTGCCGCGGACAACGTCACCTTGACCTTAGATTCAGCCTTGACCTACACCCATATTGGAATCACCAGAACGTTCAGCGGTGTTGATGTCGACTTCCGGGCGGAAGTTGGATTGTTGACACACAACGTGGTTGTCAGGGGGTCACGTGATATACAGTGGGATGAGAAGATAGAGGCGTGTCCTGCAGGATTCGATACAGGTGACCTCATTTGTTATTAGCAGCGGTCGGGTAGCCTAGTGGTTAAATCGTTCGCTCGTCAAACAGAAGACCCGGGTTCGATTCCCGACATGGGTACAATGTGTGAAGCCCATTTCTGGTGTCCCCGCCGTGATATTGCTGGAATATTGCTAAAAGCGGCGTAAAACCATACTCACTCATTCATTTGTTATTACTCTTTTAGGCTTTTTTTTATCCAATGGCCACTATCAGTGACGTGCCCCGTGTTAGTTCAGGGTAAACTTAACCCCCTGCAACCTCTGCTGGTCGGACTCATTGGTCAGATGGTCATTCTAGGTGATTTGCCTCTTTTCGTTCGTAACAAAAGACGATAAAGTATGGTACTTGTTATTACCCTTCCCAGCGTTCGACATTAAGGAGATAGATAAAACAAGGACTGTTCAGCTTGTTACAAAATGGTACTTGTTGTTACCCTGTCTGGCACTCGGCATAATTGGGCTAAAACAAGAACTGGTCGGCTCGGAGTCAGTGTGCTGTGTCTGAGTGGGGAATTCATGTTTAAATGCTGTATGGTATCTCAATTCACTAGCACTATACAATCGCCATCCCCACGGAATAATACAAAGAGGCACACACACACGTGCATTCACGTCGCTTTATAAGTGCAATAATCTTGGACGCGACGTTAAACCCAATTTCACCTCTCTTCCATTTCAATATTACTACACGTAGTAATTCCCGAGTATTTTTGGTCAATTTCTTTGAAACATGTACTTCTAATACACTTCCATTGCACTATTATTTGAAACCTTAGAGACGACGTTAAACACCATCTCGCCTCACTTCTGTCAGTTTATTGTAGTGTTTCTTTTTAAATGTTCTTACTATGTTTTTTTCATATTTCAGGGGAGTTCGCTACACAAACATGTTTCCAGGGACGATTTGGAGACGAGATGGGAAGCGATGAATTCGGCTCCAGCATCATGATCCACGCCCCGCGTAAAGACGAGGATCTCGCCAAAGCGCGAATCAGTCACATCGAGGTGACCCATGCCGGCCAGGCGTTCAGACTCGGTCGATACCCGATACACTTCCATCTCAACGGCGACATGTCGTCGTCGTATGTCCGTGGCTGCTCCATCCACCACACCTTCAACAGGGCCGTGAACGTGCACGGCACCCACAACACATTCGTGGAACACAACGTCTTATACGACGTCAAAGGGGGCGCCTTCTTCCTTGAAGATGGAATCGAGACTGGCAACTACTTCCGGTACAACCTGGGCGTGTTTGTACGAGCGAGTACGAGTCTTCTTAACGATGACGTCACACCCGCAACCTTTTGGCTCACCAACCCAAATAATACTGTGTCCCATAATGCAGCAGCCGGCGGGAGCCATTTTGGATTCTGGTACCGAATGCACAAGCACCCTGAAGGCCCTTCCTTCACATCCAGCGTCTGCTGCCAGAATGTTCCTCTCGGGGAATTCAGAAACAACACAGCACATTCTTTTGGTTGGTTCGGTCTGTGGATCTTTGAGTTCTATTTCCCCAAGGTTGATGGCAGCTGTTCCTCATCGGCGGCGGATGTGGCAGCAAAGTTTGAATCCTTCACTGCATGGAACTGTGAAAAGGGCGCGGAAGCGGTTCAAAGTGGTTCGCTTCAGTTCATTGACTTTATTCTCGTCAACAACAAGCTGGCTGGTTATGAAGGCAAGCTTCTAGGTCATGTTCCTCAGTTCGATGAGGCCAACGGCCCGATGGTCAAAGGCGGGCTAATCGTTGGCCACCATCCCGACCTCGCATCTGAACACGTCTGTACAAGAGGCGGAATTGTTCTTCCTTACAATAGTGGGTTATTAATAAGAAATGTCAGTTTTATAAACTTTGACAAAAGCGTCTGCTCCGCCTTTTCGTGGACAAGGATCTCCGGAACATGCTCGGATCAATGCGGTGGATTCCTTTATAAATCCTCCGGACTTCAGTTTACAAGCTCGCCAAACAAAGCATCATATGGATGGGAACACGAGGGCGTGATAGAAGACGAGGATGGGACATTAACAGGTACAGCAGGTGGCTCCATAGTTCCCACGACCGGAATCCTCCCGCCGACCAAGTGTACGGAAACAGCTGCCTTCAGTATGGGTATTGCTGGCAGTGTCTGTGACGAGACGGTGCGCTTCCATAGGTTTGCCTTCAAAGACGTCAACCCCACCTCGCTGAAGGCGAAGAATATTTCCTTGACCAATGCTCATGGGACGAGCATAGGGAAGTACCGAGAGAAGAGGATCTCGCACAAACCTGGCTGGATGGTTGTTCTACCTGAAGGCGAGGATTATTCCCTGACATTTGTCAATGCTGAACATTTGACTAACATCAGCTTCAACGGACAGTTCTATGATTTCGCTGTAAGTATAGCAAGGGCCTTTGTAAGCATAGCAAGGGTCTTTGTAGTATAGCAAGGGCCTTTGTCATATAAGGGTAACGTTTTTTTTCAGGGCATTATCATTTGCAGAAGCCCGAGGTATTCCATTAACTGCCCGACGAAGGGGGACAGTTGAAAAGACCGAGGGTTTCTGCAAATGATAATGCCCTGAAATAGCGTTTCCGTTATTATAGCTAAACTGGATGGAATTTGTTATCAAATAAAAAGAAACAACAATATCGATTTTGAAACAGTGGCCCGCTCATTTCTGATAACATGCGGGCGTTTTTATGATAATTCTATCCATTTTAGCTATAATATAATGTAATATGTAAAGGATAAAATGAATGTCATCGTATCACGGATAAGGACGGTGCTCATATTATCAGGTAGTACTTTGTCTGTCCAAACTCGCTTATTTGCAGTCCGTAGCCGTAGCTCGGATATTTCTCAGTGCGACGTTAAAAAATACTCAAGAAGCCATGGATCGCGATGTAGTGGTTCCCCATTTGGGTACAATTTGAAAAACCCGTTTGGATTCCGTATAAGATTGTCGGTCCCCAGTAACATATACTTGTCGTAAGAGGTGGTCCAGTGGATCGGGTGGTCAGGCTTGATGAGTTGACTGATTGCATGTAATAATATCCCAATTGTGTAGATCGATATTCTTTATGTCAATCGTCGGATTGTCTGGCCCAGACTCGATTATTTACAGATTTCGTTCGAATGCTTCATATAGCTGGAATATTGCTGAAAGCGGCTTTAAACAACAAACTAAATATTAATGAAATGACTCGATTGATCGTAAAGTGGCATAACACGCTCAACCCTTCCTCTTCAGTCCGGACAATACATCACCATGGCCCAGCAGGCCGAAAAACCCGACCGATTCAAGGTGGGCGGGGCAACGATCAACGAGACCGTGGGAGGATTCAACACCGGGAGTGATGTAACCGGCAGCTGGACATATGATGAAGGCAATGGCAAGATTCAGTATCTGGGTAAGGAAGCTGAATAGCCATAGTTAATGGTGCAAGCGACTCTTGAAGATCCGGGGTAGAATAGGTCTTCAGAAACCCATGCTTGCCGTAAAAGGCGACTATGCTTGTCGTAAGAGGCGACTAACGGGATCGGGTAGTCAGGCTCGCTGACTTGGTTGATGCGGTTATATTCTTAGATTATTGGCGTGATACACGAACATCGCAAGCTTTTGAATTGTCTGTACATCAGATGAAGTCATTAACGAATTACATTTAAACAGAGTTGGATGAATAACAAATTTGTGTGGTTTACATCTTTCTCGTAACGTACTGTATTTAGAACAACTCAATGCACAATGGGAATCCTTCACCACAACAATAGTATAACAGTACAGGCAAATCCTTTCATGTCTTGGAATATAATGATACTGTCTCGTTTTTATGCGAGATTGTGGGGAATGTAACGGACCTGGGACGAAGCTATTCTAAATTTTGCAATGGTTATGTCTTTCAAATATAATTCAACGTTGTATTACCATTCCCCAAAAGCAATACAGTTTGCCGTGATGAAGCAACAGTATTGCTGACTGCGACGTTAAGCAATATTCACTCTCAGATCTCAACAACAGTTAACCGATGTAATATTGTTTATTTCAGTTTCCGGTAACACTGGATCAAGGAAGAAGCGTGCCATCTCATATTCCACCGACAGGACCTTTCATTTGCAGGCGTTCCGCTGTTACTATAGAAACTGCCAGCCTCCCCCAGCGCCAGAGACCGTGCTGACGCGCCCCCCTCATATCACCCCCTGGTCCCTCAATTCCTCCTGGGAGTTCCGGACAGGTGGCAAACCCATCGACAACGACAACGTCACCATAGACAGAGGTGTGTTTGTGTGTTGGTTTGTAATGAAAACCGCACTCAGCAATATTCTTGCTATATGTAGGCGGTCGGTAAATTATCGAATTTGGACCAGACAATCAAGTGATTGGCATGATCATCAATCAACCTGACCCCCCGACCCCGTCAACCTCTCACAACAAGCAATAGTTGCTGAAAAGATCCTTACACTCAGTGATTTTTGTAATCTCTCTATTAGTATTAGGACTAGTGCCGACCAGACGGGACAGCAATCTCATTAAAATCAGATCTTAGTTCTCGCTACCGCTAAACAAAGATCTGAGGACATCCCATTACGGGTCACGTCAGACCGACTTTGCGCGAAATATGACAGACGCTGACGAGAAGTCGTCATTAGCCAATCAGAAGGTAGCTTCCTCGTGCTTTACCGCACTAATTTCAAATTGGCGACTACGCTTCGAAATATATTTTGACAAATTCCCGATTAAAAATTTGAAACCTGAACAAAAGAACATTCTGGAAATGCTAATTAATAGATGGTCTAAGTTGTATGGATTCAGTCGTTAAGCCCGTAACTATCGTTCGAAATACCCCGTGTTAAAGTTTTCGAGATTGCATGATTAGCAATCACATTCCGACTGTTACTTTCCTGACCTGGTAAGCGACGCTCTGATTGGTCGGATGAAAGGTCGTTCTGACGTGACCCCTAATCGGATGTGTCCTCAGATCTTTGTTTAGCAGTAGCGAGAACTAAGATCTGATTTTAATGAGATTGGAAGGGACATGGGATTATTAGACGCTGGAGCACCTGCGCAGCCTCTGGTTCGATGTCCTGAAAATATTCTTTTGCATGAAGGAATTAAATTGTTCGTCACCTCCATCCGAATTGAAAAGTTTTAACAAAATATCAACAGTAACCTGTGCAGGAAAGATGTGTCATGTTTTATAGACTATATTTTAAACTCACAGTGTCAACACATCGTACCTGTATCACGCTGATACAGTTAAGCGCCTTAGTGAGTGAATGAATGAGTGAGTTGGGTTTAACGCCGCTTTTACCAGTATTCCAGTTATATCGCGGCGTGTCAGCCTAATGTGGGAGGAAAGCCCGAAGTGATGCAGGTCTCTGACGTTCACCACTTCGGTGAAACCCACGAGCACAGGTATGATGCTGACAAACCTAGAAACATAATCGGGGCGAACCGGGATTCGAACCCACAATCATAGGTTTCTGGCGAGCCCAAGGGACGCAACTCTGCACAGCGAATCGCGGCGCCTTAGACGACTGAGCCACCCGTGCCCGAGTTAAGCGCCTTAAGTGAAGATGCGCTTTGTATGCCAAACCGTAGTTGTATACTAAATAAAATGGGATACCACTCGCCTGTAGCTTGTTTGGCTAATGTGTGAGTGTTCTCTTCCAATCAGATTACTGGATCCTGGCTGACGAAGAGTTTCCTTTGATTGACACTCTGATAATTCACGGAGGTCTGGAGTTTGAGAATAATGCCACGAAGACGTTCAACCTCCGGGCCAAGTACATCATCATCTACGGCCGGTTGGTTGTCGGGTGGGCACACGACCCCTTCCCTGGGGTTGCCAACATAATTCTGTCTGGGTCACACTCCACTCCTGTCTTCCCTGTCAATGATGGGCCCACGCTGGGGTCAAAGGTCATAGGTGAGTGCCTTGTTATGAACGTTGTTAGCGTTGGATCCACAAAGTGAGAGTTTGGTTTTACGCCGCTTTAAGAATAACGTCAACGTAAATAGAGATTACCTGTTATCTTGCAAAATTATTTTAAATCCGTTATGCCCCAAAGCTGACAAGTATTATTTTTCTAGTTCTGACTAATGCATCTGTTTATTTCTTTTTTATTATAATACGCACCTTTCTGACAATTAATTCCTTTTTTACATTTCGATAGCTGTGTATGGCGGACTAGATATGCACGGCCTTGACCCCGGAGTAACGTGGACAAGACTCGGAGTCACGGCCGCAGCGGGAGATAACTCTATCACGCTTTCCGAACCAGTGTCGTGGGCAGTGGATTCGGAGATTGTCATCACGACGACTTCCTACAAGGCTTGGGACACTGAGACCTTCAAGATAACAGCTGTGTCAGCAAATAATCTCACCCTCACACTGAATGGAAGCTTGGCTCACTTACATATAGGTATAACCTTTACAACTTACAACGTTAATTGGTCCGGGGTTCGATCCCAAGCCGCGTCATACCAAAAGACGTTAAAAGATGGTCTGGCATTAAGGGGCTAAAACAAGGACTGTCGGCTCGGAGTCAGTATACTGTGCCTGAGTGGGGTATTCATGTTGAACTGCGACATGGTATCTCAGTGAGCTAGCACTATAAATCGGCATCAGTCCGGACTAGTACAAGCAGCCACACACACACACGTACATGCACATCTCTATTTAAGTGCAATAATCTTGGAAGCGACGTTAAACCCCATTTCACCTCACCTCTGGTACGTTGACCTTTTTACTAAGATATTGTCAGACACTGCTAATTTCCTATACCTACTTCACTTACAGCCGTCAGTGAAACAGTACCTAACGGTCGCAGTTACAATCTCGCCGCCAAGGTCGGCTTGCTGACCCGCAACATCAAGATCATCGGCGAGGATTATGCTGAACTGTTTAGTCAGTCGTTCGGAGCCCGGTTGCTGGTTGCCAGGACAGCAGACTCCACCATGTCGTACAGCGGTAAGTAGTCATTACCATGACAACGGATAGTCGCGATCGTGCGAGGAACAGTTCAGCTTGTCACTGCGCAACTCGAACTGCCGGATGTTGGCTCGCTTTTACGACAATTGCATTTTCTTGCCAGTAGAACTGATTGAATCACGACTCAAAGACCTCATGTTAAACTGTGAAAGATTTCAGGTTTCAAACTTACAAAAAGTTTAATCTTTCTCGTTTTACGAAAAGCGTTTTTTATTATGTCAAAAATGAATACGACTTCGCAAAATGGTTTCTATTACGCCAATGTGCCGTTGTGTAATTTTCAAATGAATACCGACTCGCGATCACCTGTGATAATTTGGATTGAATAGTTATCAAAATATCTAGTAGAACCTGGATGAACACAATCGCTCAACAGTACTTTTAGGACAATGCCTTCAAATATGCAAATTGAGATTTAGTTTTTCGCTCTGATATTTCCAAAATTATTTACCCCCTTCTATTTAAATTCCATTTTACAGTTGAATAAAACTCCTCGTGACAGCTCCGGATTCCCTGTAACAATCCTTGTCAAGCGATATCTCACATCTCACACGAAATATCCGCCAGAAAATCATCTCCGCATCCCAGGGTAAAAGCAGCGTTAACGCCTATATTCCACCTCAATCCTTCTCTGTGATTTAACTTAACGCTTCCTCATTCTTTCTTTTGTCCAGGATTTGCAAAGATTCAGAACGTTGAATTTTTCCACACGGGCCAAGAAGGGTACACGATGTCCTACGATCCTCGCTTCTCCGTCGCCTTCGTGGACGTCAGCAACGTTGGAGAACGTTCCTCCTACGTCCGTCGCAATGCCTTCCACAACTGCTTTTCCCGAGCTATCGGCGCCTTTGGCATCAGCGACCTTCTGATAGAAGACAACGTTGTACACCACACTGTGGGACCAGGTATATATATATATATCTATTGTAACAATAGTGCCAAGCTTTTAATATAAGATGTCAGCAGAGTTGCATCCCTTAGTCGTGCCAGGATCCGCTGTTCAAGGCAATAATGATGAAATAATTGCTAGTATCGTGCTTAGTATTGTTCTTATATTTATCCAGATGAATTTTGCTTTGGTCTATATTGTGATATTTACCTTGATGTTTACTGAAAATAGTTTTACTGTAAACTGCCGGACAAAAAAAGCATACACTCGATTTGACAAAAAAACTTGCAATAGTTGTCAAAACGTTACTGGGCTGAAAATAGTTGCTGAAACACTACAAGCTTAAGGTTCAAAACACAACTATAATCCCCGAATCAAATACATCGCCATTGAATTAAGATGTCTTGTTTGTATCATTTTACCCACCATTGAACATGGGTGTATACTCTTTTTGACAGTGTATGTATCATTTGTTGTAGTCGCCATACGGCTGAAATATCGCCAATGTGACTATTAATATCAGTTTATTTTACTCACACATATTTATCAAAAATTAATAACACTTCCATGAGCAGCGTTTTAAAAAAAATATTTTAGGTAATAATTTTTTTTTAATTTCCATTGATATTTATTTTCAGGAATTGTCTCAAACTCTGACAACAGTACCCTGATCAGAAATCTTGTGACACTGTCCATCTGGCCCGGGGGGTACCAGGACAGGGTGGAACCCCTAAACGAGGAATACGAAGGCGGCATCGAGGCTATCGCCGCAACTAACCTCGTTCTCAGAGACAACGTGGTTGCCGGAAGTGAGAGAATGGGCTACCACACACCAGGCGATGGGTGTACCGGAAACGCTCTGTGGAGTGGAAACGAGGCTCACTCTAACCTCATGGGCGTGGGAATCTTCCCAAAGGAGACTGGGGTCAGCGGAACCTGCATCCGATATTCCAACGTCATTGCATGGAAGAACGTGGACTTCGGTTTTTATTACAATAACCCAGCCAGCTTCCTCGGCGAGAGCCTCGTGTCTGTGGAAAATGGAGTCGGTGTCTTCCCCTTTGTCGTCGGACCGGGTTCAGTAGCTCATCAGACTTCAGATAAATACGTCACCGTGAGAGATTCCTTTTTTGTTGGCAAGACGTCAGCATTCGACTGCACCAGCGACGTCGTGGATCAGTCTGACGTCAACATCCAACTGAGCAGCGTCAGTCGAAGCTGGGGCAATGGCACCCATGGCAAGGTTGGAATCTCGTGGCCAAATTTCAGTGCTGGCCCGAACAATGCACCTGACAAACCTTTCATTGGAGTTATGGCTTATCAAGCCATCAGTGGCATCATGCATCTCACCAGTGAGTGATATTCTGTTTTTCTTTAAACAAAACAATTGATTGACGTGATTGATTAAATAATGTTAGAAGTGATAATTGAAACATTTGTACGATCATATACATGTATGCTCGTCAGTTGTCAGGAACATATATTTTTAGACAGCATATCTTTCTGATTTGTACAATTATGTTTTTGATGTAGATTTAGAATTATAGTTATTCTCAGAAAACGTGAGAAACATTACCGAAATATTTTAATGTGTACAATGGGTGAGTTAGTGAGTGAGTTGTGTTTAACGCCACTTTTAACAGTACTCGTGGGTAGACGTCTGAGTCCTGCATCATTGCGGGCTTTCCTCCAACATTAGGCTGACACGCCGTAATAAAACTGGAATGCTGTTCAAAGTAGCGTTAAGCCAAACTCACCCACTCTTTTCTTTGTCCCGAATACCGAAATGTTTCAAACAGAAGGAATCGGCATCGTATGAAATACGAGGTAATTGATGCCACACGAAAACATCCCAAATGTATCTGTCGTTCTGTACAGTCGGTACCTTTCCCTACTGACAAACGCATGACATTAGAATATCATTAACTCTGTGAAAGTTGTGTTATTCCTCTTCGATTATACGTCATCAAGTTTGTTTGGACGATAATGACAGGTACTGTTTTTTTGGAACCAATGTGGAAAAACGCATGGTTTTCCTTATGAAAAGTTTGTCAGCCGCCATCTTTTGATGAAGAAAAACTGATTGTCGGTATTGGGGGAAATGTTGATCTATTTCCACTGAACTTGTTAGTCTGACACCTCGCTATGTTCACGTTTCTAATTACTGGGTACAGATGAAACAGTTCGAAAGAAATCATCATGCGATGAATATTTTTGCGTTCTCTGTCTGCTTCACATATACTGTGTACACTACAGATGTGACCTTCGCCAATTTTGGCACGTCATGCACGTCCAGCCACGACTACGCCATCACCACCAACCCCAACAACGACGACTGCATCCACCCCATCGAGTCCCAGTCGCTCGCCTTCCACAACGTGCAGCCTGGCAACAAGCTGTTCATCCACATCCCTAGGGTCGGGTAAGTCGGAGTTGTTTATTGTTTTGCGCCTCACTCAGCCATATTCCAACTCGACGGCCTGTAAATAACCGAATCTCGGCCAGGAAAACCAGTGGTTGATGTTATGAGTATCATTCCGCTCTGTCTGGGTAGGATGACATTGCATTCAGACATGTCACGGAGCTTGACCAGCCAATACAATTCAGCCGTTTCTTACGATAAGCAGAGGGGGTGGGAAAGCCTAGTGGTTTAATCGTCCGCTTGTCATGCCAAAGACTGAATCTCATTGGTTAATTCATACCACGTGGAGCGGTCGGGTAGCCTATTGTTAAAGCGTTCGCTCGTCACGCCGAAGATCCGGGTTCGATTCCCGACATGGGTACAATGTGTGAAGCCCATTTCTGGTGTCCCCCGCCGTGATATTGCTGGAATATTGCTAAAAGCGGCGTAAAACCAAACTCACTCCCTCACTCATACCATGTGACTAAACAGTAAATTCCAATGTTGAAATAACAATTGAAATCTAACCTGAAAGGTTTCTTCACATCAAGTGATAAACAGTGACTTCGAATATTGACTCGTTGCAAGGTCACTCTTTTTACGTCGCAAATACAAGGGGTGGCGAACCGTACATGTCGTGAGGTAGGGAAAATTTCCGTTTCAAGGTTAATAAAATAATTAAGTTTTCTGGTATACAACTACACACAAAGTATATAATAAATAGGATATTCAGCGGTATCTCTTGAAATATCATGTTTCTTTCATTTTGTGACACGCGACACATGAAACTTCCTCCGTATACCGAAGACCACTCTTCATTCAGCACTCCTCATTCAGCACTCTTCATTCAGCACTCTTCATTCAGCACTCTTCATTCAGCACTCCTCATTCAGCACTCTTCATTCAGCACTCTTCATTCAGCACTCCTCATTCAGCACTCTTCATTCAGCACTCTTCATTCAGCACTCTTCATTCAGCACTCCTCATTCAGCACTCTTCATTCAGCACTCTTCATTCAGCACTCTTCATTCAGCACTCCTCATTCAGCACTCTTCATTCAGCACTCCTCATTCAGCACTCTTCATTCAGCACTCTTCATTCAGCACTCCTCATTCAGCACTCCTCATTCAGCACTCTTCATTCAGCACTCCTCATTCAGCACTCTTCATTCAGCACTCCTCATTCAGCACTCTTCATTCAGCACTCCTCATTCAGCACTCTTCATTCAGCACTCTTCATTCATAGATCTGTTCCTTTACAGTAAAATCAACTCTGCTGATTGTGTTGACATGGACTGTGATGGCCTTAAGAAGGCCTTCATCAAGGACCTGGATGGCTCCATCCTCGGCACACCGGGGGCAGCGATACCGTTGTCCGAGCATTCGTGGAATGGCGACCCCAGAAGAGGGTTGGGGGACTACCGGGTACCAAAGGTCATGCAGACAGCCTTGGATGGCACCAAGATACCACTGGACTATTTGGCTCCTTTTAAAGGTAATATCATACACAACCCATAAACCGATTTTAGCAATATTCCTGCAAAACATGGTGGGGGGCACTAGAAATTGGCTTCACACATTGTACCCATGAGGAGAATTGAACCCGGCCTCCGGCATGATAAGCAAATACTTTAACCTTGGGGCGAAACAGGATTCGATCACAATCATAGGGTTCTGGCGTGCCCAAGGGACGCAACTCTACACAGTGGATTGTGGCACCTAAGACGACCGAGCCATCCCTGCCCCCTTGGATTACGTGAGGTCACAACTGATGGTAGAAAAGGACATTTTCATTGTGTATGGTAACATCTTAATCTCCATCGGCGGATCGGGTGGTCATATACTCTTAAAAAAAAGAAACGCAATGCGGATATCTTTGGCCACTAAAGAAAAAATAGCGGACTAATATGTGCAAAATGAGGGTTTAATGTGTTAAAGTGTCAAAGATAAATTTCCCGGATCAAAATGATCACAACAAGGACACGCAAACCATGAGTGGGGAACATGCACGATTAGGAAAAACGCACCCAGTGCATTAATAAAAGGGCCATGGAGCTGTACGCACTGCACGTGCAGCAGCACTATGAACGGTATTAAGGTGCATTTTTCTTATTTTCCTTCCTCGCACAAATCTGGCTTTGCGTTTCTTTTTTTGAAGAGTATATTATGTACAAGGCATGGGGTGTGTGTAACAATTATTATATTTGGGATAACAAATTACTGGCTTGAGTCTCAGAGTAAGGCACCTAATCGCCAGCACACAAACTCTGCCATCTAACGCACTGTGTGTTGGCGATTAAGTGGCTCAATCTTAGAGTGCGGGTTCGAATCCTGGATGGGATACTAGAATTTGTATACAGTGAACTACGGTTATAACGAACACGCTTATAACGAACTGACGGATATAACGAACCATGTTTTTGGTCCTGTCTATTTGCTGTATATATTCCGTACATTTGCTTATAATGAACTACGGTTAAAACGAATTAAAATTAGTGGTCCCTTTAAGTTCTTTATAACCGTAGTTTACCGTACTTCGAAAATGTTATCCCAAATAGAACATTTGTTACATTTGACCACTTTCTAAATGGCATTGTGTGTTCCTGGGTAATGTGATTGTTTCTTATTTACCTGTTTTTCGTAATAAATGAATAAACCGATCCTCATTCGTAATTATAGAATTGGGTATGGGTCGGGTGGTCGTAATAGAAATAAGCATGTAACCCACCAGGAGAAAAGAACATTGTGGATGAAAAATCACATTTTGACGTCTTTTTATATTTTAAAACTACAATATCCTAGATCCCAAAAATACAATTCATAACCTTAAATTCATATATATTACGTAGGTACGTGGCATCAAACATTATGCTCATTTCCTGCAAAGTCCTATTTTCAGAATAATAGCTGTTTATGTGATGATTGCAGTGTATAGATATAATGTCTGATTAATTGAAAGTAGACACACATGCTGACATATTTTGAAATAATGCTTTTGTTGCATTGCGAACTAAGGGGAGAAATCTAGAATTTTTTGTACAGTGTACGATTTTCACGGAAGGAAGTTGACGTCAAACGTCTTTCTTTAAGACGTTTGTAATACAACTATTTCCGAGCACCAATAGAGGCGGTCGGGTAGCCTAGTGGTTAAAGCGTTCGCTCGTCACGCCGAAGACCCGGGTTCGATTACCCACATGGGTACAATGTGTGAAGCCCATTTCTGGTGTCCCCCGCCGTGACATTGCTGGAATATTGCTAAAAGCGGCGTAAAACCATACTCACTCACTCCTAGCACCAATTAGGTCCCTTTTCTCCTGGTCGGTCACATATGTGTGGCGATCACGCCGTCCACTGATCAATGCTTGAACACAAAAATCAGCAAAAAAACCAACATCTCGGAACGCAATGACATGGCACGACCCCTGTTTCCTGTGTTTAATTCTGAACTCTCCCACATCGTTCCAGGTGTCTACAGGAACCCAAGCTGCGTGTACCACGACGACTGGCGGGCCTACGAGTGCCACGACCTGGACTATGAGATGCTTGTGATTGAAAGCATGGACCCTGACACCGAGACCCGGAGACTGTCGCCGGTGGCCATACTGAGCGAGGGCTACCTTGACCTCATCAACGGCCCCCAGGACCACGGCTGGTGCAGCGGCTACACGTGCAGGAAGAGGCTGTCCACCTTCCAGGCCATCGTGGCAACCAGTAAGATGTTTTTCAGAAGTTTGTCATTCGTGACCAGCTCGTGTTATTCCGGGACAAGCCGAATGGCGACTCGTGCCCCTCTCGTGGCCATTTTTGCGACAGGGTTCCGTCTTAGCGCAAACGGGCATACCTAAAACAATTGTCAACTCGTTGCGTAATGGTTCACACATTTTCCCCATATATCATATATTTTTCAGATGCAATTTAAAGCACATCGGGACGTGCGGAATTATTCAGTATAATTGAACACATTTAACTGTGTCTTGGGTATATTTTCGATGCAAGACATATGTAAAATCAAAAATTATTTCTGAGGGATTCTTTGACGAAGAACGTGAAATGATACGCGCATTCTGATTGGTTTGTCGTATTTTCGCACATAACATTCATCGATAGGGGGACGAGTCTTCTTGCAGGTGACGGAAAGGGGCGAGTGGTGACGAATGGAAGCGTGTTAGCTAAGATTCATTCGTGACTAACTCGTGTCATTCCGGGACAAGCTTCATGGCGACTCGTGCCGCTCTCGTGGCCATTTTGACGACTGGGTACCGTCTAAGCGCAAAAGGGCTTACCTAAAAGAATTGTCAACATATTGCGTAATGATTCATGTATATTTCCCCAATATATCATATATATTCCAGCTGCTATTGAAAACACTTCGAGAGCTACGGCATTATATAGTATGATTCAACACATTTAACTGATTCGTGGGTATTTATTTAGATGTAAGACGTGTAAAATAAAATAAAATACTCCTGTGGGATTCTTTGTATAATTAACAATCAATCTCATTAAAATCAGACCTCAGTTCTCGCTACCGCTAAACAAAGATCTGAGGACATTCCATTCACGTCAGAACGACCTTTCATCCGACCAATCAGAGCATCGCTTACCAGATCAGGAAAGTGACTATCGGAATGTGATTTCTAATCATGCAACCTCGAAAACTTTGACTCCGAACGATAGTTACGTGTTTAACGACTGAATCCGTACAATCTAGACCATCTATTAGCCATTCCAGAATGTTCTTTTGTTCAGGTTTCAAATTTGTTATCGAAAATTTGTCCAAATATGTTTGGAAGCGTAGTCGCAAATTTGAAATTAGTGCCTTAAAGTACGAGAAAGCTGCCTTCTGATTGGTCATTCCATTGGTCGGTCAAAGTTCGCACAAGGTCGGTCTGACGTGACCCGTAATGGGATGTCCTCAGATCTTTGTTTAACGGTAGCGAGAACTAAGATCTGATTTTAATGAGATTGAATTAACAATAGGAAGGCGTAGCTCGGTTTTATGCATTATTGTCTGTAGTAAAGTTCATGTGTGTGAGAGGCCTGTATTCTATCAGTATATAAATACCTGTAAAGAAATACATGCACGTAAGTTCGATGGTACGTTCGGTAATTACGCGAAGTGTCGTTATTCTTTTCTGCTAGAACTCAAAGTTGAATTGGTAATCGTGATGTATTTTGCATATTTTACGCAAATGGGCAGATTATTCAGAGCTCTGTTATTTCTCCCCTTCCCTGCTGAGAGGTTTTTTTCGATGAGAGAAACAAGAATTTTAATAAACAGCTGTTTGTATAATTTATTATCAACCATTTTGACAACCCATTTCAGCGATAATAATATTAACATTTATTCACAGATAAAACCTTCGACATCTACTTCACAAGCACCACGCCTCAGACAACCCGGTACCATCTTCTGAACTCGAACTCCGACCAGAGCGTTAGAATCGGCGTCTGGTTCGGCAGACCTAACCGTCTTGACGTCTACGTCGGCGGAAACACGTACGTCATGCCCAAGAACGGCGAGACGAAAAATGGGCGCTTCTCCTTAAGAACCGATATGACGCCAACCCAGTTTATGCCCGATCCGGCAACTGACGTCATTGGCACCAACTACATCGACAGAGAGGAGAAGATGGTGTTCTTCGTCGTCACGGGAGCAGCGTTTGTTGAGATCAGAACAGCCTCAGTTATAATCGTCTCCTACACCCTCCCCGCCATGACGGTCGATGAGTTCTTCGGGGAGAACCTTGTCAGCAATCTTGCCGCCTTCCTCAACGTCGATCCCAGGAAGATCCGCATTGTAGACGTCATCAACGAGCAGTCTGTTGGAAGGAGGAAGAGGTCAGCAGCGGGCACCAAAGTCAATGTGGAAATAGGTGACGAACCTGGCGATTCATCGCCCCTGGCCTACTCCGATATCCAGCAACTCGAGACGTCAATATCCAATGGCGTGGCTCTGGGTACGATGAACGTGCTTCCGAACGGCACAGTGCCTCTGTCTGTGGGTCTGATCACATCCACCCCTCCTGTCGACAGTGCTGAGTGGCAGGACGTCAGTGTTGATGATGAACCGTATGTTCTCAACAAGGCTGGGAGCATGGCTGTCCACGAGACCCCTGTCCCTGGTAGAGAGCTGAAGGTGTTTGATACGCCCATTAGGCTTAGAGTATATGATGACTCGGTACGTATTATTAACGCCACTTACGTATTTAACGTTTAACGTTTTAACGTATTTCAGTATTGAATAGTATTTCAGCATGCCGTGTCAGTTTGTTGTTGGAGTGAGTGAGTGAGTGAGTGAGTGAGTTAGATTTAACACCGCTTTTAACAGTATTCCAGTTATATCGCGGCGTGTCAGCCTAATGTGGGAGGGAAGCCCGAAGTGATGTAGGTCTCAGACGTTTACCACTTCGGTGAAACCCACGAGCACGGGTATTGTGCTGACAAACCTAGAAACATAAACAGCACCAGTCAATAATAAGTTCCTGTCGTGACTAAGGGATGCAAATCCATACAACGAGTAAATGCGTTTTTATTTCGTCTCCTGAATTAATGTTCTTGGTCTTTGTACTAGCCTACTATAAACCGCGCAAAATGTTCGTTTGTTTGTTTATTGTTTAACGCAGCACTCAGCAATATTCCAGCTATACCTGTAAATAATCGAGCCTGGACCAGACAATCCAGTGATTAACATCATGAGCATAGATCTATGAAAGTTATGGAAACAATGCAACAATTCTTTTGTAAACATCATTTTGATTAATAATTGCGTGCAGAAAACTAACCGCGAATCAAATGAAACAGCCATATTTGGGACATATACTGTTCTTCTTTCCACTGAGGTCAATGTCATGTGTAGATGTTTAAAAAAGATAAGGTGAAGGGAACTAGAGTTTAACGTCGCTAAATGCACGCGACGTGTAATGTGACGTGAGAGCGTGCGTGCGTGCGTGCGTGCGTGCGTGCGTGCGTGCGTGAGTGCTTGTACTAATCCGGACAAGCACCGGTTTTATAGTGCTATCCCACTGAGATACCATGCCACAGTTTAACATGAATACCCCTCTCAGACACAGTATACTGACTCCGAACCATCCAGGAAGGGTAACAACAAGTACCATCTTTTAACGTATTTTGGTATGACGCTGCCAGGGATCGAATCCTGGACCTCCCGCTCTCCGGACAGACGCTCTATTCATTAGACCAGTGAAGCGGTCAAACAAAATACAGTTAACTACGGTTATAACGACCTCAAAGGGACCACTAATTTTAGTTCGTTATAACCGTAGTTCGTTAAAGCATATATACAGCATATATACATCAAATGGCCGGGACTAAAAAATAAGTTCGTTATATCGGTCATTTCGTTATAAGCGCGTTCGTTATAACCGTAGTTTACTGTAGGACAATTAAAAGAACAAGAATACAAATTGGTCTTCCCTTTAAGATTGGAATTAGCCAGTTAAACGTCCATGTATTGCAACAAGAGGCCAATAATATAGAAATGTTGTTGTAGTTTGGATGTGTTCTTTAATATGTAATTTTGTTTCTTTTCAGGCCGAGCCTCTGAGTATTGTTGGATCAAACACTCAGCCCTGGCAGGTCACGGCGAACTTGACCTTGGGAGCTGGCAGCCATTCCTCCGCTGTATTACAAGGGGCAACAACTGTGTCCTTCAGTAACGGCTGGGCTAATTTCACAGATCTCGCCATTTCTCATCCTGGGTCGGATTACTCTATCACCTTCACAGTTGTCTCCCCTGTTGAGGCGGGCAACTTTACGACAACCGTGTCTTCATTAACAGTTCTAGCGCGACGCATGACGGCAGAAATGGTGTCCACGACCACGGATCCGCTAGAGGGCGAACTCATCTCGCTCACGCTGGAGCTACGAGACAAGGACACAGGTTCTGCCTTGTCCGACATTGCATGGAGGGTGAGGAATCACGGTTCTTTCTAGAGACCGACCACTTCATATTCGGCAGGGAAATAATAATTTGCAAAATACAAATTGATCGGTTCCTCCCTAGAATCCTTGCAATTAATTCCTGGAACAAGTTAGTTGTGTCTCTTGATGTGATATTCCTGAATAATATTAATACCGAAGTATGGGGCACGGATGGCCCAGTTGTCTAAGGCGCTGCAATTAGCTGTGCAGAGTTGCGTCCCTTGGGCACGCCAGAAACCTATGATTGTGGGTTCGAATCCCGGTTCGCCCCGATAATGTTTCTTGGTTTGTCAGCACCATACTCATGCTCGTGGGTTTCACCGAAGTGGTAAACGTCTGAGACCTGCATCACTTCGGTCTTTCCTCCCACATCAAGCTGTCACGCATTGATATAACTGAAATACTGTTAAAAGCGGCGTTCAACCCAACTCACTCGCCCACTCACTAAAAGGCAAATTGGCTCAATACCACAATGTCTGTTTCAGGGCCACACCTGGAATGTCACGGTCTCTCTGGCCAGCGGTTCCATCCTGAACGGCACCCTGGACGGCGTATTCAACCCCTTGACCGGTAGAGTGGACTACACTGACCTCTCCATCCCTGAGATCGGACGCTACTACCTGTCCTTCAACGTGTGGTCAACACCGTCCGAGTACAACTTCACCGTGGAGACGTACGTCGACGTGACGACGGCTTCACTTCAGAATCTCGTCGTCGAGAAGTCCAGCGCTTGTCAGTTCAAGTTTGACGTCACGTATGACGCAGCTCAGTCGCCTAAGGATGCCGCGGTGTTTGCCAACGCTTGGGCTATCAAGAACAAGAACAACGGGGTCAGAGTGACGGGCGTCAGCGCATCCCCAGGTACGTCAGAACATTTTTTCAGTCTCAATAACAAACCTCTCCCGTTTTGTTCCGGGTCTTAAGCAACCCGTCCTTGCCCTAAGAGGCGACTAAATTGATCGGGTGGTCAGGCTAGCTGACTTGATTGATGCATGTCATCGTGTACCAGTTGCGTTGATCGATGCTAATGATATCAATCAGTGGATTGTCTTGTCCAGGCACGATTATTTACAAATCACCGTCATATAGATAGAATATTGGTGAGTGCGGCGTTAAACATTAAATACACAAAACAATAAAAATCGCACCGTTTGAAAGATTTAGATATCAAATGCCGCCTTATTATTTAGAGTAAATCCGTTTCTTAATTTGATATCAAACATTTGTTTTAAACGACCCATATGGCAGGGTTATAGCGAAAACTCATAATACTTTCTGCTTATTTCATTTACCACAAAATACAAAAAAAAAGTTTGTTTCTTTTTTATTTCAACCGCCGACCTTTTGACGTACCATATACTGATGGTTTAGCATATATTAACCTTGCAGGTAGCGTCATAGTAACCTTGACCTTTGAGGGTAGGAGCAGCAACGTGACGGGCATGATCTCTGACCTGTGTGTCGAGGTCGAGTTGAGGTCCACCGAATACACCTTCGGAGGTCAGAGTGTCGCCATGTCACCCTACATGATGGTGGACGGCCTGTCGTACTACGGAAACTGCGGCGCCAAGGTGAGCACATGAACACAACGATCATATATGTACTGTGGCGAATTGGGTAGTATGCCAGAACCTTAATGTGAGTGAGTGAGTTGGATTTATCGCCGCTTTTAACAGTATTCAAGTTATATCGCGGCGTGTCAGCTTAATGTGGGAGGAAAGCCCGAAGTGATGCAGGTCTCAGACGTTTACCTCTTCGGTGAAACCCACGAGCACGGGCATGGTGCTGACAAACCTAGAAACATAATCGGGGTGAACCGGGATTCGAACCCACAAGCATAGGTTTCTGGCGTGCCCAAGGGACGCAACTCTGCACAGCGAATCGCGGCGCCTCAGACGACTTGGTTAGCCGTGCCCCCCGAGCCTTAATGTGGAAACAGGGGCAGGAAAAGCTGCATGTGTCTCACTGTTTTCTCTCCTCTTTGGGACCTCCATGTAATTACTATCCAGGTTAGGTGTGTGGAGTGTGTGTCTACGTCGTCTCCTTGGAACCAACAATTTAATTAATTTTATCGGGTTTAGGAGTGCGTGTGTCTTCTCTTTGGGCCTTCCATGTAATTAATATCCAGGCTAGGTGTGTGGAGTGTGTGTATGCGTCGTCTCCTTGGAACCAACAATTTAATTAATTTTATCGGGTTTAGGAGTGCGTGTGTCTTCTCTTTGGGCCTTCCATGTAATTAATATCCAGGCTAGGTGTGTGGAGTGTGTGTATGCGTCGTCTCCTTGGAACCAACAATTTAATTAATTTTATCGGGTTTAGGAGTGTGTGTGTCTTCTCTTTGGGACCTGCCATGTAATTAATATTATCGAGGTTGTGTGCGTGCGTGCGTGCGTGTGTGCGTGCGTGCGTGCGTGAGTGAGTGCGTGAGTGTGTAAACTTTTAATTCATTTCTGTGAAAGGAGCCTGACAATCAATTTAACTACATATTTTTTTACCATGACATCACACAAGTTCAGTGACCATTGTCCAAGTGAAAAACATCAGACTACATTTGCTTTAGAAACATCAAATGAATCCCAGACCACCCCATCATATCAATGATCCCTTAAGAAGTGACTCATGTGGATTTGATGGTTACTGGCCCAGATTTGATAACTTAGAATCCGCCGTGAGATTGCTGGAATAATGGTAAGATGTGGACCCACGCATCCGCCTCTTCCTGACTCACTGGTATAGCATTACATGTACCTACATTGCTGTCCACGATCAGTTAAAACGATTTGCTGATGTGTCGTTAAATGTATGTCTATGTACCCATATGGATAAACCATTATTTTAGAGAACCAGTATTAATTTTTAATGACTGGTTTAAAAAAGGTATAGTTACGATAAAAGACTTGTATTATGAAAACGGATGGATCCCTTTCCCACGTTTACAACAACTTTATGATCTTAAAGGAACTTTTCTCGACTATAACCGTATGTTTTTTTAATATTCCAAGAAGTTGGAGACAAAATATTGATAAAAATCTACATTCCTCTTCTAATCTCACAGTATCTCCTTGGATTTATGATCTTACACGATATATTAAAGGAACAAAAGTGTTTTATAATAAACTGATAGGGAATTACCTCCCTCTCCCTAAATCTTGTTTGAAATGGGAAAATCAGCTGGGATGCTCTTTTCCATGGAATCAAATATTCAGTGTATATTGCCATGGGTTAAGGGACACAAAACTCAGGGATTTCCAGTTTAGATTTATTCATAAAGTCATATTTACTAAACGTGAGTTATTAAGAATGAAGATGTGGACCCACGCATCCGCCTCTTCCTGACTCACTGGTGTAGCATTACCTACATTGCTGTTCACGTTCAGTTAAAACGATTTGCTGATGTGTCGTTAAATGTATGTCTCTCATCCATAGCCTTGCCCTCTATCCACTTTTGAAAACATGAATGCATGACACTAATTCAAAGAGTTTCTGATATTGTAGAAGACGTCCAACGGTCTACATCCGGCTGCTCTGGCCGCCATCATTATCCTCAGCATCACTGTAGTCGTCCTCGTCGTGATATTCGTGGTTTGGAAGGTCAAGGTCTTACCAAAAACAAAGACGTCATTCAGTAAGTTGCATGAAGCTTCGTCAAGTTAGACATTCCTATCATGTTTTCATTGTGTTAGAAGGAAGATTCACATTGTTGACACCAGTATTGCAGATTGTGCGGGTTGCAGACGGAACAGCTTCCCACCGCTCTATTGCTGGTCGTGTGTTGCGAATAAATTGATCAGGTGGTCCATTTGGGACCAACTCGTGTTATTCCGAGACAAGCCGAATAGCGACTCGTGCCCCTCTCATGGCCATTTATACGACTGGGTTCCGTCAAAGCGCAAACGGGCATAGCTAAAAGAATTGTCTACTCGTTGCGAAATGATTAACGTTTATTTCCCCTATACCGGTATATAAAATGAGGTAAATGTTCACTCGGTGTACATGTAATATATAATAAAATAATCAAACTAATAACATATAAATAAAATAATGAAACTGATATAAAGAAGATGTTGGACTAACGTGGACTTTATTATTTTATTATATATTATATATATATATATATATACACCACATCGGGACTTATAGTATGATTGAACACGTTTCACTGTATTTTGGGTATATTTTTAGATGCAAGACATACGTAAAATCAAAAATTATTCCTGAAGGATTCTTTGACCGAAGTACTTGAAGTCTTACGCGCATTCTGATTGGTTCGTCGATAGGGGGACGAGTCTCTTGTAGGAAAGGGGCGAATGGTGACGAATGAATATGAGTCGTTGCTATTTTGTGGTCCAGACTCCATTCTGCATTGGCCGCGTGTGATATCAGTGCGGCATTTAGAAAACGAGTGACAACAGGGGTTTGGGGTTAGCCTAAATGTTCAACATTCGCTCGCCAGCTCGAAGACCCTCGTTCGATTCCCAACTTGAGTAGAACAGACGAAGCCCATTCTTTATTGTCCCTTCTTGCCATAATATGGCTGGAACAAGCTGAATGCATGGTCACTCACTCACTCATTACCCTCACTGCTAAGGGACCGCCTCCGTGGTCTAGTGGTAGAGCGTCCGCCCGGAGAGCGGAAGGTCCGGGGTTCTATCCCCGGCCGCGTCATACCAAAAGACGTTAAAAGATGGTACTTGTTGTTACCCCGTCTGGCGCTCAGCATTAAGGGGCTAAAAACAAGGCTAAAACAAGGACTGGTCGGCTCGGAGTCAGTACACTGTGTCTGAGTGGGGTATCCATGTTTAACTGCGGCATGGTACCTCAGTGAGCTAGCACTATAAATCGGCATCAGTCCGGACTACTACAAGCAGCCACACAAACACACACACGTACATGCACGTCGCTATAGAAGTGCAATAAAACGCGACGTTAAACCCCATTTCACCTCACCTCACTGCTAAGGGTTCTCTTGCCAAAGCCGGGCGGTGGGGTAGCCTTTGGTTAAAGGGTTCGCTTGTCACGCCGAAGACCAAGGTTCGATTACCCACATGGGTACAGTGTGTGAAGCCCATTTCTGGTGTCTATTGCTGGAATATTGCTAAAATTGCCAAAGCAAAGATCTAGGTTAGATTCCCACCGTCATATTGCCGAAAAATACTTATCCACACACTCACTTTGTCTGTTCTTATATTTCCAGCCACGCAGCACATGAAGTACCTGGGTCACGTGAACACGCCCTGGCAGGCTGAAGACTTCCTCTTCCGGGACCCCAGCCATCTGGGCCTCAAGAGAGAAGTGACCTACCCCACCGCCCCAGCCGACACCCTCTCGACCAGCACCATGAGCCCCACCAACAAGTTCGACATGTACATCGACAGTCCGATATCACGTTCCAGTAGCTCAATGCCCCTTGCTGCCGACTAAACCCACACCCCCAACTTGGCGAAAAGGATTTCCTTAAGGAAATCGAAACGGACATAATGTATGTGTGAGTGAGTGAGTATGGTTTTACGCCGCTTTTAGCAATATTCCAGCAATATCACGGCGGGGGATACCAGAAATGGGCTTCACACATTGAACCCATCTCGGGAATCGAACCCGGGTCTCCGGCGTGATGAGCGAACGCTTTTACCATTAGGCTGGACCCGACCGCCCCCAATAATGTATGTGTACGTGATCTAAGACACGTTCCCAGATCCCAATGCCATCCAGCGAGATCAACTCTGTAAGATATCCAAATATGGTCAGACCGACATCGCTCTCTTTGATCTCAATGGACCTTCAAACAGCATAACTGTACAGCCTTCTAACTTGGACCAATCGGTTCCTTATTGAGTTCGACATGTACATAACGATACCACGCTTCAAGATGTCCATGCACAGGCCAGCTGAATAAACTTTTACGTCGTCACCAAGGAGGGAAGATGACTTTTGAAGAGGTTTTGATGTACCTATGTTATTTGCAGTGCAATGTATTTCCCTTCAACAGTACAAAGTGTGTAATCTCACATTATAGATATGTATGTTAACCCTAAGAATTGCACTTGTACATAGATCGAACTATTAACCCTACATGATCCAAATATATATATATTATGTATATAGATTTTATCGGTTGTTACTCCCCCATGTTTGGCATATATGAGCGGCACACCTGTCGCTAAAACATCGTGGGCCCTTCTTGTCGTAAGCGGCGATTAGAAGATCGCGTGTCAGGCTCAGTGACTTGGTTCGTCATCGTAGCCTTATGATGCAGGACGGTGATAACATCAATCACTGGTTTTTGGTGATCCAGCTGATGTGCAGACAGTCGTGATGTACCTGAACTATATGTTACTTTGACATATACCAGTTTATAGTACCTATGTCCTCAAAGCCTTTTCCTTAAACATGAAAACAACTGTTATGGCCAACGCTATATAACATCCACGATGTTGTCACAAACCGATGCATGGATCCAACATCTACTATCTACTATCTACTATCTACTATCTACTAAAATGTAAAATTGTAGCTAACTCTGATACTCAATGTACTTATTGTAATTCAGCGTAGAAGTTTGTTGGTTGGTTGTTTAACGCCACACTCAGCAATATTCCAGCTATATGATGGCGGTCTGTAAATAATCGATTCTGGACCAGACTATCCAGTGATTGATATCATGAGCATAGATCCAAGCAATTGGGACACGATGACATGCATCAACCAAGTCAGTGAGTCTGATCACCCGATCCCGTTAGTCGCCTTTTACGGCACCAATGGGTTGCTGAAGACCTATTCTACCCCGGAGCTTCGCGTAGATGTAGATGAGTATCATATTTTGTCTATGATAAAGTACCCTGGTATTGGAATAAGGTATTTACCTCAACACAGCTTTACCAACACCCCTCCCATGGTATTTTGCTGGACACTAGAAATGTACATCTCCTTAATCTGTCGCTCTGTTTGTAAGACATGTTTTTTTAATTACGAACTCTCATGTGATTATTTATATTGTCAGGTAAAACTTAAGGCCATATCACTTAAAAGACTTACCACTGATATCTGTCATCCACAAGATGAAGATTCTGACTCACATACCCGTCCATATCCGTTGCCAGCTGAATATATGATGTAGATTGGCCAGGAAATGAATGCTGGACTTGCAGTGTGTTTAAGTGCTTGTATTCTACGATACCAAGATAAAGTATGTATGTATATATGAATTATTTTTCTAAGACAACCAACACTGTGGTTTTGCTTTGATTTGATTACATTTTCACGTTTTTAACTGTTTTATACTTTTTATACCCGAGAAGACCGTATGATACATGTGTCTATATTACATGTACAATGAAACCCCGTAATCAGGACCTCGCAAGTACGGAAACCTCACCAGGCGGACATTCACTTTGAGAATGTCTGTGTACAAAGTAATGATCATGACAACGTTACTACGACTAGGAAGGAAAAAAATGATTCTCGGGCCAATGTTCTCATAAAAGAATTCTCTTATTTTTTATTGACAACAGAAACTATGTTGGAGGATCACCTCTAGTATCCACTAAGAATGCCAATGAGTTTTTGTTTGTTTGTTGTTTTTAACTCCGCACTCAGCAATATTCCAGCCCTATGACGGCGGTCTGTAAAAAATCGAGTCGGGACCAGACAATCCAGTGATTGCATCATGAACATCGATCCACGCAATTGGGATACGATGACATGCATCATCCAACTCAGCGAGCCTGACCACCCGATCCCGTTACTCGACTCTTAACACACTGGGTACACACTGACCTCGATCTTACAAGTCGGTTGTCAAGTATTTTATTTTATGCATAACAGAATATACTGATGCGGAAATTTGAAATTCTTTTTTTTTATTGCCAAAAGAAATAACTGGTGCGCACGAATGATGAAGTGACTCGCTAATGGCCTGTAAATGTTTTCTTTTTTCAGCCTTAGTTACCTTGGATGATTTCAGTGGGATTGGTCCGCTTTGACAGGGGTTCATTGTATAAAACTATTAACTATGATACTCTGTGATTTACGTCCACTGCCTTGTTTGATTGAAATAAAAACAAACTCGCACAAAGAATATCATATCATTTGTTTGTGGTCAATGATAACGATACACCTGGTAAAAACATCCACCTTTTCACCAGGACGTGGTATTGGTAGAATCTTAGACATTCATCACATGCTGGCAGTCTCTCAGACACATTGCAATTCGCATCCTCTGTATCACCAGGTCTCCCATTTCGGTAAACCAACACTTACCCCTGAATCCATTTTCGCGCTTTCAAATTACCCGCCCTTGATTTTTATTGACATTTTACCGACCAATCAAACGTCGATACATGGAAAAACGAAATGGTTAAGGGGGGTAACTCGAATTGCCAAGAAACCAAAGCAACCGCCAGTTTTAATTGAGATGAAGACATCCTTTCCATCAAAATATTTTTTGACGACTTTCTTTTGCGTGTCAGTGAGTTTTTCATTCTTGAATTTCACACAAACTCTATCGTAATCAATTGGACTCGCCGCCATGTTGTTAATATTGCCAACCCAATGATGAGACTGGTTTGTTACTCGCATTCTGATTGGTCGATTAGAGTAGCGTAGCAAATCAAATATGCCAATGAAAATCAAGGGCGGGTAATTTGAGATCGCGAGAACCACGGGAATGGATCCTGGGTTCAGTGGAGGTTTGACCCACGAGTCAAAGACTAGGGATGGGAATTTCGGTATACATGAAAACTAAGGAACCTAAATTCTTTCCAGGTGTAAACACAATCCGCCATCTCCGTTGCTAATAATCAACCATTCTAGCTGTTATATTTCATCGATACGTGAAATACCGTATTCGACGTAATTAAGCGCCCAGGGCGCTCTCTAGATAAGGAATAGGGGGCTCTTATTAGAATATGATTTTGGTGAAAGAGTTGAAAGATCGTAAATTTCGTGGTTTATGCTTACAACCTGAAATGATACGAAAGAAATGTCTGTGCGTATTATACACGACAGATATATATTTCCAGAATTTAATTGCCCATAATTAAGGGTACATATAACACACGAGTGCATATTATACACGAATAAATAAGTCTTGTGAACATTGATCAATCGGAAGGGTGCTAATTGGGATTGTCCACTAGCCAATATATTAGCAAATATCGCCGTGGGCGCTTATTAAAGCGGGGCGCTTATTACGTCGAATACGGCAGTTGCTATATGAGTGAAATAATCTTGATCGCGAGCTTCAACCCGACTTCACCTCACATCCTCGTAAAATATCGACGAGGGCTCCAACTGCAAACTGTAGTACGAATGTCCTTCATACACCTGCGTGAAACTGGCCTGCGTCCCCTGCTTTGGTTTCTGTGTCTGGTCAGCTATATTCCAGCTCTGTGACGGTCGTCTGTAAAAAGTCCAATCTGGAACTGAGGAATTCAGTGATTGACACCATGAGCAACCATCCACGCCGCCAGGATACGATGACTCGCAATCCCTTGGCTTTTATCCGATATTAGAATTGGTACATTGGTGCCAAAGCTACCGATGTGTGGATTCCGAGTTGGCATCAGTCCCCAGCAACCTATTATTGTCGTAAGAGGGGACCACATGGATCGGTCAGTCAGACTCAGGGACTTTGAGTGGTACGTAACACATAGTATCCATTATCATTGCAGCGTGGGAAATCAAAGAGGCACGCTCGTCCTGACCCTATGAGAAGCCAGCTGTCTACGAGGATTCCTCAGAGATGCGTTTCGGGGTATCAATGCAGATGAGATGGCTCGGCTGGCAAGGTGATTTGAGACCTTCATCCCAAGTGAATGAATTGTGTTAATAGGAGCGGGACTAGTATACGACTCTTGCTTTGAAGTTTTATGATCAAGTTTACAACATTTAAGGCCTCAATAAAGCTTTCAAAACGTTTTATGGTAGCCATGTGGAGGACATTTCCAAATTTGACGCCACAGTGAACAAAATGATGTCCCTTGCAATTCCCTGTTTTAACCATATGTTTCCATGTCTTTTTTCGGGTGAACAATTGACGTGCCTTTGCGTGTGTTTGTGACGGGCGCCACGGGTGGGTCTGGATACGCTCACGTTTTCGCGAACACCTAGGATCATCACTGTTTGATAGTGATTCATAAACACATGCTCGTGATATAGTCGGAATCGTACAATCGACTCTGCTTTGGGCAGTTGTTTCTCATGGAAATGGAAACGGTTTTGCTGCTTATATTTACATCATTTCACTCTCGGGGAACTGATAATCTGTACTTGCGATTTTCAAGTAGGATATTCCTCATTGACTTGTTTTAAGAGAAAATGAAAAAAAAACACCGTATGAAGATAAACATCACTGAAGCCATCCTGTTGTTCAGACTCAATTGTGACGTCATGAACAATAAAAGACCTTGTTTTTTTTCTTAACAACGAGTCACTGTGACGTCATATGGCTTCAGCTGACCAATCAGCTTTGAGAATCGGTAAAATGCACATGTTCAAATATCGGAAAGTTATTGCACACGATCAGTCTACCCTTATGGGTAATATCCAACAACTGTTATGTCTCTGAGAAGTACTCAAGATGGCCATGAAATGTTACATATTGTCCACCAAGTGAATATTTGCGTCACTGATTACACCATCTATGATTCGTGCCTACAACCAGTGTATCCTGGCAGGGCTAAGCGAGGCAACTCCTCGCGTCGAAATACTGGGCTTTAGATTGAGCCCTATATCCAAAGTATTGAACACACCTGTACATCGAGGTCTTGTTTCAGTGTGGTACGTGTTGTTCAAGATTTGGCGCATGCGCAAGACACGTGATGTTTGGTGCATTGCCGTATCTCTCAACTGTGAAACCATCTTCGGGGCTGTTTTTGTCTTTGAGCTCGACTCTTATTGAGTCACGTGACTGGGAGGAAGGACACTCTGGAAAGTAGTTGTATGGATACAACGAGAAGGACATCTGGGTACCGGAAGTAGAAACCACAGGCAGATCCTCCGTGTGAGGGATATGGTGAGCTCCCATTGGAATCCAGAACACAAGATCCTGCAGAGGAAAGCATTGAACGTTAAATGGTGATTTGGTTGGTTGGTTTGTTGTTTTACGCCGCACTCAGCAATATTCCAGCTATATGACGGCGGTCTGTAAATAATCGAGTCTGGACCAGACAAATCCAGTGATTTACATCATGAACATCGATCCACGCAATTGGGATCGAGGACATGCTTCAACAAAGTCAGCGAGCCTGACCACCCGATCCCGTTAGTCGCCTTTTACGACAAGCATAGTCGCCTTTTACGGCAAGCATGGGTTGCTGAAGACCTATTCTACCCCGGATCTTCACGGGTCGAACGTTGTATGGTGAATCACATGCTTACTGTAGCAACGGACGAGTGATCGAATGTTGTTTTGCGTCGCAGTCCGCATCAATATCATGTCGACTTTGAACCTAGAATCAGTAACATACGTCAATTTAGAACGCCTCCTTGGCCTAGTGGATAGAGTGTCTGCCCTGAGGGCGGAAGGTCAGTGTTTCGATCCCGGGTCGCGGCATACAAAAAGATGTTAAAAGTTGTTTTTTTGTTACCCTGGCTGCCGTTCGTCCTTATCTGGATAAAACAAGGACTTGTCGGGCCAGAAACACTGGCATGGTACTTTAGGGGGTCAGAACAAACATCCGGCATTTATGCAAGCAGCCAAAACACACACATGTGCGTGCACGTTGCTATAAAGTGCAATAATGATCATAAACGCGACGTAAAACCCCATTTCACCTTACCTCACCTTACCTCACCTCACTTCACCTCAACCCATTTCACCTCACCTCACCTCACCCCATTTCACCTCACCCATTTCACGTCACCTCACCTCACCTCACCTCACCTCACCTCACCTACATTAGTACAACCATCTGTCGCTGTGTTACATAATGACACATTATTCAATTTATGTTCATGTAACTTCACGGTATTACTTAATGTCTTGGTATTACACAACCCCGTGGTATAACTTCATATCACGGTATTACATAATGTCATTGTATCATAAACATTAGGGGCGTTCGGGTAGCCTAGTGGTTAAAGTGTTCGCTCGTCACGCCGAAGACCCGGGTTCGATTCCCGACATGGGTACAATGTGTGAAGCCCATTTCTTGTGTCCCCCGCCGTGATATTGCTGGAATATTGCTAAAAGCGGCGTAAAACCATACTCACTGACTCACTCATAAACATTAGCATTGTCTGGTTCGAGTGCAATTTGTAAGATTGTCTTTTAACATATTTTTTCACAAGCAGTGAAGATTTTGAGACAAGTATTCCAACTTATATTGCTCTCTCTCTAGTATTTGAAAATCTCACAATTTTAAAATTTAATTTATACAAATATAAAACTGTAGAAGAGACATAAAATGTTAATGATGGAGAGAAAGGGATATAGAGTGAAAGAGAGATTGGAGGAAGAGAGAAACTGTATTCAATATAAAAACCGATCACGGATATTGACCATTGTTTTCGGGGTACTTGGTTTTTTTTACTTGTTCCTAGTAAGGCGAGGAACAGGTGAAGATTGGAATTACTAATCCAAACGTCCATTCTTCCAAAATCGAAGACAATAATTGAAACTCTGACCAATAGACCTCAGAACCGGTTGACGACATTTGGTTTAATAGAAGGTGACATGTTTGGCGTAAATTGCCTTGCGAGATATATTTTATGACCGCTACTTTAGTCTGTCGTAACGCGCTTTTGAAAATATTAAACAGATATTAATAAAAGTTATTTCGACGGTATATAAGTCACCGAAATCACTTCTGGGTTTTGGTTGGAAATATAAATCATCGGGGTTGGAACATCCCCCCCCCCCCCCCCCACACACACACACACACAAACACCTCCCCACCCCGAACCACACACCCCACCCCACCCCACCCCTACACCCCCACCCACTCCTCGGTTTCAAATTTCAACTCAAACCTCGAACAGATGTATTCTCCTTTAGCCAAAACATAAATGTCAACTCACCTCGTCTACAACATCTTCATCATCAGCGAGAAATGTTGTGAAGTTGACAGTGTTGTCAAAGCTATCAAACACGGCATAGCAGGAACTTGCGTAGCGCTCCTCCTCCTTAAACTTGGTCACTGCCATCTGGTGGCGAGCCCAGGAGACCGCCGGCTCGTTCCCTGTGTTCTCCGGCAACAGCTGCTTGGACATTCCGTCTAACTGCAGTCTGAATTTACATGTTTCATTTATTTTTAATATTAATATTTGGTTCACGGAATGACGTTGGGTCGAAAAAAGAATAAAGTTGCAACGAATAACTTTTGAAGTGGCCACACATGTAGGGTTCACTACAAGACCAGTTCAATCAAATAAAAGCAAACATTTAAAGCATATACACACGCACTCTATTATACTATTAGTTATATGTTTTGTAGTATAATATGTTATGGGCCTCGAAGATGGACCTATCCCCGCGACACTATGTTCTTTATAAGTTGGAATTGTTTGCACGCATAGTTTTAATTTTAAAATTGTTTACCAATACTTGACAGTAGCACACAAATGACAAACAGTAACCACGATAATCTTGGCGAACCCACTCCGGTGGATTGCTAATCATCTCAATAAATCAATTAGTGTGATTTCAAGGTAATGGAATGTGCACAGGCAACCTGGTGATCTGAAAATGGTTTGAAAAATGGACAAATTGTAAACATCGTCAGCTATCCTGTCTTGAGACTTGAAACATTGAGATCGTCATTGAGCATAAGCACTAAGACTATTGTTTTGTTTGTTTAAAATAATAGAAAATGCTCCCGAAAAAGCGGGGGAAAGTTTTCTTTCACTTTTAACAAAACTAACGAATCGATAACCAGACATGGCAGATGTTCTGTGTGAGGAGCTAATTTATTTGACTTTTCCGTTCGAAAAGTATCATATGTTTTAAAGACTTGACTGAAAAAAATGTCACTCAATAATCCTAGGCCCCACCGCCAGTACATCTAATGGCAGGTCCCTAAAATCTTACGAAAATCTTTGGGACACCTAGTGAAAACACCCCGCATCTTACCTGTACGCTTTAAGCTCGTTGTGTCTTGTTTGATATTCGTTGCTATGTATGATATGGTACTTAGGGTGGTCGAAGTTGCACTTGTACGCAGCCTCAAGCTCCGTCCGCTTTAACTTCCGGTCAAACCGGATCTGGAAATAAGTGTCACTTGGATCGCTGCTAAGATAATTGGGGACCTCCTCCGTGGAAATATCAAGAGTCTCGTATCTGTTATCTGTACCATGGATGTCAATGTCTGCTTTAAACAGAACAACATGATGATGAAGAGGACCCGTAATGTGATCCTGGAGTTTAAAACCATAAGGTTTTTCACTAGGCGTATGGAAGGTTGACAAAATATAACCTGTCGATAGTACACTAACCTCCAGCGCTCCACTCTGATGGAATATGAAGTCTAACACATAGTCGTAGTTGCCCACTGTCAAAATGCTCCTGAGAGTAAGAACACTATCCGGCATGCCCGAATACACACCATATAAAGAATACGCCATGTGCCTTCTCAAAGGCGTGTGTTTGTTATGCTCGAACAAGCAAAATGCATTCTTTAAAATTATAGGATCGTCAGTCATGCTTTCGCCTATATATGTTGTGTTGAAGAATGTGCTTGTTTCCGGACAGTCCACAGCTGGAACGAGATCATGTGAAGTGGACCCTATCAGGGCCATGCTGTCCAGAAGGTTAGCGCTGGTAGTTGCCTTGTTCTTTGAGGAGTAGAAAACACTAATTTCTTGCAGTCCAATTTCGTAGGCGATGGTTTCGTTGTTAAATCTGATGTTGTGCAGCTGGGGACCTTGCATGGAGGACATTCGGAAGTCAAACTGCCACTGCATGTACTCAACACTACGATGTTTGACTTTGTATCTTTTACCGTCGGGCTCAAACATTCTTGGAGCACGCAGGGGTTCTGTTGGTACAGGCGTGCCCCTTCTGTTCAAGGTAGAAAACATGTCTTTGTCCAATTTGGGAAACGGTACTTGGGTCTTAGGAGTGGATGAAATGTTGTATTGCTTTGCGAGGTCATCTAAGCTAGAGTAGTCCTTTCCCGAATACACCAACCTTTCTACGAAGTATTCAGTTGGATCTGACGAGTTCAGATTAGCTAGAATCAGCAGGTCCAGACAGTGTAAGCTCCTGTACGGGAGCTCATGAAGGGTTATCAACCATAATTTTCTGACCGTTTGTTTCATAAGACCACTAGACACTGGGTCGGGATAAAAACTCAGACATTCGCTTCCACAGTTGGTGAATGTAGCTCCATAACTCTCTGTTAGGATGAACCCAATCTTTCTGTCAATCTCCGGATACAGCGAGACGAACAGGGATCTGAACTCAACAAATCCGACAGGCCTGAAGGCGAAAGGAACTGGATTTTTGCGAGCAGAATTCACGTACAGAGAATGTCGAGTAGGCTCAGGTAAAGGACCTACAACATATTCCTCCACAACGGGAGGAACTGCATCACCTCGAAAGATCATCAGCAAGGCATGTCGTTCTGGCTTTGGTCCCGTCCCAGCCATATAAGCTAGAATGTCAGACTTTTTAGGTGGATGCAGGTCTGATGTATAGATGTAACTGCTGTTAACTGTTGCCTGTGATGGTTTAACAATATTCAAGTCATTGATAGTGTATATGTATTCCTGAATGGCCTTTAATTCCTTGAAGGTCAAGTCGTCATGCAGATCAGGTAGGGCAGCTTCTGAGGGATCTATGTTGTTAGTCCTTCGCGAACCACACTTTATATGTTCTCCTCTCTCGTGTAAAAGGTCAACTTTGACCACAAAGGCGACGATGATGACGATAAGCCCAACGCAGACCAGGATTAACACACCAGCCATCAGCCTCCATCCGTTACTTTTTCTCACTGCCATTGTCAGCACCTGTTTGAGGCAAGATGACAAATATCAGTTTATGCATGAAAAATGGGCACCGGTCGCATACTAGTTAAGCCATCAACATCAACAGTATCTGTGCGTTGCGTACTTTAACCATGCAATTTGCAGGTCGGCGGTTCGAATCCTTGATGAGTGATCACAATGTCCTCGGGTTTCAATGAAATCATTTGGAGCTTTTTCAATAAACTGACAAGCTTTGATATAACAGACATGCTGTTAAACATGCTTTAAATCAGAAAACAACTCATTTTTGGCGCAAGACAATCTAATTTTTACACTTGAAACTTCGATTTGACCAAAATGTTATTACAACGGTACTGGGTTGAAAGGAGTCGCATAAACACTGAAAACTTAAGGGCCGCAGCTATACCAGTATCAAATACATCACCACGGAATGACCTTTTCTTGTTTGTTACATTAGTGCTGCCCACTGTGTTTTGCCAGGTAGCTTTGACAAATATATTTGACGTCAAAGAAACATTTGAAACAAAACAAAAGCATAAAGAATGTAATCGATGTTGAATGTCGGTATTCTGATTGATGTGGCCTCTGGGTCGCTTTAAGCTTTAATGGGTCCTGTACTTCACCTTAGCGTATGTGTTAAAAGTATCAAATGCTTTTATACATCAACAGTCTAATCCTACATAGTGTTTGTTGTTTAACGCCGCACTCAGCAATAATCGAACTAAACGACCGCGGTCTGACAGTAATAGAGACTGGACCATACAATCCAGTGATTGACACCATAAGCATCGATCCACGTAATTGGGATACGATGACATGCATCAACCACGTGAGCGAGCCTGACCACCCGATCCCGTTAGAGGCCTCCTACGACCAGCATGTACAGCTGGTATATTGCTGAGTGCGGCGTCAAACAAACAAACAAACTCGACACATATTCATAATTCTCTGCCTGTATTCGTCAATCTTAAATCGAAAAATCCCACGATTCATATATTTTTCAAAACATAATTGACAGGTTTCAGAGCTCTACTGCCTATGAATGCATGAATACCGAGCCGATAAATACATGTGTTATATTTTATTACAAAAGTTAGTGAGCGACGAAAACGTTTACATCACTTCGACAATATGTGCCATACAGTGACGAACCAAAGTCAGTAAACACTGTGGCAGAATGACTAGCTGTTATTGACACAATATTATTTTCATGTCAGATTGATCACCTGGTTTCTTAATATATTATTCTGCATCAAATCTAAAAACATATATTACCACTGGAAGTATACACAGTCAAAACTCAAACGTGTCTTTCCTTAAAAAACTCTGTATTCAAACGTAGGTTATTGCCTTCATTGATTGACAGAAAGATTGAAAATTGATGTAGATTTATAGCACGCATTATCAACCATGTGAGTGAGTGAGTTGGGTTTAACGCCGCTTTTAACAGTATTCCAGTTATATCACGGCGTGTCAGCTTAATGTAGGAGGAAAGCCCGAAGTGATGCAGGTCTCAGACGTTTACCACTTCGTTGAAACCCACGAGCACGGGTATGGTGCTGACAAACCTAGAAACATAATCGGGGCGAACCGGGATTCGAACCCATAATCATAGGATTCTGGCGTGCCCAAGGGACGCAAATCGTCTTATATTTCGACTTCACTTCCTATAAACACGAAAATAGCTAGTAAGAAATAATTAGTATGTTAAACTTAGTAAGCAATAATTAGTAAGTAATACTTAGTAAGCAATAATAAGTAAGCAATAATTCGTAAGCAATAATTAGTAAGTAATACTTAGTAGGCAATAATTAGTAAGGGATAATTAATAAGTTATAGTTAGTAAGCAATAATTAGTAAGCAATAATTAGTTAGTAATACTTAGAAAGCAATAATTAGTAAGTAATACTTTGTAAGCAATAATTAGTAAGCAATAATTAGTAAGTAATAATTAGTAACTCATAATTTGTAAGCAATAATTAGTAAGCAATAATTAGTAAGCAATAATCAGTAAGCAATAATAAGTAATTAATAATTAGTAAGCAATAATTAGTAGGTAATAATTACTAAGCAATACTTAGTTAGCAATAATTAGTAAGCAATACTTAGTAATCAATAATTACTTAGTACTTATTAGTACGTAAACTTTGTAAGTAATAATTAGTAAGCAATAATTAGTAAGCAATGATTAGTAAGTAATACATAGTAGTAAAATGTGTAAGTAATAATTAGTAAGGTTGGGTATGATTAAAGAATGTTGAATATGCACTGACATTTAAGGATTCAATCATCATCTGCGGTTCGACAGTTAATTACGGTTTACTAGGCGATATTTGTTCTCTAGAGTTAATGAGACGACCCCCGTCTCCACAGCTTCGTCGAAGTGGAAGCGTCTCGTTATAACGCGAACTAAAAAATAAATAAAGCAGCTGTTCGAAAAAACAAGGAAGTATATTTAACAATAGTTTGTCAGTACGTGTCTAAGACTGACATTGACGAATTAACACTCAATTACCACACACGATTAATTAAGCAATGGTTAGTCAATTATCTTGTCGAAATGTAATGGGATAAGTCAGTGATACATCTACCTTCGGGGTCCCAAAGTCGTCCTTGCTTTCCGAATTGAATACAGTCCAGTTCTTATACAATCCCCGCGTTAGGTAATCCCATCACATTCAGATCCACACACCATCAGCCATGACCCAGCCACTGCAACGCCAGTGTACACAAGGAAGCGATTGGGGGAACGTGAACGCGATGTCAGGTGCACGTGTTGCGAGGCGCGAGGTCCGCCATCGTTCACCAACCTAGTTCTGTGTGATGGTAAAAATAGCTGCAGCAGCCGCAGCGAAATAACATCTGTCTGAGAGTCGTAGAACGGAGAAGTGGTGATTAGACGTTCAAAGCATATAGTGCGAGGCTGTGGTGGTCGTTGCTGAGCCACGGAGATAGGGTGTTCAGAGTATTTTTCATCATCACAGCCCCGTAGGGATTCCGGTTTACAATAGGTCCCCAGGAACCCAGTAACCCAGGAACCCAGGAACCCAGTCATAGGCGACTTGGTGACTTGGGTCATCGTACCCCTGCGGATGGGGAGGAAAGCCTGACGCGGTACAGGTCTTTGATGTTTTCCGTTTTTTAAACCCACGAGGATAGGTATGGCGCAGACAAGCCCGAAATCATTACCAGGGCTAATCTTGGTTTAGAAATCATGATCATAGATGCCTGGCACGCCTATCTTGCATAGTGAATTTTGGCGCCTTTGGCCCACTTGAACAATGGGGCAGGATATGGAAAGACACGTGCATGTAAAACCCCATCTCAAGCAAAGCTGAAACCGAAACTTTGAATAAGACGCCAGTGTGGATATCAAAACTCCAAGGACAATACACAACGTCACATTAGCTTTCAATGCAACCGACATAAGTATCACCAGATATTTTTTTTATGATCACTTAAGGGGGCACGGGTGGTCCAGTTGCGCAGTTCGCTTCACAGTGTTGCGTCCAATGTCCACGCCAGAAAATGGTGACTGTGGATTCGAATCGCGGTCCGCACCGATTATGTTTCTTGGTCTGTCAGCACCACACCTGTCCTCGTTGGCACCACCAAACTCACTCAATCTATTATATATATCAACATATTTCTGAAGAGTGGTAGACCGTCCGCCCGGAGAGCGGGGCCGCGTAATACCAAAAGACGTTAAAAGATGGTACTTCTTGGTTGAGCCCCACTCTTGTTCCCCCTAAGCTTTCCAATTCCTTAACTGGTCCATAGAAGACATGTCCAGTTTGCCAACGATAACCATCGCCATTTAATTTTCACACATGGTTACAATTAGACTAAGGATAGACTGCGAGAAGCTATATTTCGCAGCGTGTGCTGCGTACGTACATTACCAGTACGAACTGAAGGAAAAGCAAACTTGTATATGTAGCATTTAAAGCGTTATTTGTCTAATTCTAGATGGTTGACACAAATAACGTATGTTTATAAACAGATTAGAAGAGAAAAGGAAAGACATAATTACTCTTGCAACACACCCTAACCATATCGAACACTGGCAATTATATTAAGAAATAATTAAGTTTTGAATCCTAATCTATCATAACCCTGATGTGTGTCTGGTACACATCGAGAACATCGTAAAATGCTGCTCCGTAAACAGACGCAAGCTGAGCGGCACTTAAAATGAGCGTCCACTAATTACTTCCTCTCGAGCTTTAATGGAAGTCTTGTCTCAATGGCCTAACCTCAAGAAAATGATTTCGCACTTGACTCCTAATGTGATTTCGCGAAACAGGGCAAGCGGTTCATTTTATAAACACCATACACCTGTTTGTATATACCTCCACTGTGTACTCCGTACAACATGTAAAAACGTTATAAATCAGTTGAAACGTTTTCAAGTCGACCTGTGAGAAAAACGTGTCTGCAGACCCTGGACCAGATTACCCGTTCTGCAGAACAACGAGATCGGTCATACAACCATGACACTGTCGGGCACTATATGAAAATGTATAAATGGACTTCTTAAGAATAATCTTTTCTGTCCTGTCTTTGGTGCATTATTATAAAATGACACGGAGTACATCCATGTACAGGCACACACTATCCATAGAATATATTTTCAGGTTTCCCTAAACAGATTCAGAAGAAAGAGAGATGTTGGTTGTTCCATTTTGTTGTTCAGCGTCGCGTTCAGCAATATTCCACCAATTCTGAAGACCTATCAATTAAATCGTCGTTTACGATCAGTAATAACCACGGGGTAAATCATTTTGAAATGGTTTACTGATATGCTAATTAATTATCTATTCCTTAATGACAAAACCCTATTATTGGTGTGATCCAGTCGTCAAAAGCACCGCAATTGGTGTTGCAGAGTTGCTGCACTTGGGCGGGAACCTGAGATCGTGAGTTCGAATCTTGGCCCCTGATTAATGTCTAGGTTAACAGCACCATAACAGGGCTCGTGATTTTAACTCACGAAAGGGGGGACGTCAAAGATCTGCACAACTGAAATAATGTCCGACAGAAATATGCAAAACAATCATAAAAAAACCACATTAACTGCGTTGATAATTGTATTTTGCCAATGGGCGTTCTCCGCGTACGAGTCTCAATGCAAGGCCTTGATAATAAACGGTTGCCTGGTACGTCACACCTTTCTTCGTTGTGAATGAGGGGGTCCAAATATACTCTGCCCATCAGTAAAATACATAGAAGACAGCAGCTGTAAAGGAACTACTCTGTCCATCAGTAACATACAGAGAAGGCAGCAGCTGTACAGGAACTATTCTGTCTATCAGTAACACAGAGAGAAGAAAGCAGCTGTACAGGAACTACTCTGTCTATCAGTAACATACAGAGAAGACAGCAGCTGTACAGGTACTACTGAGTCCATCAGTAACATAGAGAGAAGACAGCAGCTGTACAGGAACTACTCTGTCTATCAGTAACATACAGAGAAGACAGCAGCTGTACAGGTACCACTCTGTCCATCAGTGACATACAGAGAAGACAGCAGCTGTACAGGAACTACTCTGTCCATCGGTAACATACGGAGAAGACAGCAGCTGCATAGGAAGAACTCCATTAGTAACATACAGAGAAGACAGCAGCTGTAGAGGAACTACTCTGTCCACCAGTAACATATAGAGAAGACAGCAGCAGTACAGGAACTATTCTGTCCATAAGTAACATACAGAGAAGACAGCAGCTGTACAGGAACTACTCTGTCCATCAGTGACATACAGAGAAGACAGCAGCTGTACAGGAACTACTCTGTCCACCAGTGACATACAGAGAAGACAGCAGCTGTACAGGAACTACTCTGTCCATCAGTAACATACAGAGAAGACAGCAGCTGTACAGGAACTACTCTGTCCATCAGTAACATACAGAGAAGACACCAGCTGTACAGGAAGAACTCCATTAGTAACATACAGAGAAGACAGCAGCTGTACAGGAACTACTCTGTCCATCAGTAACATAGAGAGAAGACAGCAGCTGTACAGGAACTACTCTGTCCATCAGTGACATACAGAGAAGACAGCAGCTGTACAGGAACTACTCTGTCCATCAGCAACATACAGAGAAGACAGCAGCTGTACAGGAACTACTCTGTCCATCAGTAACATACAGAGAAGACAGCAGCTGTACAGGAACTACTCTGTCCATCAGTAACATACAGAGAAGACACCAGCTGTACAGGAACTACTCTGTCCATCAGTAACATACAGAGAAGACAGCAGCTGTACAGGAACTACTCTGTCCATCAGTAACATACAGAGAAGACAGCAGCTGTACAGCAACTACTCTGTCCATCAGTAACATACAGAGAAGACAGCAGCTGTACAGGAACTACTGTGACTATCAGTAACATACAGAGAAGACAGCAGCTGTACAGGAACTACTCTGTCCATCAGTAACATACAGAGAAGACAGCAGCTGTACAGGAACTACTCTGTCCATCAGTAACATACAGAGAAGACAGCAGCTGTACAGGAACTACTCTGTCCATCAGTAACATACAGAGAAGACAGCAGCTGTACAGGAACTACTGTGACTATCAGTAACATACAGAGAAGACAGCAGCTGTACAGGAACTACTCTGTCCATCAGTAACATACAGAGAAGACAGCAGCTGTAGAGGAACTACTCTGTCCATTAGTAACAAACAGAGAAGACAGCAGCTGTATATGAAGCACTCCATCGGAGAGTAACAGTGGAAGAAGACAGCCACTGTACAGGAACTTGTCTAATGAGAGAAATCTCATTTGAAAGTAGCAAATCTGAAGCAAATATATCTGTGTAATTAACTGAGAATATGTGTATCCACAACATAATTGTAGTTGTCGGTGGTGTCTTTATTTGATTTCGTATCGCATTTACGTAACTGTGCTATTTGAGGTGTTTTATGAACATTTAATTTGTTCACGTCGCGGAGACTTTGCCGAAGGAATTTCAGCAACACGAGTATATAATAGGCAGACATATGTGTACGATCCTCAGTCCTTCAGTAAGGTCTTACTTTCTAGAGGTAATCGCGAATGACTAGTTTAGGTATCAATGCTAGAATATAGGACATATTTATAAATGCAGGCATTGTCGAGAATATGGAGTGAGGTGTAAAGGCACAGTTTGCATGATTTCTTTGTATCATTATCAAAGCTTTATCACGGTGGTCTGTAGAAAATTAAATGGTTTGTTTACTTGTTTGTTGACACACATTATAAGCTTTTTGACGGTGGTATGTATTTAATCAAGTTTGATGGACAACGTGAGCATTGATCTACGCAATTGGGAATGAGTGAGTGGGTGAGTGAGTGAGTGAGTGGGTGAGTGGGTGAGTGAGTGAGTGAGTGAGTGAGTGAGTGAGTGAGTGAGTGAGTGAGTGAGTGATAATGGTCTAACGCCCCTTTTAGCAATATTCCAACAATATCACGGCGGGGATAACAGAAATGGGCTTCACACAGTGTAGCTATGTGGGGACTCGAACCCGGGTCTTTGGCGCCACGAGCGAACGCTTTAATCACTAATCAAACGCCCCTATACCCCAGGAACAATTTATATGATTTTGCCATATTTTGTGTTAATATCCTGTATTAATGGTCTGCTGAAACAGATCTATGTAAACTTACACATTCACATTGAAATGCAAAAACTGAAATCAATTAGCTAATCACATCATTCTTATGACAGTGACTAACTTGACAACTCTTTCAGTTACTTCCTCTGATCATTGCTGATCAATCCTGATCATTGCCAGAAACGGAGAAATGAGAAACGCAGCCTTTACAGCAGATATTGATGGTACACGTATCCCAACATGATGTATGGAAGTTCACGATATATGAAGATAGAGGTGAATGAAAAATGATATGCGAAACGTAAAAATACAGTTTAACGTGTTTTAATTATCAGTTATATCACCCGAACACCTGAATCTGAAATAAAACATAACTAGAATGCT